GGGTCCGATAGCCCCCCAACAAACGTTGGGGTCTGATAGACCCCCAACAAACGTTGGGTCCGATAGACCCCCAACAAACGTGGGGGTCCGATAGACCCCCAACAAACGTTGGGGTCTGATAGACCACCAACAAACGTTGGGGTCCGATAGACCCCCATCAAACGTTGGGGTCTGATAGACCCCCAACCAAACGTTGGGGTCTGATAGACCCCCAACAAACGTTGGGGTCCGATAGACCCCCAACAAACGTTGGGGTCCGATAGACCCCCAACAAACGTTGGGGTCTGATAGACCCCCAACAAACGTTGGGTCTGATAGACCCCCAACAAACGTTGGGGTCCGATAGACCCCCATCAAACGTTGGGGTCTGATAGACCCCCAACAAACGTTGGGGTCCGATAGACCCCCAACAAACGTTGGGGTCTGATAGACCCCCAACAAACGTTGGGGTCCGATAGACCCCCCAGAAACGTTGCGGTCTGATAGACCCCCAACAAACGTTGGGGTCTGATAGACCCCCAACAAACGTTGGGGTCCGATAGCCCCCAACAAACGTTGGGGTCTGATAGACCCCCAACAAACGTTGGGGTCCGATAGACCCCCAACAAACGTTGGGTCCGATAGACCCCCAACAAACGTTGGGGTCCGATAGACCCCCAACAAACGTTGGGGTCCGATAGACCCCCAACAAACGTTGGGGTCTGATAGACCCCCAACAAACGTTGGGGTCTGATAGACCCCAACAAACGTTGGGGTCCGATAGACCCCAACAAACGTTGGGGTCTGATAGACCCCCAACAAACGTTGGGGTCCGATAGACCCCCAACAAACGTAGGGGTCTGATAGACCCCCAACAAACGTTGGGGTCCGATAGACCCCCAAGAAATGTTGCGGTCTGATAGACCCCCAACAAACGTTGGGGTCCGATAGACCCCCAAGAAATGTTGCGGTCTGATAGACCCCCAACAAACGTTGGGGTCCGATAGACCCCCCAGAAACGTTGCGGTCTGATAGACCCCCAACAAACGTTGGGGTCTGATAGACCCCCAACAAACGTTGGGGTCCGATAGCCCCCCAACAAACGTTGGGGTCTGATAGACCCCCAACAAACGTTGGGGTCCGATAGACCCCCAACAAATGTTGGGGTCTGATAGACCCCCAACAAATGTTGGGGTCCGATAGACCCCCAACAAATGTTGGGGTCTGATAGACCCCCAACAAACGTTGGGGTCCGATAGACCCCCAACAAACGTTGGGGTCCGATAGACCCCCAACAAACGTTGGGGTCTGATCGACCCCCAACAAACGTTGGGGTCTGATCGACCCCCAACAAACGTTGGGGTCCGATAGACCCCCATCAAACGTTGGGGTCTGATAGACCCCCAACAAACGTTGGGGTCCGATAGACCCCCAACAAACGTTGGGGTCCGATAGACCCCCAACAAACGTTGGGGTCCGATAGACCCCCAACAAATGTTGGGGTCCTCTAGACCCCCAACAAATGTTGGGGTCCTCTAGACCCCCAACAAATGTTGGGGTCCTCTAGACCCCCAACAAATGTTGAGTAAAAATAAGAGTGTCAATTTATTACGCAGAGGTTTTTGCTTTTATACATGAATGTACTTAATGCTAAAGGTTTCTACCTGAAAACTAATGTCTGGACAATCTACCTGGAAAAAGGCATGAGCAGGAAATGGCCTCAATTTAAGTAATAAAATCTTGTCCAGTCAAAATTCAAAACATCAAATTCAAAGTAAAGTTATTGCTGGAAAATCATAAAGACATAACAAATGTCCAGTACCTAAACAGAACTTTCTAGAATGTCATAAAATTAGACAAAGCATTTTTTATCCTAAAAACTATTTTCAACAGTTCCCGAGGAGGAATCGTGAAGATGTGGTGGGTCGAATGTAGCTTTTTCACCATAAATTTCATCGAGTTCGTCGAATAGTGGACACATATTGAGCAACGTCCCTGGGGCATAGTTTAGTACTTTTAACAGATTGTTCCCCTTCTAATTCCAGCACGCCTTGACCAGTCCTATTTCGCCATTCCAAAGCTTTGCTGTACTTCGTTTTCAAATTTCGCACCTGATTTTTTAGTTGCTGATCCGTGCAGCTTTCGAACTTCAATAACTCTATCATATTTTTGTAAAATATCGTAGCATTAGGCTTTTCCAGTTGTTTCCCTTTTTGAATTACGTCCAACAAATGCTTTAAAACTTTGCGGTTTTCATTTTCGGACCAGTTCCGGCGTTTCAGAACGACTTTCGTGGGTTTCTTCTTCACAGTGCTTCCAGAATTTTGAGTTTCGTCCTGGACTTCCTCCAGCGTCGAGGTCACTGGTTTAGTTTTCGTCAATTTTCCTCTTGGTGCCATAATTTATGAGAATTGACACGATGATATGTCGCAGAACCAGTCTTGCTAGTGTAGAAAATTTACAAAATGAAACGTGTGCAAGTGTCGAACAATTTTTTTCTTCCCTAAATTGTGTTTACAAAATACTTTACAAAATTAAAAGACGCCTGTGAGCTGCGTAAGTTTACAAAAGTTTGTAAAGTGATTTTCCTTGGCAATTTTTGTAAAAGTTTGTAAACGTTTGTAAGTTTACGGATTTTACGCTGTTTACGTAGTTACGAAGGAGGGCGTGAATTGCCTCACTGTCATTAATGATTTATAAGATATTTAATAATTCCAGTAATTTATAAATAATTTTTAAACCCCGTGATTTCTTAATTGTGAATTCTTGGCGTGAATTTCAACTCCAAATTAGCAATTGGTCGGTTTAATCCCACTTTTGTATCGATTTTGATGGGGATCGGAGTTTTTGGAGTTGGTTCAAGTAGCACACGAAACAGGCGATAGCTTAGGTTTGTAAACCACAAATAACACAAGATTGCGAAATTCACTTAATTGAATGGCTTCTGGTGATTAAAGCTTTGAGAAAGTCGTTCCTCTCGTCGCCAGTGCTTTCTCTAGAGACAAATGAGACTTTTGGAGGGGTGGGTGGTCAAGAATAAATAATGTTTCAACATACTGAGAGACAATTCACACTGTAATTACAGATTGGGTCACAAGTAATCTAACTTTACTTTTGGAACCGTAACTTGCCATTTTTTAATGTGGCGTCTAATTTTCGCATAAAAATAATGAGATAATTCACGCAGTCATTGATAACTTGGAAAATCTATACGTTTTGTAAAATAATTTTACAAATATTTACAAATTAAATTTTCAGAAAGAGCCAAGGAAGGGAATTAAGTAAATATTACATGCACGCATGCACGTTACTGGTATTTACGTGTTAAAATCTAGTTTTTAGCCCGAGTCAGGGCTTATGAACCGTCATGTCCGTCCGTCTGTCTGTCTGTCTGTCTGTCACGATAGAGCCAAACCGGCTGAACCGATTGACTTGAAATTTTTACCATATGCATATTGGACAAAGTTAGGAAACGAGTTCGAAGATGGGTGAAATCGGTCCAGTGGTTGACCGATGGGGGTCATCGGAGTGGGTGGGGTATTATGCACCAAAATTTCAAAATTGTCGTAGAAGGCTGAAATTTGGTACAGAGATTGCTAATGGCTCGTAATAGATAAAAATTACTTCAAGTTGGAAACATTTTCAATTTGAGGGCCCCCATACGAATTTTTCAAAATCATCATATCGAGCTGAAATTTGGTAGAGAGGTTGCTAATGGGTCTTACTGTAGGAATATGATATGAAATTAGTAAAATTTTTATCTGGAACGACCCTGTGGGGTGACTCATACCGATTTTTAGAAATTGCAACCAGAGTGACCCTTGAGGCTGACCCATACCGTTTTTAAAAGTTGCTATTTCCATCTGAAATTTGGTATGGGGGATAAAAACCACTTCTGGATAGCACACACAGGTTTGGAAGTTCAAGTTGTTAAGAGATTTGATGCCAAATAATAAAAAATCTAACACACATTAAACTATCCGAAACACGGAGTTTGTGTATTATGTCGGTCAATTCGGAGAAAAATTTAGAACTCTGAATCACCGATTCAGGGACTCTGTCCCTGACTCGGGCTATATGGAGTCTGCACTGTAGGTTTTGATCAATATTTTGGCGAAAAAGTGAGATAATTTAATTTTTTACTACCATTTTAAAGACCGGGACATTTTCAGGACGCCGGGACAGGTTTTGAAAACCGGGACGTATGGTCACCCTAGGTTCGTGAAACCTAGGATTATTTTTGCACTTCGAAGTGCGAAAATTTCTATTTTTTCGTGCATATTTTGGCAGAAAAATTTCTACAGAAAAAAAATCTTCGAATTTTACTTTGCAGAATTACGCATTTTTCTGTAAACAAATGCTAAATACACATTTCACTCTGGCAGAAACTAGAAAAACTTTTACTCAGAAAAACATCCTAGTGCACAATTACTTTGCAAAATCTTGCATATTTCGGCAGAAAACTTTATACAAAAAAATGTACACATTTTACTCTACCTACATACAATTTTATGCAAAAAATGTCCATGGTTCTGCAGAATTTTGCACGTTTCTTTCCGAGAAATGGGCCAATTTACAAAATTTTTTTGCATGTAGAGTAAAATGTGTTGAAATTTTAGTGTACAATTTTTTCTGTTAAAACATACGAAATTCTCCAGACTAAAATGTACATATTTTTCTTCATAAAATTTTGGCAAATTTCTTGTTGGCAAATTTCAGCTTAATAAGTGGGGCGTTCAATTTAACCAGTTTTCTTATGTGAGAAGAAAAAGTAAAGAAATGTGAAGTAATTTTATTTCAATACATACATTAACATAAATTTGCATGACTGGTACACAAAATGAATATTTATTACTTTTAGTCAGTTAAAGGAGGCTAATTAACACAAAAATTGAAAAACTGGTACACAAAATTTTGTTATAGCACGAACCCAAAACATGACTGATCAATTAGTATATCATGAAACTTTTCTAGAGTTTAATTTACATGACTCAAATGAGACTGAAAATGTGTGAGCGGTGGTGGTTTTGGATTGTAAAGGCGGCCAAATCCCTGAAACAACGTCGAACAACAACTGAAACTGTGTGGGATATTTTTTGTACGGAATTTTCGGAAACTTTAGAAATAATAATTAATTATGGACGCCTGGATGAAGACGGGGAAGTTGGGGAAGCCCACACCCGGGATGGGAGGAGCGAACGGGAAAGATAAGAACAAAAATAACAAGAGGAACTATCCCGTCCCTTGGGTGGAGAAATAGTAGGATAAATAGTGCAATTTTTTGTTAATTAATTAATCTTGAAAAATTAATTAAATAAATAAATAATGATCATGTTTCAGCCGACCGAGAAGTATTACGGATGTCGTTCAACAGGAAGAAGTGGTCGCCGTGTTGGATAAGATTTTACAGGTTGGCGAATGAATATTCTCGCGATAAGTTAAATTTATGATTAGCATTATTAAATTAACGACTCTTCACTGTCCTGAACCTTTAGGGTGCTGACTTGCCCAATTTACTATTTTATGGACCTCCTGGAACCGGAAAGACCAGCACAATTCTCGCCGCAGCTCGACAACTTTTCGGCGATGGATATAAAGATCGGTGAGTTAATTATTTGTGTATAAATTATAATTATCTTTAGTAGTAGCATAAACTTATTAATTAATACCTTGTCAATTTTACATCATTGCTTATTATGATAGGATTTTGGAACTGAACGCATCCGATGAACGAGGAATAAGTGTGATTCGTGAAAAAGTTAAAAAGTTTTCGCAACAAACGGCATCAGCAACTTTGCCCGAGTCAGTAATTCATATTTAATTATACTGAACTAACTACGAGCCTTAAGTTTTTACTATTGATTTATTTACTAATTTAGCGGACGACCCTGTCCACCCTTCAAATTGATAATTCTGGACGAGGCGGACGCTATGACTAATCCGGCCCAATCCGCGCTACGTCGCACGATGGAAAAGGAGACGAAATCGACACGATTCTGCCTCTTGTGTAACTATTTGTCCCGAATAATTCCACCAATTACGTCACGTTGTTCAAAGTTTCGCTTCAAACCGTTAAGTGAGTGGAAATTTTGGAAATCAAAAGGTTTAGAATTTGCATGACCTCTTTTTCTTTTTAAATTCCTAGAGGACGACATGGTTATGGAACGACTCCAAAAGATCTGCGCCGAGGAGGGCGTCAAATTTGAAAGTGGTGTGTTAAAAGCGCTCATAAAAACGTCGGAGGGCGATTTGCGCCGTGCTATTACCGCGCTTCAATCCTGCCACCGACTGAAAGGACCGGATCACATCCTTCGGATCTCAGATGTGGACGAAATGTCCGGCATGATTCCGGCAGAATGGATCGAAAGGTTTTTCAAATCTGTGCAAAGTGGGAATTACGATAAGGTCGATGGCGTCGTGGAGGACATGGCGAAGAACGGGTTACCTGCAGCTAAACTCCTCGACCAATTTTTCCATTTTGTCCTCACCAATGACGAATTAACGGATGGACAAAAGGCAAAGATTTTTCAAAAAATCTCGGTAAATATACATAAATATTTTAAGGTAATTAAATGGGATTTGATTCTTAATTAGTAATTTTGTTCTGGTAGGAATGCAATCATCGCCTCATGGATGGTGGCAGTGAATATTTGCAACTTTTAGATTTAGCCACGTTCACGATGATGGTTTTGAAATAGAATTTTGTAAAGAGAAGTTTGATTCAGGATGAATGGATGTAAATGTATTTTAACAAAATAAGTGCATTCAATAAAGATGTACAATTTTCATATGAAGTTTTAATGGGAAATTCTGACTCGTGTATTTTATTTGAAAACTCGATACGCTAAGCTGAATCTGCATAATAAATATTTTATCGAGCATTTTGTTGCCAAATTTTGTTAGCATTGACAACATTGTGTAATTTCCTCAAAAACGATTTGGTAAGAATTTTATATTCAAAATAAAATAATTCCACTAAAATTTTGACACTTTCCTGTAAATCTTGTAATGTAATTTGATAAATAATCTTGTTTAGTCGAATGGATCCATGGACGCGACCGGTTATCCGAACAACGTAGAACCTGCCCGGCGGTGGTACCCTTTACGCCCTCACCACCCAAATCTGCACCCCATCGACGTCAACAACAACAATAATTTGGCCCCAAGAGGAAGAGTCATGGATCCGAGCAACTCACCCGTTTCGGGCGTTCCCATTATTACGACGAGTCTCGCCTTGCTTCAGGTACACGTACAATTAACGTAGGGCAGCATATGTAGATGGGTCACTACCAAAATCATAAAAATCGCCACATTTTTGATCATTTCCCGGCTCCGGGAATTTATTTTAGAATTCAACGAATTTGTAGTCAGTAAGTTGATTAATGGAGCGACCGTGAGTTCTTAAGCAAGTTTCGATTTGTTCCAATTTTTCTGAAGGCTTCCTAAGCTTGAGATCTCCCTCAAAAACTAAAAATATGGAGTGTACATTATTTTAAATTGACAACGACCTGCTCCGTAAATTTTCAGACTTATTACAATAAGTTATTCCCAGAGCAGAAAAATGATATGACGATCTTGGTGATGAGTTATCGACTCCTACATTAATAAATATGCAAAAAAATAATAAATAATGTTCGGTCACTATTTATCTCCTTATCCAGCTGCTCATCTACTACGGGAGCGATTACACTGGGATCACGTCGGAAGGAATGGTGTCCGCTTCGTGGGGGGCGGTGATTGGAAAAGGCCAAATCTGGCGATTACTGATCGCTCACTTCTTCAACTTCCAAAAGGTTCCGTTGTGGGTCAACTGTTTCGCTTTAATCACGATTGGTGAGATAAATATTTGCTACTTGTCTTAATCCAGCTTATCTGAAGCTTAGTTCTTATCTAATTAGGAAGATATCTCGAGAGGAAGGTGCAGAAAGGTGCCCTCCTCGTCATCATCCAGACCGTTGGAGTCCTCTCCAATCTCCTCTACGTCCTACTGAACAGTTTCTTCTGCTCCTCTGTCCAGGGTAACGAGCAGACGTATGGATTTAACAGTAAGTGGCCGTGACCTCCAGGTGAGAGGTCAGTTTGTGTCAGATCGATTCAAACTGCCAACGAGGAATCAATAAATAAATGCAAAAGCCATGAAAAAATTAAGGGTCGATCTTTCACAAAAAATGGCTTCATTTTGAATATGCGACGACTATTGATTCCTTGTTGGTTAGGTATCAACTATGCGCTCCGCTTTTGGCTCGTGTACATCCAAGAACCCAGAAATTTTGAGGCCGGGCAATTATTCGGGTTCTGGAATAACCTTCCAATCGTTTGGCAACCGTGGCCTATAATCCTGGACATTCTGCTACTCAAGTTTCTGGAGATGGAAAACCCAGGTTTCTGTGTGGCCAGTTCCGTCGTAGGGATCATGGTGGGGGTCGTGTTGACTTGGCTCGTTTGGAGGTTTCCGCCCGAACTGTGGCAAAATCTTGGAGGGGATGAGGACGAGGTTGGACCAGATGATGACGCGGACGACGCCCCTCAACCAATGGCAGTCACGAGGCATTCATCCACCACGACCTCAGTGTCACGCACCACTCTGAGATCACCGCCGCCGCCGCCGCCTTTTACTCCTTCAGCCTCGCCAAGAATCCAACCGGAAATGGAAACCGTATCATCCTTCCAAACATTAAATGATGTCATGCAAAATATTCATGACTTAGCGTCAGACTCGTATCATATATTTACACGGAGAAGAATACCGCCACCACGCGTGGATTAACTTCATACAAATTTATATATTCAAATAAATATTTAGAGTATTTATAACAATAATAAAAAGTGACGATCTGATCTGACACATACTTAAAATACAACAATTCTAAACCTAATAGCGTATAAAGTAACTAAAATTATTATTATGTCACTTTCCACACAGTGATAAATTTCGTCCTTAAAGTCGTCGTAATTTGTACGAAAGAGCCAAAGCCGAGGAACAATGATGAGCCTGATTTGATCTTCGGTTGTATTCCAGGTGGGGTTTTCTTCTTTTTGGGTAAATATTTTATTTTATATCACGACACGATTTTTACAAAAAATTTACTTTCAGTTCACCTCCCCGATTGCTGCGTGGCGTGGGTTCCCCTCCTGGAAACGATCCTTTTTGAGGTCTTTATCCTCGACAGGTGTGTGATTGGGTCGATTATAGGAGTAATTTGTGCCCTACCGTTCCCCACAGTGGCGAAATATTTGGGGGATTGGGTCCTCGTGAAGATGCATGCAAGGAGGAGATCCATCTACACGTTGACGACAAATAACAGCATGCACAATATGGCGGTAGGATCCGGCTTTGTCGTGAATGACGAGGAGAATAATAACAACGAAATTGGAAGGGGACTATCCGCACCGGCCGTTTTGGGAGGTAATATTCGTCGTCGACATTCACCAATCGAGGTGGAACTTGTCCAGAGAGGAAATGCTTTAAATCTCGGGTTAAATTCGTCATCGGAGAGTGACTCTGGCGAAGAGGAAATCGTGGAAGTGTGGAACTAACATAATTATTTAGATGAGAAGTGACAGTGACCTATAAAAAAGATAAATAATCAGTCAATAATTGTGAACTAATAGCGTTTATGTAATACTAAAAATGAAATAAAAATTGGGGCTAACTTTGTACGTTATTTATCCGCTACACGGCCGGATCCTTTTTTCGACTGATCTTCTTCTGTACCACGTCTCTGAGTTGGGAAAGGATTTTATTTTCACGCTTTTGTCTCTCTTCCTTCGAAAACATGGCGAGGGCACGTTTCTCATCGGCGGAATAGATTTGATTCTCCTTTCGGATACGGACAGCTTCCATGCGCCGGTGGCGAGAACCACTCATGACGTAGCCGACCTAGAGAAATGCAAAATTTAAGTAAAATTTAGTTTAATTTATAAGATTTAATTACACTAATTAATTAACTATGAGTTACGCACATCTTCATATTTCTCAATTTCATTCGAAGTCAGGCCAATTTCTCCTCTTCTCGGGATACGTTTTCCGTCCGCGACAAAAGCCGCCATCGCAGCCCCTTCGCCGGGAAGTAGAGCTTTACCATATTCTTTGAATGAGAGTTGGACGACTTGTTTGGGTTGAGGGCCGACGATATCTTCTGCATCATGTCCGCCCGTGGGGTCGTCGGGATCGGCATCGAGACTGTTTTCATTAGAGGCGTTTGCTGCATGCATATAAAACTCAATATAAATTTTGAAACACAAATTCCTCAAAATGATAAAAATCCTTACGTTTTTCAACCCACATGTCCTCTTCCTCCCCTTCGGAACTAGACGAGGAAGAATTTGGTGGCGGATTTACGTCCAGCGACGGTCTCATCGGTACGGTTGGTCCTAATCGAGCCGTTTTTTGTACACTTTGAAGAATTTCTTTGACCACGCGATCCGCGTCTAGTTCAATTTCTTTTTCCTCTTCTTTACTGACATTTGTCCTCTTATCGGAATACTTGTTGCTTATCTTGTCCTTGGGTTTCTTCGCCTTTTTACTTCGTGACGATTTCTTGCTTTTCTTACTCTTCTTTTTGGATCGCCTCCCGTTCGAAGAATCCGAGTCGTCGTCACTATCGTCGGAAGAAGAGGATGAAGATAGGGAATGTCTCCTCTTCCTCTTTTTACTTGAGGAGGAACGTTTCCTCTTTTTATTTTTGCTCTTTTTGGATGACGATTTCTTGTTTTTCTTGTCGCTGCCGGTGAGATGCCACTTGTAACCGGAGTCTTGTCGTCCTGTGATGGTTCGTTCTTCATCGTCAGAACTGAAATTTGAAAATCATTGTAAATAAATTGATGGTTCCTTATCTCGACATTAATTTTGAGTTTAAAACGTACTCATCCCTAAATCGGTGCGGTGAACCCGTCCACACGTCGGCCACACCCTCTTCGCCAATCTGTTCTCGTAACATTCGCCTTTGCTCTGATTGTTCCGGCGCGCCGCGGAAACTATTTCCATCTCTGTCACCGCGACCTCCTCGGAAACCAAAGCCTCCTCGACCACCGCCACCACCACCTCCACCACCTCCACCACGATAACCGTTCACATTATCACCACCATCGTCATAGTTGTGTCGTCGATCTGAGTGACCAAAACCACCTCCACCACGATTATTATCTCGGTCGTCATGATTTCTGTGATGATGGTGCTGGTCACGATTCCTCTCCCGGCTCCTACTTCGACTTCTGTCACGACCCATTTTCAAACTTTTTTGAAATGACACAAATTTGAAATTGTTTTAGTAGATAAACGAATTAAACTAAAAATATAATTAATTATTTCTTATTTTGGGAAACTTTAACTTTTGCGTGTGTGACGACTTTGGAAAAGTGAATTCAACTCAATTTTCCATCCAGGACCGGGGCAAGATTGGATTTGAGACTGGGGTGGATTTTTTAGACAAACGAAATCTCACTTTCCTCACTCATTTCGTGTCTCATCGCAATCTTGTGAGAAAAATGAGATTTTTAATGAAATGAAATCTTGGTGTTGTCGGTCATCTCTTTTAGGGCTTGGAATTGGGCTCTAATTTCGATAATGTACCAAATCTCGTCTCTCTTCCAGTTCCACCAAATACATGGTAATATCACACAATTAACTGCAATTACTTATGTGCATATTTGTATTTACATAACTTACAAATATTCTACCCGACAATAAAGTTGAATAGAAATTGAGATGTTTTCACATACAGAAAAAAATCCAAACTATAAAATTACAGAGTTCAAAACTATTTATTTTCTTAAATATCATTCGAATTTTTAAGGTTGTTCGACATGTCGACAAAAAATCATAAAATTTTACATGCTCGACAAGAATTTGAACGTTTCAATTCGCATTTGAATCATTGCATATTATTGAAGTTTTGTCCATGTCAGGTTCCTTGGTCATTCATTAGTAGGGTGGACATCCGATGGGCTTCTTGTAATTGAGGGCGATGGTCTTGCGGATAAATTCGACGAGTTCGCAGCACAGGTTGAGGCGTCGCCACTCGGCTTCGAAGGCTTCCGGAGTCCCGTATCCAGCCACGTAGCCGTTCAACCGCGCCGCAGCTTTCGACCGGATGATGGGAAGACCCACCTTGATGTCCAACATGGTCAAGATGTAGGGGTACTTTTGCAAAAAGTACTTCTGGTGGTAACTACATTAATGCATAAAAATAGCTGATTATACCCCACTTTTTGCACAAGAATTCACAAATTTGCTCACTATTCCGCCTCGTAGAACTCTTTTGCTGGATAAATTTGAGTTTTAATTGGTCTCGCACGCAGCCCGACTTCTCGGCGCAGAGTCTTCTCCGCGGTGACCCGTTGTTCCGGCGTGTGGTAAAAGATGATTGACATGTACTGTAAAATAAGGGTACATGAGGTCATGTTGGGGTCAAGTCAGGTATATAAGTATAAAAAGTATAAAAAGTACAAAAAAGTATAAAAATTAGAACTTTCGCAAAATTGTATTTATGAATGGCTAGTTTTGTTGCGGTTGAATTTCTTTGAGCAAGAAAATTCGTCTCGTATCGTTATTGAAATATTTTCAAAATATGTATTTTTGAAAAATATGTAAAATATTTACGTATTTTTCAAATAATAGCAGAAATATTTATGTCTGAAAACCTAGAAATGTGCTATAATATGTAGAAATATTTTGAAATTTTTGTTATCTGGGATAGTTGTGCAACACACACACAAAGTTTGACCGTGGGCCGTCACCAAATGCGAAAATTGAAAATAAATGCATATTCGTCCTCTAATAATGTACTTATGCAAATACATACCTGCCGCGTGCAGGCCACCGTTGGATCGTGATTCTTCCAAAAGATTTCAATCAATTTGTCAAAGTTTGTCTTTAGCGGGTCGAATTCGACATCGACAGTTTCCGTGTAGTCGAAAATGTTCTTGTACGAGGGGTTGGCGACGGTGCCGAGGCCCGTGTAGCCGACGCGGGTGCGGATGACGCCCGGCGTGACGCCAAAGATGGCTTCGGGTCCCCAGAAGCAGGACATGGCGAAGGTGGCGCGTTCCGTGCGGATGTCCGGCTCGTAGTAGAGACCGTCGCAGCAGATGTCACGGTACGCGACGGCCATGACGAGGGCTTATCGAATGTTAAATTTGGGACAGGGAGGAGACTTAAAAATGAATGATTTTGCAAAAGTAGGAATTCGGCATGCAATAAAATGTACAGGATTTTTTTTGTTGAGAATATCGATGACACATTTTCGACATGAATTATGATCACCGAGACGACAAAGTTCCATTCCAAAGCCTTTGAGCAAATTGGAATATTCAAATGTGTGCTACTAAAAGTAATTTGAGAAATCAGAACAAATGCACATATGACTTTGATTAATAAGTAATTAATGAAATTATAACTATTGATGATTAAATTAAATCCAACTTTAAATGTTACATATGTCTAAAATTATTTCCATGCTACATACATTTTTCATTAAAAAAATTATTCCATACAATTATTGGCTCAATTACAAACGTTAGAAGAGAAAGCCGTTTTGGAAATTTTAAGAGTGTTGAATTTAATGTTTTTCAAAAGATAATTTTTATTTTCAGAATCAATTTGTACATACTGCAGAATTCATTTTTAAAATTTAATAAAATGAAATAAGTGACATTTACATACTTGCGCATTTTTTTAACATTTTGCACAATTACACGAACAATTGCACTTGCACTCTGGCACTGGCGGAATTGGTGGGCACTGCTGCTGCTGTGGCGTCGTAGGAATTGATCTCGTCGTCACTGGGCTGCTTATCGTGGAGCCTCCTCCTGCCCCAAAAACTGGGGGATTTCTCATCACACTACAACTAATGGAAAGATCCGACGGGAGCGGGGTGTCCACCGCGACCACGATCTTATCAAAGATGAGAAACTCTTTCGACGCGAGATGCGCAGTGATTTCGACGGGCGAGTCGGAAGGGTCGATCTCCCTCCGGATTTCCGTCCATGAAACCGACGGTGTCGCGGAGAGTGGGAGGAGCTGCAAACTTCCGGCTGCAGGGGACGATGATCCAGATCCGCCAGATTCTCGGACGGGGTACAAGGATAACCTGCGCTGCGAGTTGGTGTAATATTTCAGGTAAATCGTGACACTCCGAGCCCTCGAGGAGTAGAGGTTCAAGGGGGCTTTGAATGTTATATCTTTCGCGGAGGACGAGGGGCCTTCCATGAACCAAAAGTCAGTCCCAGTAAGGCCTACGGAGAAGCCAAATAATTGAGGAAACACTTAATCAGCGTAAATCGTCAAAACCTTTAACCACTTCTGGGCCGTAGGAATTGATTTTAAAATTCTGAACTAAAATTTTCAGTCGGTAAGTTGATTAATAGAATTGAATTTATTAAAATTGAGATCTTCTACTTCAAAAACTGTCAAAATATGGATTGTATATTCCTATTAAATTGGCCACGACTTGGTCTACAAATTGGTCGTGCAGAATTTTAAAATAAATTTCCACAGCCGAGAATTGATAGATGAAGAATGTACTGATTTTGACTATTCTAGCGATTTCTCATGGAGCAATTACCTTTTAAATCTCCAAAGGCTTTGGGAAGCTGGGACGCAGACGCGGCAGAAGTGACCTCCGCCCCCACCGAGGTCCAGAGAAACGTCGCCACATCCGCTTTACTCTCGAGACAGTGCAATTTCCGAGATTGCGGGGTCACATAAGGGATCCAGACGAGAAATAGGGTTACAATTAGTACGGGAACGATTGACATTATAAATGGATAAGATTTCTCAGAAACTTAAAACTGGGAAAAGGTTACTGGACCAAGGACATGGACTTACTGGACTGGTTTGCATGCACAGGATGGATATTTAATCTTAAGATCATGCATATGATTCATGGTCATGGTGGTCGCATATTCAGCTAAATTTAATTCATATAGACCAAAGTTAAATGCATCCCATGAAATTAGCGTAGTTTGCATGGATGGAATAGGGCAACATAATAACAAAACAATAAAATTATGATGATGCTGAGCTGATGAGATGAGATTATAAGTTAAGGTGTCTTTTTACAAGTGTAAGTTTAATTCTCGGGATGGGACATGTCTTAAATATTAAGTAGCAAGCAATTGTTTCTATATTCTGTCGTGTGTCATTCATTCATTTTATCATGTAAATAAAAAAGGTGGTCGTGAATGTGAAATGACTTTTAATTAGAATTAAGCCGTAAACATTTAAGTTCTCGACTTCATACGTAAAAGTATTTTCATCGTAATAATAATTTTTGACGGGCAAAGAAATTAGAAACGAGATGACATCAAGATTTCGGGGAAGAAATAAATCGGACCAAAAAATGGAGGAGTTAAATATGACATGACGAGCTTAAGGTCATTTTAGGCTGGGAGATTAATTTGATATTGTTCTAGGTTGTATTTACCACTTTAATCGAGTTTTTAATTAAGATGTGGAAAAAATCCGAAATTGGAAGATTTGACAAATTTACATTTAATTTTTAACAGAACTCATCACCAAAATCCTTAGTCGATATACCTACTTTCAGTATAACTTTGGTTTTACGAATTGCAAAAAACAATTTTGAAAGTGTCAAAAATTCCAAATATTTTATGCCGACATATCATTTTCAGGTTAAAAATTAAAATGCAAATAACGCGTTATAGAAAATGTAATATTATCGCGACGTTTACGATTTTTATAAATAAATTAACTAAAAAATAGATATTAAGACTGGACTCCTGGACTAGGTTGGTTGGAATGTGATTGTGGAATTATACACAATTTTTTTCTAGAAATGTGACCTAAAAAAACTAGGTCCCCGACCGAGATATGAATGTCATCAGTGTCATCACCATCTTTATGTCATACATCGACGTCGCTCAAGATAATTTTTGCAGTGTTGCAAAAGAAATGGGATTTTTAGAGTCGAGCAAAGAATACAACAATGAGACGAGACTCAAGATGCGAGCGAAAACAAAATCGCCAACTGTCAACTTTTCCAATTACTCAGCAAAAGTTCAGAAGCCAATTAAAGTTAATTTTAAAACAGTAATTTTAAAATAATATTTAATTTCGTTTAATTTCTTATGATGAGAAATAAGTATAGTTTTTTGTAGAATAAGAAATAAGACTGTAGGACAGCTTTTTTTAAAACTAATTTTGCAAAGCGGTGGGTGCAAACTAAAAAAATGTACCCGCAACCACCCCCACAACAACAACAGCCACCCCCATCACAAACGCCAGGAAATGGTTTGCCCCTACCACCCGGCGTAACTGTGAGACCGACAGGTCCTCAACAAGGAGGAAATGCGAGCAGTAATAACAATGGCGCAGCCGGCAATCAAAAACATCAGCCAAATTATCACCAACAGCATCAACCACGCTCTTATTTTCGCCAACAAGGGTCCAACCACCTCAACAATGGGGGAGGGAAAGGAGGAAAAGGTAGAGAACATAAGTTTAAATGTAATTAAGTTTATAAATCAATTAGCTGAAATTAAACGTCTCTATTCATTCAGGTGCTTATCGAACCAGCAGTTGGACCGGATATCAAAACCAAAATCACGCCCATGTTTTACCCTCTGGTCGAGGTGGAAATAATAATAATGTCGCCGTCAGCTCGAATCCTGCTCCCCATCCTGCCGCGACCACATCTTCTACAATCATTCCTCCATCGTCCTCCTCCACGAATCCGAATTTGGGTCGATCCTTCTCCATGTCGTCGTTCCATCCGCCCCTTTGTGCGTATACACCATCGCCTGGCGTGATCGTGGGTGCCTGGGCGAACGGTCCGCCCTCAAATTTAGGTGTTTCTCCACCTTTAGGCGGATTTCAACATGGTCCTCACCAACAAGGTCAACCTTCGTCGTCCTCATTTGGTCACCACTTTGGCGGATTCAACTCCCAGTTTCCATTCTACTTTAATAATACCACAGTGCATCAACAACGTGTCGGGGGTATTTTACAGGCACACGGGACATGTGTTCCACCCTCGTCTGGAGGTGAGGAATAATTAAAAACTTTTTAAAAGTAGTTAGTTAATGATGCTACTTAATTTTTACAGCTAATGGTGGACCAAGTCACTCCAAAATGGGTCCAACTATTCCAGCGCAGCCCAATTCTATTTCCGATCCAGGTGGAAAAGCAGCTTCTTCAGGGTCGGGTTCTTCGTCAACATCGGCGAATTCTTCCTCGATAGAGGCACAAACTGGGAATAATAGTTCGGAAGCGGGAGAAACGGTGGTGTCAGGTCAGATATTTATAACCTTTGAGAAATCGTGGTTAAATTTAAGCTACCAATTAAAAATTTAAATTTGGCCAAGCAATTAATTCTTAAATGCCCGTCCCTCTCTCAGACACGAGTCACCCTCCTCCGGACGGATCGCCACCCATGTCTACTCCGGATCCCATTCCTCCTCCTTCGTCACCTCCCCCAGTTTACCGGATGCCAAAGAAACTCTCCATCACACACAACCTGTGTCGAATCTGTTGTGGGCCGAATGGTCGCCTTTGTCTGGGATGCCGTCATGTGGCCTATTGTTCGGAAAGATGTCAACGGCAAGACTGGCCCACGCACATTTCGGATTGCAACCCTGCCGTCCTTCTGAATAAGAAGATCGCGTTGGAATATTTGCTGAGGGAAGGAGTCTGTCAAGGCAAACAAAATCGATACCCGGCTGGTCGTGAGGGTACGAATGAAGGAATCATTGGAGATGTGAAACGGCACAAGAAACCGATCCTGATTCCGACCCCGTGCCCGCCAGAAACTGAATCGAGTGGGTAGTAATTTTTTACTAGGACATTAAAATAACTAGAATTTTAACGTAGTATTTTTTTGTCCCTAGAAAAACTCGAATTTCGTCGAAAAATCGCGCAAAAGTCGAAATCTGTTCCAAACATTGGTGAAAAAATGGACGACGTCGCATCTTGCGAATCCTCCCCACATACTCCTCATGCGGATGACCAGATTCACGACACGTACTTAGACGACACTTACTCCTCCGACTCGGACTTGGACGGTTCCACGCCAAACATCACGGACAGCAGTTGTGACGACGGCGAAGGGGATGCCAGACAAGAAAAATGGAATGGAAAAATGTTGACGGCGAAGAATCTCGAGCCTTGCGACATGGTGGCGTCACTCTCTCCAGTTATGATTACATGTTGCAACACGAGTAAGATTTATAGAATTACAAAACGAGTAGATTTATATACTGATTGTATTTTTTTCTGGTAGTGCTCACCCCAAATCCGCCAGATTCTGTGACATGTCTAAACTGCACGCGGTGGTATCAGGCTTCTCTTGGCTATCGATGTTCAACTTGTCGATGGCCTGTTTGTTCTTTCGAGTGTGAAAAGGTGACTTAAAATATACAATTAATTTGGGTGTATGAGCTTGTCAAGAGTTTTGCGTATCAACGAATTGATTGATTTTTATCTGATGTTTCGATAACTTTTTTATAAAACTTGTATATGTTCAATCAAAATTTGTGATGGAGGGTGAAAATGAGTTGTGAGTAATAACTACGAGGTTGGGAAGTCAAAATATTTATATGAGAGACCCCCACTGGTCCTGGTAGCAGGATATTCTTCAAAATATGGTGCCAAACCATACAAAATATTAAACAACAATTTAACCATCCGTAACACTCAAACTACTAATAGTAGTTTATTCACGGGACACAAATTTAGAAACAGAATCTCTCCCTGACTCGGGCTAATTCAAGTCTTCACGGAGGTTTTATAATTAAAACATCGTAGAAATTATGCACAGATTTCATTCTCAGGAAGTAAATGGCTCTCACTTCACCATTTATTTCAGAGCTATCTCCACGCCTTCTTTGAATGTAAAGTATTCGCAGCCACGCAACGCTTCCCACCCGCGTTGAAAGACCACACCCAGTTTTTCAACGATGCCGTCCTCATGATTCGCTGTCTCCTCTTGAAGACTGTGAACCCTCCGAAATACCTCGAACTCTACGAGCTCCTCGACATCTGCGACAAGTACGAGAAGAAGCCCGAGTTTGTCGCGGAGGACTTGCGGATCGTAAAATTCTTGCGGGACGAGTGCAACATTGAATCTTTTACGGACGATTTTAAAGGAGAAGCTGAACTGATGAGATTCATCAATGTCGTCGACGTCTGCAGCATCGTGGTCAACGACAGGATATTCATCCAAATCCATGACCAGGGCAAGTCGTACTATGCGTGAGGATAAAATATGATATAAATTAAATTAAGTGGGGTTACTTAATTAGCTAACTAATTAATAACTTTAGGGCAAAATACGTCTTTCCCGTTAAACTATTCGTGACGCAGGAGTGCGTTCCAAACTGCAAATGGTCTATCAAACACTCCTCAAAGTTTGAAGACTGTGCCCTTCGGATTCACGCCGCGGTCCCACTTCCCGCGCAAAATTATGTCACGACATGTTTCACGGATAAGCACGTGATCGGATCCTGGTTTCAGTCAGAGTTGCTCAACTCGTCAAAGTTTAACGTGAGGTGGGTGTCTAAACGAGGTCATAGTTTTAGTCGACCAATTTCATTTTGCTCTTCTTAGATGCGACTGTCGCCGATGTCGCGACCCGAGTGAGTGCGGTTCCTACTTTTCCGCTGTGCGATGCGAATGCAATAAAACGAAGGACGTTCTTCCCAAGCCGGACGGTTACTTGTTGCCGAGAGACCCTTTAAATCCAGATACTGCGTGGATCTGCCAATCTCCAGAGTGTGGCCTTGTCATCGACGGGGGACAAATTCGCGACAAGACTGTGAAACTGCATGAAGAAATTCAGTAAGATTCTATGCATAATTTAGTTTTGTGCTAAAATATGGGCAACAAATTATGTTTTTTGTATAGTCGGATGAACGAAGACTTTTATGCTCTCCATCAATTTAAATGGAAACTCGAGCAGACGGAACTTCACCCGAATCACTTCCTAATTTTGAAAATTTCCGTCCTTTGTGTCATGCTTTTTTGGGGGAGTGTTCGCGGTCTGCCCTTTTTCTCATCGAGATACGACTTCTTCATCGCCACGGTGCACTTGGCGAATGACGCGTTACGAATTTATGATCATGTTTCTCCCGGAATGTCGATTCATCGCGGTGAGCCAGTCTATATCCTAATATTTTTATGATTGAATTATTTTGAAACTTTTCTTATTTATTTCGTAGCTCGGATCTTGTTCCAATTTCAAGTCGCCCAAGCGTACAAATCTCTACGGGACGTGCGGCGTTACATGGAATGGAAAGAACGGGAAGGGACAAGGCAAGGGAGGCATAAACAATCCCCCACGCCCGGCTGTCCGGTCAACTTTTGGAGTTTGATTGGCGTTCAACAAGAGGCTAATGCTATTTTAAAGGTGTGTTGCGCTGTACAAAATGCATACGTGCGACGGGTCAAATTATTTGTACATTAAATGGGTGAATAATAGACTTCGCCTGCAAATTATCATAGTTTGCAAAATATGTACAATTTCATCCAAAAGACATATAGCAATTTCAATGCAGAACTAAACTCTCACTACTTCATTGTGTGTGTTGCTGCAGTTTACACATTCAGAATTTATATTAAAATTATGGATGACAATTTTTAGAGCAGGTCGTTGCCTGTTTTTGAAGAAGGTTAAGAACCCTGCAGAAAAATTGAAACTCGTCTAAAATGATTTATAAAACTCACCGACATTATGTTAATCAACTTATTACTAACTACAAATTCGTCATCCAGAAATTTAAAATCAATTTTCAGAGCTGAGAAATGATTAAAAATGTGTTGAATTTGATGATTAGACATCACGTCCTACGTTAATTACGCTTAATTTTACCCTTTAAAGAATGAGTAAATATATTAACTTTTGTCTTTCCTTCCTTGTCAGACTGAACCCTACGGCACGATGGAGTACGAGATGGGTGTAATCCTCCAAGAAATAATCGAAGACCAGTACGACCTCCTCGCAACCTCGTTAAAAGACGTGAACCTCGAAATGGCCGCAGTCTACAATCTGCACCGAATTTACACCCGTTTCTCCAACCAGTACTACTACCCATCCGTCCCCGTCTATGAGGACAAGGACATTCAAGAGTTCCTCGTCATGATCGGACCCTGTGCGAGACATTTGGTGGAAAAAATAAACTTCCCATTTTAACAAAGTTTGGAGGAAGACTGAGTTATTTTTTTTATAAATGTAAATATTTGTATGCGTAAAATCAGAGCTGTAATTAATTTTGGGTCAAATTTTAGGCGTATCTTTACGTCACAATGCGAATAGGAGACCATTAATTTACTATTGATCTACTTCCCGAGACGGATCCGACAGTTTATTTATTACACACGTCATTATTAGAATTAGACAGGCAGACAACATTGATTTCCCATCAAATCTCCGTTAAAATCAGGCAACCACCCACGTCCGTCCGTTCCGTGTACATTACTTGAGATTGAAACGCTGCGGGATTCCAGCTCAAAGGTCTTCTTGTTAAAAAGCTAACGGACTTTGAAATTAGAATTTGTTTTTTAACAGGGGTTCACGTCCATATTTTATACTTTGGGTAGTGGGAGCAAACTACGCATACTTATTTTTTTAGGTAGGAATTAAATTATTTTGCGACAAGGTCTCGTTTTGGTTGTAAATATTATTTGAAAATTGTCAAGTTCAGCTAGCTAGACATTAAAATAAACTGTGCCAAATAATTTTGTGACCTATTTATTTAGTTTTATAATTTTGTTTACTATGTATGTGCTCGTGTATGAATTATGTGATGCATTCGTGTCGCCGTGCACGTCGTATTTACAGATTTTACATTTTAATTTTGATGCAAGAATTTAGTAACAAAAAAGTTGGATTTTCAATAACCTGTGTCTAATACTAATTACGCTTTTAGCTAAGTTTTTTTTGCTGTGTAAAAAAATATGATGCGTACCACTTTCTCTTTCAAAAATATGCATAAATTATTGTATGAGTTAAAAATGTGGCGTTGAATTGGAGTGTCAAATAATAAATAAATTTCCAGCCGCAGTTGGTAAAATTGGGAAAGTTTCTGTCTCCCTGTTTTGCATGAGAGAGAGATCTCTACCTATATACCTGCACCCGCTCGTCCAGATTCGACCTGATTTCATAATTAATTATTTAATAGTAGTTTTGTACGACGAGTAAATATTTATCTGAATGAATGAATTTAACAGGATGCCATATTTTTCGCAAGGTATGGCAAAAACATTGCTAAATTTTGCACAAGTAAATAATTATGAATGAATTGCTCAAATATTTATTTCATTGCAGAAAAATTAGTACATCCGGAGCGGATACATTTTTGTAAGAATTTTGCAAATTGTGCAAAATAATAATTACTCTCTGTTTAAATTATTTAATGAACTCGTATTGTTTTTCATGCATGGAGATATTTTCAGCATGAAAACGGGAGTTGTCAAATTGTAATCCAACCTTGTTTACGGTAATGAAACGATGATGATGATGATGATGCCGTAATATTTATAGCGACGGCATATGCAAGCGAGATATGCACGATCCGTTAATGGTACACAAAATCTCCTCTATTGTGTATGTTTTAAGGTGAGGAGCCGATGGTGTAGGCGGTGGTTATCGCTGATATAAAGGCGTCCGAAAGTCAGGCCTGGTCCACATTTGTGCTGCCGGAATCAGTCGCGTCACATCATGACAAAGTCTAACGCTTCAACTTTCTTCTGGGCGGCGGGGGTCTGTCTCCTCAGCGCCGCCTTCGTCTGCCACGCCACGATGGGAGGACAACGCTGTGAGTCTCAGGGGGCAAGGCGCAAAAATCGTTGAGAATACGGAACGAATTTGGAGTGACATGACCCACGACGACTTCTTGCGAAATCGTAGCGAATTCTCTGCGACTCAGCGGTCATTTCGATCCAAATTCACTGCGAATTCTCGACGTTTTTGTCGCTTGCCCACGGGGTGATACTTACTTGTACTCTTGATAACCTTTTTGATCTTTACACATTTTCATAGACTCGGTCAACATCCACTTCGTCCCCCCTCTGGTAACGGGAGCTTGTAACGTGGCCCAGTTTTGGACCCCGCCAAACGTTACATGCGCCTGGTGTTTTTGCATGACGGGAACGTTAAGTCGGTGCATTCCACAGCCGGGCTGCACCCCGGCCAACGAGACCACGACCGCGGCACCGAACGGAACGACTACGGCGACGACAATGCCGTCTCCAATGCAAAACAACCCACCTGGCACGGCGGCCCCTTCCATGGGTAAGGAATATGCAAATCATTTACGGATTAAAATGGAACATATGTAATTGTCCTTATTTTTTAGTTACGCCATCCACGGCCGGGTCCACGGCCGCTGCACCCACGCCAGCTCCGTCGGCTCCTCCAGCCGAAGCGACGTCACAAGCTCCCGCTCTGGCCACGAATCTGATCCGGAAACGGAGAGGGGCTCGGAAAACAAAGGCCAAATTCTAAACGTCTCCGTGTTTCGTAAAGTGGTTAAATGTATGTTATAAGGTTATTAGGAATTATTGCACAATTTAGTATGGAAAATAATTTGCACTTTGCACACAGTGTAAAATTTGTAACAAGTTATTTATTTTGTAAAGGATGGATAAAGGATAATTAAAATACAAAAAAAAACATACATACAATTTGAAAAATTATTACCATTTTGAATTTTGAAATTAACATCGTTTCATAATAATTATGGCCCGGAAGTAGCAATGAGAAAACTTATCATGATGATTGATAAAGCCTAACTAACAGAAGATGCATGATTTTAGCAAACAATAATATTTCTTCAGGTTTGTTGAGTTAATAATATAGATATCTGACGAATATTCTACTTCATGTACTTGGAATCATTCTCTGACAGCATTTTAGCGGATGATTTCGCATCCATGAAGAGACCACAGACTTCATCAACGTCCTCCTTCTTGATTACGGTTCGCCCATTAATTTTCGCCGTGATGGAGGCAGGCGTCAAAAGTTGGACGGCGTAACGGAGCGTCGTCCTCTCACCAACTTCGCTCAGCTCCGTTAAAGCTTCTGTATATTTAATTTAAAAACAGTTTTTGAAATAGTTCGGGTATTAGGAAACTTTTGTTTAATTGTTGTACCCGTCTCCAACTGAAGACCTTCCGTGGTTGCTCGAATTTTCAAAATGTTGAGCATTTCCTCTTTCGTGTATGGCGACGTTTTAATGATGACGAGTCGATCCAACAAATCCATCGGGATTCCGTGTGCTGATACGATATCCTCCGTCCCGCGGATGGCGCAACGACCCCGATTCGTCGCGAAGATGACGATGGGCGCGAGAGAACTTTCCAGGGCGCGGTGGAGATAAGTAAACGTTTCCAGGTCAAGCATGTGCACTTCGTCGATGAAAAGGACGCCTGGAACTAGCTCGGCGACACCCTAAATAATAATCAGTTTCATGACTTTCGATTCTTTTTAAAATATTGAACTCGTTTTCGTTTAATTGCACTTACTTGGTCGATATATCGGTTGACAACTTTATTAATTTCTTTCCTCAATTTATCCGTAATTTCAGTCTTTTTCGGCTTCATGAGTTGTCCCAGCATCGAAAGGATGTCCTGTCCGCCTTGTGGTCGTGCGTTGGCAATGTCCAAATCGTGTAAAGTAACGTCTTGAACGATTTCCTTCTTTTTGTGAACTTCGCCTTTGGGAAGGGGCACGTAGTCTTCGGCCTCGAGGTCAAATTCGGTCGCAAAAGCGTCACTGCGACCTTGACGTTTCACCGCGCCAGAGTTGGCCTCGATGTAGATCACGTCACCATCAACGACCTGATAAAGTGGGGGATTTTGTAAATTAATTTCACTTGATAGCTTGAAATTTCATAAAAATTCTGTGTCCCACCTTTTCTTTTTGTAAAGATTCATAAATTGAGGGGTCCAATTTGAGCTGTTTCGTTCCTTTGGACGTTTTTAATCCAATGATGACGTGACTAATGGTCTTTCCATATCCGCCGAGGGGACTTTCCGTCTCGAGTGGGGTAATTTCGGTCACTTCGCCTTCATAGATTTCCTTCGTTTCTGCAAGAAAGTATTAAAATTATAGTGAAAGGATGGATAAGAGAATGTGGCAAGTTTAAATGGCAAAAGAGCAATAACTATTATTTAAATTGAGACCTTTGATTCGCAGTCCGATCGCTCTGCGGAAATTTTCCATGAGGACTTCCGTTTTCTTGATTTCGGACGAGTATACTTCGGACCCCACCATTGGACAGAATGGGACCTTAGACCCAAGTTCTTGCGCCATGGCGAGAGCGATAGCAGTTTTTCCTGAGGAAATACGTAAGTTATGAATATGTACATGTATCGAGAAAAATGTGAAAAATGGTTATAAATTGTGCTTAATTAATTAATTAATTACCAGTTCCCGGCGGTCCAGCAAACAGGATGGCACGTCCAGCCATCTTTTTCATTTTGATCATATCCACAATTATCCCAGCAGCCTGTAGAAATTAAGTTAAAATGATGCACATTTAATTTGACAAAGTTACAAAATCATTAAAATTTCAAATGGCTACCTCGCGAGCCTCCTCCTGCCCAACGAGACCTGCCGCTTGAGGAATTGCGCTGCCATTTTCCTCCAGGCCGAGACCTTTGACATGCGAGTGAGCCGAGATTCGCTGCGCTTTCGCCGTACTCCGTACCTCTTCAATCTTCATATTCGCTTATTAACTAACTTTGACTTTATAAGTTATTATATTAAGTTTCACTGCAGCTAAATTCAAATCAGTGAAATAATTGTACTTTTAAAATTTAAATTGTCTGAAAGATCAAACCAAAAATTAAAGTTTCCAAAAAACTTCAAAAAGTTTGATCGATGTGAAAATGTGAGAATGCAAGATGCCCTCTCCAGTATTTAAACATAGCGGTGACAAATTCTCGCCTTGCACCCACCTCCATGTAATTTCTGAGATTTAGATAAAAGTGAGATTTTTGCAGTATTAAAATTTTGAGTTATCAAATTATTAAGGGTAAAATACTTTGTCAAAATACAGTATTTCGAGCTCCATTATTCCCAGGATTTGGATTTCCAGGGCTGTTCCACCCACAAAAGGACGAAAATCCACGTGGAGAAGACAGCAAGCGTATGAAAACACAAGTTTTGTGAAGAAATTGACTTTTTATCGCTGTCAAAATGCATTGTTTTCACGATTTCTAAAAACGAAGTATTTGACAGGGATAAAAAGTTAATTTCTTTGCAAAACCTATATTTTTGTTAAACCGTTGTATTCTACATGGACATTTTCGTCACTTTGTGGGTGTAACACCACTGGAAATCCAAAACATGGAAATAATGGAGCTCAAAATCAAAATCTCGCCTTTTCATAGCTTATCTCCCGAAACGTATGGCTTACCTTTTCCCCAAAAGATATCATTCATCATGATGAGGGGCCTTCAAAACATGGGATTCCTCCATGTTAACGACCTTTCGTCCCAAGAAGGAAAGTTGAGACAACTCAAGTCCAAAGAAAGAGTGAGAGTGAGTCAAGTCAGGATTGCAAATGCAAATATTATTTGCATTTGCACAAGAATGTCCAGCGGTTCAGTCGCCCCTACGATTTGAATAGTATGCAAGACGTACACGCTTATTCTTAACGGAATATGTAATAGAATAACGGATGAAAAAATACCTGCTGCTTTAAAATACGAGTCATTATCTTCAAATCTCAGGATGAGTGTAAAGGTTCAGTCAGGTAGCCGGTGGCCTAAGGTACCGTTATGTTTAGGTTATTTAATTTAAATATTAGTTCACTCACCTTACTTACTTGTACCTGCAAGTTTGGCTAATTTGACTATTTGCACATTAAATGAACTGCCAGTCCAGTCAGTCTCGACCCTGTGGCATTTGCAGGTAATCTGGAAAAATTTACATTGCGATGATTACCTTAATATTCAAGTAATCATCAAAATTCGTGTGTGTACTTGTCTTGTGTTATTTATCTCCGTACTTAGTTCTTGGGTGGATGAGTGAGTAAGTATTGCTCTGATTTAACATAATTTCTGGAAGTGAATAAGGAAAAGCAAAACTGGTCAATCCGTATATATGTATTTACATTGCAGGGTTCGAGATATGTACATACGTATTCTCTACTTGGTGACGATAAATCAGATAAATGGGAACGTGTCTCTCGTACCAAAGTTGACTCCATTCTACTCCAGGTCGTCTCCGTCTCCAGGCCTGGAACAATTTGCCTCTCAATTTTTAACGCAGAAAGATTTCATTCAGAATTCAGTATTAACGAGGACATTTGATATTAAATAGATAGGTAGTTAATCAGTTAGTTAACTTATACTTACTAAATAGTGACGACGACGAAATGTTGCACAACCTGCCTTCCTCAATCCTTCGTCTCCCGCACCATGAAAGTTTGGGGAATTTGTCGGAGGGGAACATTTCCGACACGATATCCGAGTCATCGGATAACGCCACGCTGTTGTCTCTCTCCAGGGAGGATCTCGTCGCTCTGGGGGCTGGCCATATACGAGAGGAAATTCGTGTCAATAGGAAAAAATTAGAGGGACTCATCCTCCGAGGTAAAGAGAACTTTTTTTGATATTTTTTCTTGGGGTGGGATTCCCGTCGTCGTCGTCACCTTGGTCTGGCGTCAGTCATCCTCCTCATCATGCATTATCAAATTTGAATTTGCTTATCTTATTGCCTATATCGGATCGAAATCGATGTAAAGTTAATGTCCTACTTCCACAGTCTCTCAGTATGTTTTGGATCGTCTCCAAACTTCGCACTCATTTAGTAAATTAGGAATTTAATTGTAAAATGGGGATCATTTTCCGTCCTGGCATTGTCATCTATTTGGCCCATTGTCTTCCTGAACCTAAAATTTGGCATGAAATTTGTAACTTCTCATCAGATCTTGCAAAATTGCATCTTAATCTTTGGCATCCAGCATCCTCAATTTGCTCTCTCTAGGTTAAAACAAGACCCAATTTTGCTTACTTTCTCACTTTGCATGATGCTGAATCTCTTCCTAAATGCGATAATAATGATGCAACCATTGCTAAAATATGTATTTCTACTAGCTAATTTTATTTATGCAAAATACCTGGATAAAATTCACCACCAAAAGTATGCAATTCCACTCCAAAAATCGTTTCCAATTGTGTAGAGGTCATTCCTCCCATTTCTCGGGAGGAATGAACTCTAAGCAGTCTCACTTGGCACTTTGCTGCCTTTTCTCCGTTACTTTTTCCACCGGCCTCGCAGCCTGCCAAACTCAACCAGTTCATTTCCACTCCAGCCAGCCAGTCACCTTCTTCTTTCTCTCCGTCACTCTTCAATTTTTCTCTCGGAAACTTATTTTGTGGAAATTTTATATCTCGCCATTCATTAAAAACTTTCCTTTCGTGCTAATTAATTAATCGGACTGTGTGACGATTGATAGTGAGAAGAAGGCGACCAGAATAATAGACAATTGAGTTACGATTGACGAAAAAACTCGAGAGAAAAAGTGACCTATAACTTTCAATGGCTGCTGGTTCACCTGTTCGTTATCGGCTAAAGGGATCGTCATCAACGACATTTTTTGGGAGGTCCGACTCCCTCAAGAGAAGGGCGAGTGCGGAGTTAGACGAGCATTTGAGGGAGACTTCATCCCCGCAAAATTGGAGAGAACAGTGCAACAGCACTTCTACCAATTCTTCTTCTCTTGGCAGAGGTCGAAGTATTAGTCAGGATGAGGAGGAAGATGATCTTAGTGGTGGGGGGAGTGACGGTAGCGACTATGTTTTCGTCGGGTCGACAGGGTTCGGTCTGTGTGGGGGTGTCAGGACCAAGGTGGCGGAAACGGATCCTCCAAAGTGGGAGAAGAAGGAGGAGACTGGGTCGCAAGATGACAGTGCTGATGTAAGTTGAATGATTTTTTTTGTACTTATTTATCTTCCAGAAAAAGATAACCGTACGGAGAAGCATTACATGGAATTGGTGAGTGGGGATGGAGGCCTAAATTTTGAGGGGGTTAATTTATTGGGTGGGAGGGCTTTCGATTTTGAATTTGAATTAACTTTTGTATCGTTTAAACAGTTGATGGAACGAACCAACACGTACGTTCAGTGGCCGTCTCGCATGAAACTTGGAGCAAAGACGAAGAAAGGTACGACTAAGAAAATTTAAATATTCTAGAGGAAGATTAAGAAGGAACTATTAATCAATTTACGTGCACTTTTTCCCTGTAGATTTGTACGTTCGAGTTTATGGCCATGATCAGGAGGAAGTGAACGAAGCCAAGAATCAAATCTTGGCAGATTTGGGTCCCCATCGGGTAAATTTTAATTAATTTATACCACCATTTAAGATTGTATTTTAGATAGTTTGCCTGTCGTGACTCAAAACTAAAATGGTTGTATTTGATTTGTGTACAGGACTTGCGAATTACGCTGAAGATGGAGATTAGTTACACGGATCACTCTCACCTGATTGGCTGCAGGGGTCAGACGATTCGAAAAGTGATGGACGACACTGGTTGCCACATCCACTTTCCGGATTCGAATCGCATGTCAAAGGAACACAAGAGCAACCAGGTTACGATTGCTGGGAGTTCGATTGGATCAGTAGAGCAGGCCAGGGCACGAGTGAGGGTGAGTAATAATTTAATTAACTAACTCAACTAATTAAGCAATTTATCTTTCAATTTACTTTCAATCATAAATACTTAGGAGCTGAGCCCACTCGTGTTCCAATTCAACATGCCGACTCTCCATTCTCCGTATGAAATGCAAATCAACCCGGAAGCACATCACGTCTTTATCGACAATATCCAATCAACTTACGGCGTCCAGGTCACTATCCACCCTCCAAACAAGCTGCAGCAGACTTCCGTCTCCGTCAAAGGTTGTGAAATCGATTCAGATGCGGTTCGATGTGCTGTGGGGAAAATTGTGGCGTATTTCTCTGGAAATAATAATGTAAGCTTGACAAGTTTTGCTTAGATTTAAACAATTTAACCAGTAGTTAACTAACTAATGTGAACTCTATTTTCCTGCAGATGAGCTCCGTCCAGGTGGAATCTACTATGGAAATCACCCCGATTCAGCACCCCTTCGTCCGCGCGGTGAATGACAGCAACGTTCACGCCATCATGATGAACACTGGGGCAAAAATTATCTTCCCCGATCTCACCGATGGAAACATTCAGCAGATTAAGCGATCTCGCGTCTACATTAGTGGAGAAATTAATTGTGTCTACAATGCGAGACAGCAGCTGTTGGTGAGTGGACGAATTTATGTAATATTTTAATGAGTTGACTTTAAATTTATTCCTTTTTTCGCAGGGGTGTCTTCCTCTAAGAATGATCTTCGATTTGGCTGATGAATTTCATCTCGAGTGGGACGTAATTCGGCAGGTTGGTCAGGACATGAATGTCAACGTCAAACTGATCAATCGGAATCGAGGAGGAATGGATCGCAGTTCTGGAGGAGGAGGTGGACTGTCTTCTCTCCCACCACCAGTCCCTGGACGGTCTCGGACTATTCAGCTCATTGCACATGAACGCAACACGTCTAACCTCTTTGAAGTGAGGCGACGTATTTTGGGCGGAATGGAGCAAATGTTCAGTGCCAGTATTCCCCAGAATTACATGTTGAGACCGACCTATCCAACATCAGAGGTTAAGGGTGAGTCGAATCACTCATTAATCTGCTTATCATCGCTTTATTACTCCTTATTTCTTGCAGCATCTCTCCAATATGGGAATCGACTCGGAGTTGGTCCACCCATGGGGTCACTCCCACCGCTGATGCTGCCCACCAGCCCGAATATGCAATCTCCCGTCTTGTCACCCTCATTCTGGCCGCCAAGCCCGTTCGCAAGTCCGTTCTGCTCCCCATCGATCGCCACGTGTGTTGTGAATGGAAGTACCAACAACAACAATACTGGTGGTGGAGGGAGCAATGTTGGATATGGGGGACTAATGAGCAATATGCATAACAATCCCGGTGGTGGTGGTAATGGGAACAACAATAATCATGGATACGGAATGAGCACCAGTAACAACGGGGGATATGGTCATCTTCATCACATCGCTGGATATGGACATAATGAAGGGATGAGTAATAATAGCAACAATGGATATGACAGTATTCAAATGGGTGGTGGTGGTGGTGGGCGAAATGGACCTCCGCCTGGTAAGTTTTTTTAAACTTCAAACCATGTTAAAGTTTAAGATTCAGCCGAAACATGTCACTTTTTCTTTTAGGAATTGGAAAATTGACCCTTAATCTTCAACATGGACTAAACTACGGTTACAATGGACCCCTCCCATCCCCATCGCCGGTGAACATGCACCCACCAGAAATCAGCATCAACAATATGAAGCACTCCTTCCATCTCCCACTCGTTGACCCACACAACTATAACATGCTCCCCAGCCAGGGTTATCAACACCACCACGGGCATACCGACTCTGCCCTCAACACTCCGATGAGTCTGGGTGGAACCTCGACATTTTCTGACCTCAGCCCAATGACGTCTCATCCCGGAGTGGGCATGGTCAACGCGATACTCAATGACTTTAACGATATGGACTTTAAACGACGAGCTCCTGGTTGTGAGAGGGCGAACACGGCGCCCAATTTGTTTGTCAATCTGCCCAGTGGAGGATTGTTAAAAAATGGTGGTTAGTCAATCATTTAAATTATAATAATAATAATTTGTAATTAAAGTTAAGTAGTTAAAATGTCATTTATATTTCAGGTGGATCCGGATCTACCAGTGGATCTGCAAGCAGGAGCGAATCGCCATCACTTCCTACATCCAATAATGAACCTACTGCTTCCGCCGCTACAGGCGGAGCTGACTCGTTAAAAGAAGGAAACGACGAAAAGAAAGACCCAGAGTTGACGGTAGAAAAAGACGACGGAAAGGAGACGAAAGAAGAAGATAACTCAAGTGGAGAAAAGGTTGTTAACCCAGATCCAACTCATGACAAGAAGTACATGGCTGTGAAAGGTGAGCTAAAAGTTAATTACTGATTATCCAAGTTTCTCTCGCTGTAGGTCAAAGTCTGAAAATTATTATGCTTCTGTGTAGCAATGTACCACACAAAAATTGGACCTGACACATCCCCTCGAGTCCCAAACTCGGAATGGTCTGGATGTGGCTTCAGCAAGACGTACCTGAACCTCTTCCGCACCGACAATAGTAACGCTGACACCAACCGCACTGACCTCGATAGTGGACTTGGCCCTGACGCTGACGGAGAGAACGCTCCCTCGAGTGGAAGTGGAGCTGTCAGCGACATCAGGAAAGTTCACTTTCCAATCGGACATCAACAATCGAACCTGCTCGACTTTTACGGACCAAGCAGACCAATGGACGGAAACCTTAAACCTCCCACCGATTTGGCATCTCTCTTCATTCGCAATGGACTTGGAAAGTTTATCGGTAAGTGAGATTTGAAAAATATACATTCTTTCAAAATTTCAAAATTTTGTATAATTGAAATTTAATTTACAGACAAATTCATCTCAGAAGAAATTGATTTAGGCACCTTCGCCTCCTTGAATGAAAGTGACCTGCGATCATTGGGCGTCTCCGCGTACCCTGCACGGAAACGGATGCTCGTTCTCATCACTCAACTCGCATGCCCACGCCTCACCGAGGACTGGAATCAATCCAGTCACTAATAATTACCTATAATACTTCAAACAATTCGTCGTTACTTAATTACTTAGTTAAAAAAATTGCTTAGTTATGGAAAAGGATAATAAGTTGTACGTTGCATGCATAATGATTTCGTAGCTGATAGGTTAAAAAGGAGGATTTTGTATTTTTGATACTCAAATTATCATGCACGCGTTGATGGATGGATAGATAATAATTATTACTAATAAGCTAAATAATAGTATAAGTTCAAAAATTGAAGTAAAAATATGCAACGAATTTAATTGAGTAAAATAAATAAATGTAGACCATGATCATGGTTTCGGTTAAAATATTTGTGTAATCTTTGTTTTGTGAGAGTAGATACGTTGTTAATTAATTCGGTGTTTTTGGGTGTGGACACGGAACCGGATTAAATGGTGGCCCGACAAATGTGCAAAGACAAATGTGCAAACGATAAATGTGCAACCTGACAAATGTGCAGCCCGATAAATGTGCAGGAATTTTTCTAACAAATAGTACAACATATCTTGACATGATTTAAGCTTAAAATTTAGTTATGGACACGCTTCGGGGACATAATTTAAAATGACAGCAAATAAGGAAATCCCGAATTATTTCAAAGAAATTCAGAATTTTTATATAAATTTATGTACATAATTCCAGGCTATACGATAGGCTAAAATTCACGAATTCACGAAGATGTACGGGGGAATTTATGCACCATAGAAATATTATTTAGTAAAATATTAAGTTAATGATAAATTAATACTGCTCATTATATGTGTATAAGATCAGCAGCTTCAACAGACATCATAAGGGATGTCGCAGCAAGATTAATTTTTCAGAATTCTTATTTTTTGAGGAGATATAATTTGATTTGACTGCTAAAATCATATTAAGATATATTGTACTATTTTTTAGAAAAATTCCTGCACATTTATCGTTTGCACATTTATCGGGCTGCACATTTGTCAGGTTGCACATTTATCGTTTGCACAAATGTCTTTGCACATTTGTCGTTTGCACATTTGTCACCCCATCGATTAAATAGGTAGCAATAATTGGGCAAAATCTGAATTGCAAATTAAAAAGTTGAGATGCATTTCAGTTCAGGTTCTGCGCATCTTCACCATAATTACTATAATTATTACTAATACATGTGTGAAATTGGATTGAAAGGTCAGACTTTTTCATGTTCAGGTAGTTATCATGAGAGGATTATCATGCAAGAATTATGATGCATTTCGGTTTTTATGTACCCTGTGATGTTTTTCTGCATATTCTTAAAACTTGGTCTTGTACTGGCACAAATGTATGCACAAATTTAAGTACTTTTTTAGCTCGAACCAGGGCTTATGTACTTGTCATGTCCGTCCGTCCGTCTTTCGATAACTCTCGAACGAGTTGACCATTTTTACCAAATTTGGTACAGACATGTTTATATCTGGGTAATGCAACAACCGAGTTCGAAAATAGGTTGGATCAGAAAAGATTTGGACCAGTGGGGTTCAAATAAGTGGGTGGGGTATTATGCACCAAAATTGTCGTAGAAAGCTGAAATTTGGTGCAGAGGTTGATAATGGAACATATCATAGAACAAAATGAATTCAAGCTGGAAAAATTTTCATTTTGAGGGACCCTATGGGGCGGTGACCTATGCTATACTGATTTTTCAAAATTGTCATATCGAGCTGACATTTCGTAGAGAGTTGGGTTTGCTTATGGGTTTTAATGGAAGAAAACGAAATGATCAAACACGGTCGTAGCGATAAGCGCAGTGTACGAATATGTCGACAACTCAATGAAGGAAATTGTGTCGAAAAATGGTGCAAATCGGATAAGAAATGGCAAAGTTATGGCGAAAGAACGATTTGAAGTTGTTGCGGTGCAGTAAAATTGAGCTGAAATTTTGCCCGAAAAGTGAGAATCTGCAAGGCAATCGAACTCGTCAAATCGCTTCCATCTCAAAATTTTCGTCTCAGAATTTTGAGATGGAAGCGATTTGACGAGGTCAATGGCCTTGCAGATTCTCACTTTTCGGGGACCCGTTCAGCCAAATCTCACTGCACCGCAACAACTTCAAATCGTTCTTTCGCCATAACTTTGCCATTTCTTATCCGATTTGCACCATTTTTCGACATAATGTCGACAATGTCGACATGTGCGTGTTGCCACGACATAGTTTGAGTACAAATTGAACGAAAAATTGTGAGATTATGACCTTGCGAATAATTGCGAAATTTAGCATGGAGCGTGACAATGGCTCCTAGTGAAAGAATGGGAAGCAAACTTCGAAAATTTTTCAACCGGAGGTTCCTAATACGAATTTATCAAAATCATCCAATCAAGCTGAAATTTGGTATAGAGATTGCTAATGGAACAATATGAAGTGAAATTGGTAACATTTTCATATGATGGGACCCGATGGGGAGGCGCCCAGACCGATGTCAGAAATTGCGTAAGTTACGCAATTTCAGCTTCTTACGCAGCGTAAGAAGCTGAAATTCGGCACTGTGATACTTAAAGTAACCAGATGTTCTAAGAGGTGACCCATACCAATTTCTAAGAGTTTGTATATTCAGCAGAAATTTTGTATGAAGGGGAAAAGTCACTTAGGATTATAATTTTATTTTATTTATGAATTTCAATTTTTTTCATAGAAAATTCTGATAACCATGAGTTTACTAAACATTCCTGGTTCGGGCTAAAGCAAAGCTGTACTCATAAGTTTTATTTCTATGCACGCTCCTCTAATAACGAAAAGATAATTGTTAATTAATAGTCATTCTCCTTCTTCTTCTTCTTCTCTTTCCACTAATTGATTCCAGTCCAGTTTACGTAGCAGCATGTCCAATCCAACTAACAAACCAAGCCTACAATAGTTTCGCCAACTATTAACATACCTATTTTCTTGTCATATTAAATTAGCAAGGTTGGTTGCAGTTTTGCGAATAATTTAATATCCCTGCGGCTGCATCTCCATCACATCTTTCCATCCATCACTTAACCTTTTTTTACTAGTCAACAAAATTCTTGGCCCAGGTAAATAAATAATACACAAAAATCACGTAAACTCGTTTACTTAAATATTTGCAAACAAAGTGCGTCAACGTAGCAAGCAATCCGTCGTCCACAACCTTGTCCGAGGTCGGGAGGAGGACGCTTGTGTATGAATTATGTAGTATGCAAATGATCAAATTAAATCTTGCCCATTTTTAACTAACTAATGCTAACTAACACACATCATGTTTTGGTGGATTGGAGTAGCACACAACCTGTCATACTTGGTCATTTGCAGGTAAGTAGAGGGCGAGATGACATGATAAACGGCTGTGAAGAGAAGAAAACGACACTAAAGATAAAGATAAAGGTGATGACCAACTCTGCTTTTGTTTTAGGCGACGGATTTGAGCATACAGAATTGTTTTTGGTTGTGTAGTTGGACGTATCAGATTACATGAGATTACGTGCAAAACCTTGACATTGATATTGGCAATGGCAATGTAATGATGCGATGAGATCGTGGAGAAGGTTGGAAAAAGGAGCAAAAAAGGGCCAAGTAACAAAATGACACCAGATCCACTCCTCCTCCCGATTACAGGGTCACACTCCAGTGACAGATGTAACTAACATGCGTCTGCGTCATCATCACATTTACGATCAAAATCGCATACTTTAATAGCGTATCGTATTTCACTGTAAGAATACAAGTTTGCAAATTAAACCTAAATACTTGCTCCTGGAGAACGACCAATAGATTGAGAATTGCGAATTTCACAATCCCAATTCCAGTGCATGGATAGAGTTGATTTACTCATAATTTATTTGCAAGTGATTCAGAACTTGCGAATTTTACTCCAACTCCACTTGCGAATTTTACTCGTACAAATTCCAGCGCATAGCATGGCTGGAGATGATTTACTCATAATTTCATCCTGTTTAACAGCTAAATTAGCTTATGCTCACCACAGGACGCCTTTTCAGCTCGGCAACAAAGAAGACCAACCCAAACAGAATTGAATACATCATATTCTCTCCTTATGAGTTATTTACCTGGCCAAAAGCCGGCATGGCCTTCGCAATTTAATTCGCATATCTTTCATACTTTTTGCATGTATGTATCTAAATACCTATTTTTTGCATGTAGTAGATACACAAACCGTGAAATACGGGTCGGGCGTGTATACATATAAAACCACAAATACAATTCGCTAAATGTTGTCATTGTGCAAAAAAGACCAAATTATTTCCAGTCCATCCAATCTAATCAAACTCTACTTCATCAACAACAGACCGAGATTTAGTTTTATTTTGCATCCGTGAAGAGCAAAGCGTGAAAAAAATCAATGCTAAAAATAATCCACGGATACATACATCACGAATTTAGTCACTAGTTGTACTATAAATTTGTATCTGAATTTATCATCCGCAAAGAATAAAGTGTGCAAAAAATCAATGCGAAAAATAATCCACGCGAATTTAGCAGCTTGCTGGATATATAAATTTGTCTCTGAATTTTGCGGTTTTATTTCAGTTTTGCTAAAGATGAAGTGTGCAAAAAAATCAATGAGAAAAATAATGTACGAATTTAACCATTGGATGTGCACATGAATTTGTCTCTGAATTTTGCGGTTTTGCTTTTATGACTGCAGTTTAAACAGCGAGAATGCCGTGTCGCGTCGTAAATAAAAGTGGACTCGAGTTTGACATTGACTGGATACATACACAAGTGGAATTAGATTCTGCATAAAATTACGATAATTGCAGGAAAGAGATTCATTCTCATGGATGGAGGGCACATTGTTATTAAGATGTCGACCAAAACGAGTCTCCAGAATAACCTTGTCCCAACGGCAGATTTATAAGAAAGAAGATGAACATGCAAAAATTTCTGCTGCAGAAAATTACTGCAGAATTTATGTGGAAATTAAAGTCTTAACCTGATTAATACCTACGTTCCCAAGCTGGGAAGTTGTTTGTTAATAAGGGACAAGTTTTTGCTGGCCAATAAAATTCTACACAAATTTTCAAGACTGGAATTATGCATGATAGAACAATTGCGAGAAATCTGACTTGTAAAGTATCGCGTAAACTTTTAGCGTGCACAATTTAAAGCGCAATTAAAGGTTCAACTTGTAACGCAACTTGTAATTTTTCATAATATCATTTTTTTAAAGTATAAAAAACTCGTAAAATATTCAAAATAAAGTAAAATAATAGGTGAGTTAGATAATTCTCACACAGATTTAGAAATTAGAGGTGAATTGATCTCCCAACACCGTCCGATCGGTTGGTGTGCTATTAAAAATTACAATCAGACCACAAAGAAATAAATCTGTATCAAATTTTCAATATATCTAAAATCCTACTTGAAAAATATCGGCGTTTCATCCTTACAAAAATTTTTCCATATTAAAATTATTTCTACTACGTAAAACCCATTCCGTTGCTAAATCCGTAAAAAAAACTGTCTTCAACCAGACCAGATTTCATCGTCTGATAAACAAATAAGGATTTTTATCCAATATTTTATCCTCTCGGATCAAAGCCAACCACATTTCGCAACTTATCTCCACCACCATGAAACCACACCACCAAACCAAAACCAAACCAAAAGCGCAGCCAAAACCAGTCATAATTTTGACAAGACGTATGGAATGAAATAAAATTAGTAAAGTAACCGGTTACTCCCGTAAAATAAAATAAAATATTTTGCGCATCTTTCTTGTGACCACCAATTCGCCCTCGGTCTGGGTCCTTCCTCCTCTTATGCAAGTGGATAATGATGATGTGCTGACTAAAAAATGCCGTATAATGCAACTCACTCACTCATTAATAATATATTGTAATGGTGATGATGTTGTTTTTTCGCAGTCTGAGTCTGAGGTGAAGGTACGTGAAACTCTTGTAGATATGTCCAGTGTTCGAATCTTATGAAAATAATGACGACCCGTCGTTTCGTTCGGTCATCTTTCTTACAACTTGATCATCATCATAATTCCTCTTAAAATTCCAAACTCGCAAAACAAAGGCGCTATTTGGCTGGTACCACCACCACGTCGACGTGAGGGCTTTGCTGTTCCATGAATTGGATTTGACTGACTAGTTTTGCGAGAAAAAAACGTGTAGGCGGTGGGGATTTGGTACATACTTTTGTGATTATTTGAGAGACGAGAGGAATCCCACATCTGCAGAGAGAATGGATTTCTGCTGGATGCAAAGTATTGTTGCGGCCGAAATCAAGACGAGATCCTCTACCTGGCTGAATAACAGGTAGATCTGCTTTTTAGTTGGTGGTGTGGATGGATGGATAGTAAAAAAGCTCGTTTTTCGTGTGATCAACTACTTATGCAACTTGCCGAAATTATTTGGTCTCTGTTAGTCGTCTTTGCATAGTGGTTCATTGTGGTTGTGGCCAGTCCACTTCTGCATGCAAGGGAACAACGTGGCTTTTCATAGTAATTCTGCACTTTATGTATCGTACCGTATGTCATGTTACACGTGTGAGTGAGACGATCTAATTTGTGTGGGTCTAATTAATTTGGTACAATTTAAAGTGCAGAAGTGGACTTAACAAAGTGTGCATCAAGTAAAAAGTGAGAGTGTGGAATTAAAAGTCTTGATACAAAATTGTGAGATTTTACTTACTTGCATAATTTTTGGCAAAAATTGTGGATTAGTTGAGAGAGAACTTGCCACATAAATATTTTCTGTCGTAACTGCCAAGTTTTATTTCAGCAGGATTAAGCATTTCTCAATTTTTGTGGTAGTTTGGGTCTCCAAGTTTAAGTCTTAATTGGAATCTCATACTCAGCACTGTTTTTTAATGCCTGTTTAAAATTACTAAGATTACGACGTGATAAGTTTTCTTGTATCATCATAAGGAAAATATAAAAGTAAAATTGTTCAGCGATTGACAAGCGTGTGGTCGTGATAATTAATTCTGGGGGGAAAGTGAGATTAGTTTTGTTTTTTGGTGTGGTTATCGATATCCATCATCATGTCACGCCCACTCATGTTCCGCGTGGGAGGCACGGTGATTCTGAACATTTGGTGGCAGATAATCCTCATGGCGTCCTACACCGCCGCCATCGTCGCCATTCACAACTATGTCGACGGCTTCAGGATGAACTTCCCCCAAACCCTGGTCTGTCACTTTTCTTAGAATGGAGGTCTCCCAGCCGGTGCCCTCCGATTTTAGTGTCAATCGATCACAAGTTTAATTAGTATGAAATTTGGAAAAGACATAATCTCCCAATGTGCAGGTTTAGCAGAGATATTCGCATCCGAAGAGGAGAAATCGCACCCTAAAGTTCGACAAGTTTTGCACTCTCCAAATTTACTGCACGTTTTCTCCTCTTTGGATGCGAATATCTCTGCCAAACGTGCCCATTGGGAGATCGTGGCTTTTCAAAATTTGTGATCGATTGACACTAGTTTGTCGAAATACGAGAGCATATGTATGCTGGGAGACCTCCATTGCTAGGAAATATAGTTTTAAATGCGGTATCGCGTCGTGTCATAAACTTTTGCAGACTAAACAAGGTTTGAATGCTTACCTTTCTTTCAGATCCCAGTTTTGGGCGTGGTGACCGGTTTGCTCCTCGTCTTTAGGACAAACACGGCCTATGACAGGTTAGTCAATCTCCATGATAATAAAGATCAAGGGGGGAGATTAACTCGTATATACGAATAAATAAATGGCTCTGCTACACAGACGGAGATAATGCCAAGTTTGGTCGCAAAAAATTCACACATTTCTTATATTTCTAGTTCAAGTATGTAGAATTGCAGATAACAAATAATCCAGTGACCAGTCAAAATACGCTAATTTTTAAAGAAATGTTACGCATAATGGCAGTTTGATAAAATAAGTTGTTTTATTTTTAGTTTTATATTTTGCACAGAAATTGAACAATTTCTTAAATAAATTAGCAGAGAATACGAACAACTTTTACTATTAAACTTGTTTAAAAATTGCACAAAGTTTGCATTCCTCTGTATTTGCTCAGGTACTGGGAAGGTCGCAAAATCTGGTCGACGATGACCCTGGCTATCCGAACTTTGACCAGGTGCATTTGGGTCATGATCAAAGAGACTGAAGGCAGTGGGTCGAAGGACGTGGTGGAAAAGGCGTCCGCCATCAATCTCCTCCTCGCCTTCTCTTACGCCACCAAAAACTACTTGCGAGAAGAGTACTCTTACGATGAAGACGTAAATAATCAATTAACTAATTATCCATTTAATTAACTTAGGACTCAATGATTCATCGTTCAAATAAGTAGATTTTTAAGCATTTCTCTCGGCTCTGGGAATTTATTTCAAAATTCTGGACGAGAAATTTCCAGACCAAGTCGTTGCCAATTTAAAAATATAAACTCTAGATTTTGACATTTCTTAAAGATCTTAAGCCTTCAGAAAAATTGTAACTCATCCAAACTTGCTTATAAAATTCACCGCAATTCTATTAATCAAATTGCTGAAGTGATTATGTCGCCCAGAATTTTAAAAGAAATTCCCAGAGCCGAAAACTGATTAAAAATGTGTTGATTTTGGTGATGAGAGATTGCGTTAGCTAATTGAGTTTTTCGCAGGACCTGAAAGAACTTATCAGTCACATTCCCCGGTTCTCCACGCCGAGTTCCAACCAGCCCTTGGAAATGCAGGAGGAGGACTTTGCCGAAACGCGGCGACGTTCGGCATCGAGGGACTCGGCGCCGGGGACGCCCGTGGTGAAACCTCCGCTCAAGAAGAAAGAGGGCTCCTTGACCGCCTACGATGTCGTGGTATGCTTTTGACAAATTTAATTCGGGGTCGTCTGTTCTGAAAAATATGCTACGCGTGGCGTGGGTCGGTCGGTGGGTGGGTAGAGTGCAGTTTTACTAACAACAAAATTTGCATATAATTAATAAGTAATAATTTGCAAATTAAATAAAGAACAGCGAGTCACGAATTTTAAAAGTACAAATATTTCTAACTTTCTTTGTCAAAATAATCTTTCGTTTTCCCCAATTTTTTGTCAATGAAAGAAAACTAAGCAGAATTTTCATAAGTAATAATTTTCAAATATTTCTAGCTTTCTTTGCCAAATAATCGTTTCTTTTTCACAATTTGTTCCCAATTTTTTCCGTAATTAATTAAGTAATTAATTAACAATTTGCAAATTATTAAAACAAAGAACAACGAGTCGCGAAATAAATAATAAAAAACACAAAAATTTTCTTCCAGCTTTCTTTGCCACAAAAATACTTTCTTTTTTCCCATTTTTTCACAATTTAGAAAACCATTTTTTGTCAAAGAAAGTAAATTTGAGATTTGAAAAGCCAATGTTCATCCCGAAAAGGGGAACGATGTTATGAAATTGCAGACGCCGACGAACATCCCGATCGAGTTGAGCTACTATATCGCCTCGTACATTAAAAGTGTCAAGGATCGCGACCTCATCGACCCCTCGACCCTAACCGTCATGAATAATGGTCAGTACCATCAAAAGTTAATTGTTTATTCGCTAATTCAGCCGGCAAGAACTATTTCATGTAATGATCAAAGTGCGGATAGATATGTATTTATTTCCAACTTTTTCATATGATAACAACCGATTTGATTTGATTTAAACTTTTATTCGAGTGAATAGCCGACGGCCAAACTTTTGTGTTCCCTAAGTCGCATAGATCACAAAAATTCCAAAATGTTTCCACATTTTGTCATGTATTTCTCGGTTTTTAGAAATAATTCCGTTATTATTTCCGAAAAATACGTAAATATGTATTTTAGACATTATGAAATAGAAATAGAGATAACTATTTCAACGATACGAGACAATTTTTTTTGCTTAAAGAAATTCGACCACAAAAAATCTAGACAATTTACCTACATTCATAAATACGAATTTTGCGAAAATTTATATTCTTATGGTTTTGTTCTTATATAATTCGTAAATATTTCGTCTTTCTTTCGTAACCGTTGAATATATATTTTAGCGATTTTTCGGAAATACATAGCCGCCCTGTGGTAATGAGCCCCGTTTTTGTAATTACTTTACTGCCCCATTTTCATGGTAAATGAAATGTATATGTGCAATTTAATTGCTAGTTTGCGTGTCAAAAAAATCGCACGCAAAAGTATTTTTGGTTCGTGGATATGCAATTTTGCATTGTATGATGTGAAACGTGTGGAATTTTGTTTTTTAAAAAGCATTAATTTATTGAAACCGTTTTTTGAACGGTAAACAAAATAGCGTGGTTTTCTATAAATTTAAAATGGAGATGAGCCTTAAAATATGCGTAGGAGTCGGTAAATATCGATTAAAGAGCTACTTACCTAAATTTGAAGAGGACTTGACTTGAGCAGGAAAAAAGAGAGGTGTTATATAATAGTTATTTGCATAATGACTTTTTGTGGCCTGGTGACAATCAACAAATTCATTAGAACCACGTGTAAGACTGTAAGAGTGGTAACCAGAAATTGTGTCTGGATTTCAAGAGAGGAGTTCCTGTTAAATATTTAATTAGGAATTAATGAGAAATTATTTAAGTGCCAATTTTATAATGAGTCGAGGTGTTAAAGGGTTCGTTCAAGTAGTATTAGAATTATTAATTAAAAGCTTTTAAACAATTTAGTAGTTACGATAAATGAAAATGTGTACATGCTCAAAAATGAACTCTAAAAAATACATGCGAAAATTTTACACCGTATGTAAAAAAAATAAATTTTAAAATTTTAAAATTAAAAAAACATTAAACAAAAAAAAATCCAAATTGACATCACAGTCTGACAAAATTAAATGTTTACGTTAATCTGTAGTTTAATAACACAAAATTAAGTACGTTAATCTGTAGTTTAATAACACAAAATTAAGTACGTTAATCTGTAGTTTAATAACACAAAATTAAGTAATTTTTGCATCAGAAGAAATAATAATAGATTTTTCCGCCTAATTGCTAAATAATTTGCAATTTGAAATAATAGGAAGTTTCAAAATAAGCAGGCAAACATTACTTATCTACAGGTACATATTTTTGCGAAGCCCAATTTTTACAAAATTTCATTAAAGTTAGGTTTGTATTCTTAATTTTTTAATTGTAACATGCAAAATATTTACGCAACACGTATTTCGCAGATCTTCTTCCAGTTACTTTCAGACTGGAATATCTCGCAATTTTATTAAAAGCTGGGATTTTCATAAAATATATTTTATTACCAAACTGCCTAATTTATCCTCCACTCATGAATTTCGGATCATTCACATATTAAAATTTACACTTACCAAGGTATACTAGAATTACTACTTTCAAAGAATCGCATCGTTTTCCATCAACTTTTAACGAGCCGGATTTTTTTTTGTCATTGTCGAGAATCTCTTTGATTATTCTCTAGTCGAGTTAAAATTTCCAGTTTTTATTAAACATTACTTTTCAGTTCCATCCAAATTGAACCCCGAGATCAATTTTACTCCTCAGAATATAAATTCATTAACTCCTTACCATTTACACCTATGACGCTATAGTGTCCCATAATTTTATTAAAAGTTACGATTTTAGCAAATGCATATCTACATAATTCCACATTAAAAATTGAGTAATTTATCGTCTCCCGAAAATTTGCCGAGTTTGGCGTAAAACTCGAACAAAAACTCAATTTTGCCCAGATGTACATAGTTAAACTAATCAAAATATCCACATTGTTGTCCATACTGATACATACATACATAAGACACATTTTAATCCCATCAGCTTTTAACGAGACGGCTTTTTTATTATTATCGAGAATTACTCTTTGGCTGGCGGAGTGAAAAATTCCAGTTTTCAAGTGTGACTTTCCACCTCCACCACATCTCGAAGGCCAATAATTTCAAGATGAAATTCATTGGCATTTGTTACAACTCGCACTTTGGTGAAGATGGACCTCCGCAGAATTTTATTTTATGGCTGGATGTAATCCTTTTTTGTTCGTTATTAGAGTAAGTAGAATTGAGAATGCCTAAAAATGGGGGCTCATCATCATCATCCTCTCTTCTTGACGAGGATGCAGAATAATAAATCTTTTTGTTGTTCATCTTCTTCTCAGAACTTTTCGTGTGCGTGTCTTCTTCTCCAAAATTGCTAAAGTGGAATGCGAATGGCGTACTCGTGGAATGGTTGACTGCATTCTCGCATTCGTCACGAGAAATTTATGCTCAAACAATGCACAATTTGCCAAAATGACATGACACGATGGATAAAACCCGTCGGTGGGTGGGAGGATGACTGGACGACTAAATTCATACGAAAGAGTTCTCAGGGTACGATATGAATGTGAAAGTGGCGAGTTACATCAGTTTTATTACGACATCTGCACTTACTAATTTTTAGCCGGAATGAAGCCTGATGGAAAAAATGTGTCTGTATGTCTGTCCGTCTCATGTACAAATTGTTAGCTGGAATGAAGGCTTATGGAATTAAGGCGTTTTTGTGTATGTGTCAGTCTTATGTCATTTACTACATAATTTGCAGAGTACGAAATTGCGTATATTTGAGTCTCTGTCCTTCCTTTATCTCGATAAGTCTCTTTAAACCTATCGGATGCAGTCGAAATTTTGAATATACATTGTATGTACGAATCCAATTATAACTTGATTCAAGGAATATTTAAATTTCGAAATATTGCAAATAAACGAGTTCCTACATAGTTCGGGCTTGACAAAGTGTAAAATTTTTTTGTTGAGAAAATAATGTGATATGATGATGTGAATGATGTACATAAAGAGGAAAAAAACTGGGAGGAAATTATTAAAGATATCAAAATCATGATAGTTTTGGTTGGGTTGTTCTCCACGTAAAAGATTTTGAGATGTCATATAAACTAAGCATACAACCGATCAAATCGTGGCATTAAACAATGATAATTTGGTCATGCAACCCAAACCAGCCATGCAGCGTACCATTTTGGAAGACAAAGAAACCATCCAATTAAGACATAAAAGTTTCTTTGTTTCTTCATCCGAGGAGAAATTTGTCTCAGAATTTTGGGTACGTGATGGTTTCTTTCGTTTTACTGGGAAGGAGAGGATGTCGGAATTTTGCACAGTCTTACTTTTTTGCACACTTTTATTCCGCATGGTTTGAAAATGAATATGCATATTTGTCTAGTACTAATTTTATTGGAATTTGTACACTAAAACGGAGGCCAGGTTTTCAAATTACCTAAGTTTATGACGTGACAAAGTGATGAGATCACGAATAATGTGTACCTTTACAAATCTCCACTGCATGCAATTAACATGACGGATGAGGACCTGTCAGACGTAAAAATAGCTTTGTTGTCACTACAAAACGAGGTTATTAACACTATGCGATTAGGATATTTATACTTCGTAATCGTGGCCCACACAAAAAAAGTACAGTGCAGATTTAAAAATATGACTACTCTCTACGCCATAAATTAATTCTCCAGTTTTTTGCACTTATCAATGTCAATGTTAGGTTCCGTCCGTGTGAACGTTAAGTTACATGTTACATCAACTCGATATTTGGATTTCAATATTCCAGTTATGATCAAAATATTCATCACAAAAATAGCTACGTAATTGTAGAAATAGTGCAGATTTTAAAATGCAAATAATTTAACGTCATATAAATGCATACATTTTGCAAGTGATATCACATCCTTGGAGTTTCGGTTGAAAAAGACGCGATTTTTTTGTGGTAATATTTTTATACTTGAACTACAAGCTTTCACACAACAAATGACGCCATACCTGTATTTTTGAAAATACTATTTATAATTTCAATTATTATTTCTAATAACGTAAACTTGTAAAGTTTAAAATTTCCATTCCAGATTTTTGCCATTTCTTATTAGACGTGACTCTACCGCGATAGACGACATCTGCTTACAATGCAAATATAAATGCAACAAGTTATCATTTGCAGTAACCTTTTTTTGCACGTGAGACGCTATAAATAACTATTCCGATCCAATCAAGACAGATTTGATTGGAATTGTGTAGCAATTTTCTTCCCATGATTCCAATCTGATATTTGATGACGAGTTGTCAAAAGTAGTCAAGCATATAAATACAAATAGGATCGATTTGTCTACACGTTTGAACCATGCATCGGGAGGGGGTCGTCATTTCGTTCTTTATAATTGGTTCACACCTTTGGCTTGGCAGATAAAAAACACGTGCATGAATGAATGGGATGACATAACCGAATCGAAAATGGTCGAGCACCCATGCAGATTAATGTATGAAACGCTCTACTTGGCCAAATTAAACACATCCTCCATTTTTTAAAGTGGGCACGAATAATCAACTTTCTGATTGACCATTTATTTCTATCGACTTACGTAACATATGTATTTGCATTTTTTTAGTCTTATGTATGGTTAGATGACAAGAATGGAAAATGGAAATTATTTCGGCGTACACTGTGCAAATAAATATGTACACAAGTAAATTAGTAATATTTATATATATTCGATTTCTCATTCGTAAGGAAAAAAAGTGTCAATAATGACGAGATGGACAATAGATTTGTGTCTGTGCATGAAAGAACATGACAATGGGACAAGTATTTTTACAACATAATTGCCTGCTTATATGATTGCAATGAAAATTTGCATAATTAAAGATGAGACATGCTAATCACTTAGATGTTCTGAGGATCTTTTTACACGGTCTGGAATTCCGATCTGTTTTAATTCGCTTCTCGTCGTGATACAAGTGATCCCTTTTTTATTAAACTGTGCAAAATCATGGATATTCCCAGTTTTGTGTCAAAGAAATCTGGTTATTTGGGCAAGATGTATGCAAATCCAGACATTCTTCTCACGTGGTAATTAGTTTGCAGTCAATCATTTAGTGGTTTCTTGTGGAGAGGAGTAAAAAACATTGCATGGTAATTTCCAATCGCTTAATTTATTCATTCCCATACGTATTAAGCAATGTAACGACTTGTTAACAAAGAATGACCACCAAGAAAGGAGGCTCGTTTCAGGTGTCAAATAAATAATTTTTTAACATAACGTGTAAATGCGCACCCACGTGTCCAGGAGGCACGAACCACAGGGTCAAATTCGTGATGCAGTGATGTGATCGATACTAAATGTTTGGACACATTTTCTTTTACGACAATGAATCGATGCCTGTTTAGTTGGTGTTGGTGTGTTTAGAGGAAGAAAAAAATACTGGTCACGATGTTGGCTAAAAAATGTAAACCTAGATTGGAATATATTTAAGACGGGGGAAAGATTTTTTAGGCATAAATTTTGTTAATAATTAGTAAAACCACGCCTTTAGTAATTAAAGGTGTCAAATCTCTTCTTGATTATAACCTTATCCGAGGCTCGATCCTTGAATCTAAATTGTCATTTTAAATAGGATAAGTTTCCCAATAAAAGTTAGTGACTCGAAAGTTGTACATATTTAATTGGTAAATGTTTAAATTATGTCAAATTTTGAAAATTTCGAAATTAAAGAAAGTTTACATTTAAAAAAGTTCCAAATTATGCTACAAAGCTTTAGATTGTTTCTATTTATCACAAATTACCTGCAAGAATCGGTGTACTTGGCTCTTGTTTGTATTCCAAATAAAATTATGAACTTGGAAGTTTTACAATTGCATTTACAATTTTAACAATTTCTACATAATATTTTTTAGGTTTAAATTTTCTGAAATTTTCGAAGTTTAATAAAGTGTAGATATAAAAACTTCCAAGTTATTCTATAACATTTCGGAATTTTTCGATTTTCGATACCAAGTATCAAAGTATCTATAAGAATGATTTGACTCTTGTTTGTACTACAAATAAAATTATGAACTTGGAAGTTTTACAATTTTTACAGTTGAAGTTTACTGAAATTTCCGAAATTAAAGAAAAATGTTTAAGCAAAAAAACTTCCGAGATATTTCGCAGCATTTTGAACTTCGATTTATCTTGTACTGCCAATCTTCAGCTAAATAGTAAAATATGTACCTATGTACAATTTAAAGAATATTATATTATAATCAAACTATTTAAATATAGATAGGAAATTATACAAAAATTATGCAAAAATCATACAAGACAGTCAAACTCGTACGTTTTTGCACAATTTCGCATTTTTTAACATTATATTATGGAGCCGCTAATTATCCAGGCGCCACACATTTTTATGCAAAAAGATAGTCAATAAATCAAGGCAAGCCACAAGCTAACAATAAAAATCCAGCCTATGAAAATATTGCCAAAAAAAGTTGATCTTGTACTCCCTCCCAAAATGTTGATAAACATGCACATACTAAACAACATGCACATACTAGTATCTGCGCAATTTTATTAATTGCGGAAAATGCATGAATTATGAATTTAGTTGTGAATTGTTGTTTGAATTTCAGCCTTGACGATGTTGGTTGACTGTTTGACGGCTTTCGAGCGGATCCTGCGGACGCCGATCCCGTTGGCGTACTCGGTGCATCTGCACCAAGCCGTGTGGCTCTACCTCCTCGCCCTCCCCTACCAATTGGTCGGAGTCCTCAATTGGTTCACCATCCCAGCCGTCACACTCGCCTCGTAATTACTCCCTTCCTTCTACCATTTGTAATAGGAATTTTGTCAGACTTTTTCAAATTATAATTCATGGAGGAAATGCATCTCATTTCATGTGAAAAGCTTGTAAGGAATCTGCACCGTCCATGAGATGAAAAGTATTTGGAAATGTTTCCAATTTGGCGATTTACGTTGGTGCAAATTTTATCAGATTTTCAAATAATCGGAAATGAATCAAATCTTATGGGACAAATTTGTCAGACATTTACAAGATTGTGGAAGTGACAAATATTTCTAATGAATGTATTAAATTTTCAAACAATCCATGTCACATGTAGAAAATGCATCCAATTTTATGAGAAAAGTTTACAAATAAAATAGTTTGGGGTAGTTTACAAAGTTAGTGGAAATGATGACCTTATACATATGCAAATACGTCATAAATACTAATTCGTAAATTTGTATGTCTAGGTTTGCACTGCTCGGAATTTTGGGCATCGGTTGGGAAATAGGTGGGTGTTTTATGCATGTACTAGATTAGAATTTCCGGAATTTCGAGTGCAAATTTTAACTGATTTTTCTATCTCATAGAAAACCCTTTCGGATATGATGCGAACGATTTGGTAATTTTTTTTACTCAAACTAATTCGATTTTTGATTCAGATTTCGATAAATTTCGGAATTTTGAAATAAATTCCAATACGCGAGAAATGTGCTGATTTTACCAATTTTGGTGATGAGTTTTCGAGCACGCTAATTTTTTCTTGAGCAGAGAACATTTAATTTTAGTAAACTTGATTACTCCTTAACTGGTTTCTTTCCAATTTTCCCTTCTTCTCAGCCGCTGGACGACTTTTGTAAAGTGATCCAGAAAGAGATTCAGACGATAATTGGTCGCCGTATTCCGAACCCGGACAGCTGGATGTTCTCCGAGAACAATCACCCCTTCGCGCCCGAGTCGCAACTGACGGCTTCCGAGCTGATCGAGCACTCGGAGGAGGACGTGCGCACGATCATGGCCATGACCGCGGCGCGCCTCTCGGGAAGAGGACCCACCTTCCGCGACTCACTCAAAGGCGTCACCATCGACGCCTCCAGACTCTCCTCCGCCAACGCCAACGCCAACGGCGAAACGGAAGCCATGTTAAAAAGGACATGAGCACACAATCAAAATTTTTAGGTTTGACCAGATTTTAATAAAACAAAATTTCCGAAGAAACTCTGTTTTTGATAATTGTTATTTGTAATTTGCAAGTTTGTAGTATATTCCGAGGAAGAATCTCAATTAAGTAATTACACAGTTTGAAATGGTATTTGCATTAGAAAGATGAACGTCCTCATTTTTAAGGAATTTAAGAGTATCAAAATTTCAAAATTGAAGTATTACTTTTCACGCAAAATTTGTACTACTTAATGTTATTGCATGTATGCAAATAGGTGCATGTAAATTTGTGAACGTTGTGGAAAATGATTTTCAACTGTGTTTTGATAGATAGTTTACTTGATGGTTTGATAAAGTGGATTTTTTAAGTCGCGTATTGTTCTTTGTGCTGTATTTGAGTATTTAATAAAGTATAAGTAAGCGTGTATGTATGTAGATTCGATAAGCGAGCAGTAAGTAGCTAAATATTTTATGAATGGAATTGTAAACTAATTTCTTTATTTTTCTTTTCAAAATACGAAATAAAAAAAAAGTTTTAGAATAAAACGAGAACTAATCTAAATATGGAAGCAGGGGGGACATATGTAGTCTCCTCAGAAATTTATAAAAATCCTATCTTGCATGTTAATAAGCCCCCTTTTCTATCTCACTCACAATGCTAATGTCCCCCCAACTCCCCCCACCACTGTTACGGATAATTTTCTGTGATTTGAATGACTTCGGGTGAATAAAATATTCGTCATTTTTTTATTACACAATTTTCTTTCATGACAAATACATATTTACTTGAGTAAAATTTGAATTGCACAGAATTTCTTGGTCAACTTTTTCAATCTCTAGCTAAGCATTTCTCATTTATTCAGTTCAGTACTTGGAGCTGCACCCTAATCAAAGGAGTAACTAAATCTATAAAATTTCTGAGATTTACAGATATTTAAAATCATCACATCACAAAAATTAAAGTCTCAAAACTTGTATCACACAGTAAATATTTCGGGTTAAATAAAATGTTTAAATAAAAATTATCACAAAAAGGGTATGATAAAGTAAGAATTAATGTCACGTAAAAAATACGAGACCACACAGCACCACGACCACGCACGAAAAATATTGATTCAATCTCCAAAAATCTGTACACCAAGTTCCACAACTTATTGCAAAAGTTGTTATTATTACTGATCTGCTATTACAAACTACCACTGTAAAAAGTGGAGGATTTACATAATAATACTGACTAAATGAAAACTGGAGAAAGATATTTAGTGAAATATTTATGAAATGAGCTACTTAACAAAATCTTCCAGCAGACCTATAGCTTCCGCTTCGTCGCAGTCAATATTTAATGAATGACTTGTAACTTAATTTATTCTCCAAACTGATGAATTTGTCCATCTTGTACTTCATTTTGGGGTGAAACTTCACACACCTCGCCTTCTATGCTTGCCACCGTTTCGTCACAGCGTTGCAGAGTCTGCATAACATTTGTACAATGGTTGCCGTCACCGCCACCGCAATCTTCATATGCTTGCATCCCCTCGGCCAGAAATCGGTTGTGGGCTTCATTACTCCTCGATGGGGAAGAATAGCTGGGGTTGTCGTGACCGATGGTTGTTGTCATCGTTGCCCCTGTGGCGGTGGTGTCTTCGAGGTAATCTCCATCAATGGAATTTGTCGACGTGGAGGCGGTGGCCGTGGCAGAACTAGTTCCACCACCACCACCACCGAATAAGCTTTGCGGGAGTCGCTTTCTGGGACAGAATCTGGAGAGGCGATTGTGTCGGATGGAGTGCTGCAGGATGGCGGCACTTATTGGGGAGGCAGAAGATGATGATGTCGACGGCAAGGGACTTATTGCTCCTGGGGATGATGCAGAGTGGCGGCGAGCCGTCTGGTTTTGTACCCTTTGCTCCTGTGCGGCCCGTTGACGCGCGTTGGCTTCGATCATCATGCGATGAATGGCACGGTAAATGGGTTGCTGCTGGTTGGTAAAGTCCTACGGCCAGGAAAGAAATTATGATGGAATTTTAGAAAAAATTGCATAGATTTTGAGATAATTTTTCGAATTTTCAACTATATACTCACGCTTTCGTTGAAAGTGAACGTTAACCCGCCCGGAAGCGCGTGGTCTAATTGTGACGATGATCCACCAGTCTCCCTTCGAAGGAGGGGCGTCCTCTCGTCTTCCGTGGACGAATCTGAATCATACGGCTCTTCCGGGAAGACAATCTTTCTCTTGCAGTTGGGACACTTGCGACGCTGATTGAGCAGCCAGGGGTCAATGCAGGTCATATGGAAGACTAAATAAAAGTAGGTATCAAAATTAGTACGGATTGATATCCACGCCACCATTTCATTTCCTGTAATTCTTTTTTTATACGTACCATGTGAACATGGAAGGACGCGGACTTTGTCTAAATCTACGTAATTTTCGAGACAAATTGTGCACATATCTTGCGGAATGGCAGAGCTCCACTGTTGCACTGGGATTCGTTTCAGTTGACTAGACGGCAAGCGACGGCGACGGTTTAAGCGACGCGTTTCGATATAGTCGACGACCGTGTTTCGGATCTGCATATAGAAGTTTTTTTAATTTTCGTACACTTTTTGGTAATTTCTCATATTTATGTACGTACCCAAACCACGAGCAGGATGAACATCTGGACGACGCAGTAGCTCAACGCAATCGCCAACAGGATGGCGATAAGGGCTAAAAACGTGGTGATAAAAAGTCTCGTCCACGTGTCGATGGATTCGTCCTCAAAGCGGATAATGTATCTGGAGAAAATGGGATTAAATTAAAATTGCGTAAGGTTTTCTAGTCGTGAGGAGGACATGACATACTCATCCGTGGTGAAATTTGCCCAGAGAAGTTTTCCATCCCGACTGGACACGAGGCAGGGATAAATGGAGAGATTATTGTCCCAATCGTCCCCAGCAAAGAAGGCCGTGTCGACGGTGTCGTCATCTTCGTCAAGCTGGATTACGACAGAGGAGTAGCCTGCTTTGTCCGCGAGGGTCAATTTGGTCATAAGGGTGCATCTGGAGACAGATAAGAGAAGAGCACGTTGCGGTGGATTGGTATGATGGAATTTAGCAATATTTGTGTTATCGGTTTACGTATTATGTCCCTCGAGATTTTTTGCATACAAATCTACCAAAAGATTTAGATTATTGTAAAAGTAAAATCAACTCGGTAGTTCTGCCCCTTCAAAAGTTAGTAAGTTTTCCAATTTCCAACTTTTTTTATAGCATCTCGAAATCAGTCAAACTTCAATCTTCAATAACTTTTGAATGGGCAGAGCTACTACCGAGTTAATTTTACTTTTGAAATAATCCTAGTTTTTGCATGTTTCGAAAACCGATAATACATGTCTACAAATCAGTCACTCTCGGTCAACGTATAAATATTTAAAGTACCGATCGGCCCTGTCCCAGGTTGCTATTAAAATCCAGTCAGGTTCGATGGGATAACTACCGTTGGATGAGGGCGGCAGTGGCGGCGGGCCGATGGAAGAACAGGCATCTTTAGGATAGGAATGGACGAGGAGACCCTATAGCAAAGTTAATTAAGTTCAAGTCAAAAAGGTCAACTAATTTGCATATAATATGATACGTGTAATAATACCTCTAAATCTTCTGGAGATTTTCGCATCAATTCCTGATTCCATTTACAGCTTGTTGAAAACACTGGTTCTTCGTCGGGGTTGAGGATTGAAAGGACTTTTAGCAACGTAGCATCGCCCCCCGGTGGGGACGAGAGAAGAAGAAGGCACGAAAAGGCCACACAAAGGCCACGAATTGACGACATTTTTGTTTTTGTATTCGTTTATACAGATTTTTATTATTGTCCTCGTTTTAAATCACCCTTTAAATAAATTAGCTGTCACGATTTATTGAAATTTGGTTGACTTATTGTTGACACAGTCAGAGAGTGGACAGATATTTAATTGTTCCATTAAAAAACAAATATTTTCCATCAACTTACTCAAAACCTTTCTCTCAAATTACGTATTAATTATTGACTTAAACAATCACTGGCAATTAAATACTACAATTTTTTGCTTTAAATTAATAATTTGACTCATTAAAATATTGTACTTTTTACTATCTTGTCCAGATCAACTTTCTCCTCACTTTCTCCCCACCGTACAAATCTAAACTCCCCTATTTTCGCCATTTTCTTATTACGTAACGTAACACACTTAACTTTAACTATTCAACTAAAAGTGTTGGTCTTATCAGCCAAGAAAAGTCATCATAATTAAAATTAATCACTCACAAACGAGAGAGAAGAGCAGAGAGAATTCATTAGTCTGGCTACTTCTGCGTATTATTATTTGTACGAGGAGGATGAGCTCATTGCATTTCTTGTACTTAACTTTGAACAGTTTCGTTGAATTGAATTATTCGTGGATTGCGTTGCGTATACCGCAATGCTAAATATTTATTAGTTAAAAAACGACTTGGCGAAATAAAGTGAAATTGCAATCTCTCCGAGTCCAGTCAGATCGGATTGGATTCTCGTTTCAATTTAGCTTTGCAGGATATGAACGAAATCCATTCCAGCCAGTGCAGATTTTATTGGGAATTTGAGACATGGCCATCGTACGTTACGTATGTAATCGTCTATAGAAAATCCTTGAGAAAAAACTTGTCCATTTTCACCATGCCATGATTGCAAATTAGTACTCAAGAAGGCTATAGCAAAATGTGCTACATAGATATTTGGATGGATACGTAACGTGTGATGTAATGAATGAAAATCGACACGGCACATAAATTATTTTGGGGCAAAGTCAAGATAAATGTTGACAAATCGGCCAATTAGGGACAGTCGGGTGCTATAATTAATAAATTGGGCACTGTGTCATGCACAATTAGCTCAACACTGTAACAATTGTCGGCAAATTGACACGACAACTTTTGTGCCACATGCGGAACCAACTTTCTCCCTAAAAGTAAGAAAGAAAAAGTTCATGACAGGATGCGTTTGTATTATATTTTTAGCGTTTGTTACTTTAGACTTGTCTCCTGATGCGTGTTCGCTGTCGAAAAGGAATGAGATTCACTAAATTTGGTCGATATAATCAATTAATTAGGTTGCTATTCCAGACATGTAAGCTAAAATTGTATGATTCATAATCATAACCTAACATCCTCTTGTTCTGTTCTACATATGTATGTTCTCAAGCTATAGCAAAAGTTTGACAGAGTACAATGCATAATAATTTGCGATTTATTACACATTTAGCTGGTGTTGACTAGTTGACTACTGAATGAATCATCAACATCTCCGTCTCATGCCGTTAAAAGTTACGACTTGTTTATTGCCCTTTGTATTTACGGATAACGTATGTATGTATCGTGGTTCAGCCGAGTTTTAACTTTTTCATGACATGAAGAACACGACGACGACGACGACGGCGACGCAGTAACCTTAATTCAATGGAACGACTTGTCCCGTGAAAGGAAATAATAGGATGGAAAGGTGTGAAGGTTGGATAAAAATAAGATGAAACAATGGATGTCAGGTGTCACTAATGGCGTTATGTAGTAGCAAAATTCATTACTGTTTGTTCATGCGAACTAACAATAAGTATGTTCATAACTAATAAGGTAAGTAAGTATATGTTAATGATCGCTTATTTATAAACTGAGATACATATTAGGTTAGGACACGAACTTGTGTATTGGCAATGATATTTCATCTCACGGTGTGAATAATGTGCAAGTAGATAGCTGCTAATAATAAATATTTAACAATAATGTAGGTACAATTTAGGAGCATTGCATTTTCCATTTTGTAGTGGATAGTCTCGTTGAAAATATTTGCAAATATATTTGCATATGTACATACTTATTTTGCAAAACCTACTACATGTGACACAATTGCAAATTTTTATAAAAAACTTGTCAAAAAAATGACAACTTATGCTTTTTATGGAATTACATTAGAGTGTTTGAAAAATCATAATGGGCGTACTCACGACAACTTCTTATTTCGCATCGCAACTCATTTAGCAAACTTGCGAAGATCAAAATATTTCTGTCGTGAGGGGATTCGCAAAATATGACTTCGCAAAACTCCCTTATCTCGCAAATCTACAGAAAAACACCTATTTTGGTATTGTTTCCATGGATTTCTGTAATTTCTCTTGCAGAATTACTTTGCGAAATAATTTTGCGAAATAAGGACATGCTCAATTGCTGGGTAAATTTGCGAAAAAAAATCCCATGGTTTTCCAGCAAATTTTTTGCGAAATCTCGCATATCTCGCAAAACTTCGCAAGTTATGTTGCTATGCTCAATTTGCGAGATATGCGACATATGCGAAGGTTGACGTGAGTACGCTCAATAATTTTCTTGCAGAATTTTTAGCCACAAGATGAAATAAGACACTTTATTGTTTGTAAGCATTTAAATGGGAATTTATTTCTTGCACCGTCTGTTTTTTAATGTCACGCAATTATTAATAATCGTGATGTGTTTGGTTTTTACAATATTTTGGAATGCGACACAATAAATACTTCATGTATACGAAATTAATTTCATTAATTTACTTTGTTACACAAATAGTCTTATTTTCTAGTACATAATTATGTACATAAAGTCGATTAATAAAATATTGATGTCCATGATGTGGACAGTTCTTTTTATTCTGAAATGCTTAACATACTGGTATAAAATTGTACATTATTTGCATTATTATTTTGCATCATTTTTTGCATTGTTGTAATAAATATTTACTTGATTCATACCATCCATCAGCGACGCCTTCAAACACAAAATACTAAATTACAAACTATTGAAATGATAAACTTCACAATATTGTTAGTTATTTACATAGTACACAATTTTTTACCGATTAAAAGAAGAGATAAATACATCAAAAAAGTTGGACTTGATAATTTACATGCAAAATTACACCATAAAATCAAACCATCTCTTCAGTCATTTAAAAAAAAATCAGCCTTTAAAAAAAAGTTACAGGAAAACTTAAGGAATGTGCCCGAAATTCACAATATAACGACTGAGAACTTAACGAATTAGTATTTAATGACTTTAAATCCTTAATTGTAATATTAAGTTAAGCGTGATACGATCCCGACGAGGAGGACGTTGAGGATTGAAAACTCCCATAATTCGCACACCCCTTGGAGCCTCCCGTCCCGTCGAAAGAAGGGTATTCAGACTCGAAACCTTCGCACGAGTGGAAACTAGCACACGACGCGGACAAACTTGCACACGACGTCGACGCTTCTGCTGCGGCGAGAGGACGACTTTCCTCCTGTTCGGGATTAATGTCGTAAAAATCTATCAACGTCTGATCCGAGGAAGAGGTTGAAGAGCAAGGGGACAGGTTATCTGCGAGGTGCTGTTGAGTCGTCGTGGTACTCGGAGAGGGATGAATTTGAAGAATAAGCTCGATCTGGGGAGGAAGATTGCTACCAGAATGAGACGAACTGCTCCCTGCTGGCTCATTCTGATTGATGACTAATCCTCTCAGGGGACTTTTTAGCATGGACTTTTTCGGAGAAGGGTTCGCTCTAGGGCCCATCGGGAGCACGAAGGCTCTCTTTATAGCGTCCGCCGTACTTGGTTTCCTTGCCGGGTGATGGTTCCCTGAACCGCTGCCAAAACTGCTGTTGGACGAGTCCGACATGGTGGACGAGAGGACGGACACGGCCGGAGCGAAGGAGACTTTGGTGCTGGATTTTCTCCTTGGTGGTGGTGGAGGGGGATTGTTCTCTTCGTCGAGGGGGTCGTCTTCTTGGAGGTATTGGTGGTACGAGTCTTGCTGGGAGGCGAGCGTGCGCGAGTTGTGAGATTCCGTTAAGGTTTCAATAAAGCGATAGTTTTCTCGGGGGCGGAGGAGTGGCGTTCGTTCGTCTCCTTCAGATTCGTCGACGTCTTCAGAGTCGGAGGAGTACGTGTAGGACCGCTCGTTCGGAAAGAGAACGCGACCCTTGCAGTTGGGACATTTACGAGACTCCTTCAACAGCCAGGGATCAATGCAGACTTTGTGAAATACTGGAAAAATAGGGAAAACATTTTATTAATTAGTAAATTAAAGATTAATTAAATTGGTAGAGGTTTGTGAGATGATAAAGCGCTTTCTCTAAAACTATTATGAAGATTATTTATCCATTAAAAACTGCACACATCATCGTACATCTTAATCGTAGGAAGCTAATCATTTTGCAAACAAAAATACTCGATTTATGCTAAAATGTTCACTATTTTCCAATTATTTGCCTTATTTATTACCGTGCGAGCAAGGAAGGACTCGGATTTCGTCTTCAGCTTCGAACAGTTCGATGCAAATGGAGCACGTGTCTTGCGGAATGGTGGGGGACCAACGAAGAACTGGAAGCTTCCCCAACTGCGCCGTAGATAAAAGGGTTTTCCTGATCCGGCGCCGTTCCACTACACGCGTAGTCACCTAAACATTGGGAAAGCATATTTAATTAACGTCTCTATTAAAGATTAATAGTTAATTAATTACAAAACTGCTCACAGAAAAGTACAAGTAGTGGAATAATTTGAGGAGGAGGAGGACCGTTAAAATGGCAAGGATTCCAATCACTACAAAATTCGTTAAAAGTCCGATCGGGTAGTAGGGTTCGTTTTCAAATCTGACGTAAAATCTGGGGAAAAAAGTGTGCACATTAGATAACCACTCGCGAATGATAAATATCGCCAAGTCTTATTTGACATTGTTTTAAGAAATTTAAGAGTATGTCTTCATTCTCATTCTAAGGATAAATAATTTGCGAATTCTGTCAATTTACCAACTTTTTGCTTATAATAGCTACCTCACCTGCTGGGATAGGCGTAGTTTTGCATTAAAAATGCTCCAACTGCATCCCCCACGACACACGCGTAAATCCTGACGCCCAGCCAGTCCAATCCGATGAATTGTGGAATTACGCCGCCCGAGTCGTTGGACCCTGTTCGACGAAGGACAATTCCCGCATATCCAGCAGCCTGAGCAATTTTTGCCTTCCTCGCTAAAGAACAGTCACCTCCTTGATCGTTTCCGGAAGTGGGGCCGACCGTGGCCAAGAGAATGTAGGAATGTGGGGCGGACGAGGACGGGTCGATTGGAGGGGGAGCGTCGACAGTGTGACAGGCATCGAGCGGCGTCGCCAAGACGAGGCGACCCTGGAAATAGATTTAGATTATAAGAGGTTATCCAAAAATGGGGTTATCGCAACGCTTACGCTCAATTTATACGCGGACGCACTGTCGATTCCAGCCTCCTCGGTGGAAAATACTGTTTCATTCGTCTTTTCTGATATGACAGATAAAGTCGCAGAGGTCAAGGTTGACGTTGAGATGATAAGTAGGGTAAGGACGCCGAAGGAGTGACACATTGTGGATAAATGAGGTCAAAAAATGTTTCACTATAAGAACTCAAGATGACACGGTCACCATTTTATTGTCATTTGGTCAACACGATACTTATTAAAGTTATAAATCCAGAAGATAAACGGTCAGGAACTGATTCTCCAGTTCAGAGACACACAATTAACTGAATAACTAATTGCTTGTCAATTATCAACTTTTTTCACCTGATTGAAAACTATTTGTTTATTTATTAGCCACAAAATAAATTCTTTGACTTTTCCTCATATCCAAAACTAAATAAATAGAAATTTGTCAAGAATTAAAATTCCGAAAAAATCATCTCGTTTACAAAAAAACTTCCGTCCTCCAATTTACGATAAACGACCTTCAACGTTCGATATAATCATCAAAAACCGTCCAAAAATAAGTTTTCCACACTTACAAATCAAAATAAATCAGTAAATCACGGTTAAATAAAAATTAAAAAAAATGAATCGTTTCCAAAAAAAACTTTTCTCTCTTTCACCAGCATCACTCAAACTGCAAACTGTAATAAATATTTGGAACTCTCGATAATTAATTATTAAATATGTACCAAAAACTCTCAACAATTATATCCGTCACATCCTTTCATTTTTTGTTGTGCTTTTACTACTGGACGTGATTTTGTTATATTTTTGCTTTTGCCTGGTGTGCGACGTTATCTGGTCGAGTAGCAAAAAGTTAAAGTGCAGTGTTTCAACTTCAACCCTTTCCTTCTGCTCATGTGTTTCACATTTTGTGATCATGCTCTTTTTCTACAACCAAACTGCCTTTCGTCACAAAAGGTCTCATGTAACAAACTGCTTTTGTCACAATAATATGCTCACCATATATTTACAACACTCTCTGTGTCTGGATGGATGGGTGGATAACAATATTGGATTGGATTTGGATTAATATTTTACATGTCATGAGTGACGAGTAGACTGCGTTGCATGCTAAAACAAGGGACAAATAAGTTTCTATATACTTTAGTGACTCATTTATTTTAAGTAGCTGACTACATACTATAATCAATACGAGCTACTTATTTTTTCTAACATGTTACAGGAGGGACGAATGTTAAGTCAAAGAATTTGACTGAACTGGACGAGAGTGACAATTTATTATTTATTTAACATTTAAATAAGAGTCATATCACCGGATGACATGAAATCAACCCCGACATGTTCATATGACACTTTTACATACATTTTTAGAGACTCTAGCCTGCATGAAAACAAACATTTTTTTATGACACACTGGTGACAAAAAGGGTTCAATTGTAGACAAAATAAAATGGTGCTATTTCATATCAGACCAAAGTTTCAGTTTTCAGTAATAAATTGATAAGATAAAACGAATTATAACATGAATGCAAATCGAGAATAATACGTAATTTAACACTAGTTAAAAATTCTGCGACTGATAATATTCCGTTATCGCAGACTAAATTCATAAAATTGGTTGACCATGCAAAATCTTATCGACAAATGCATAAACTCAACGGAAGTGGAATGACTGATAAAGCTTAATAATGCGAATTTTAATTTGACGTGTTTTTGTTTTTGTTTATTTATTTACTTAGCGGTTTATGATAAGATGACATGGATTAAAAAATCCTTGAATCTAACCCTGATTTATTGTTCCCGATGGTAAATAGAAACCTGCTCCTCGAAAGAGAATTTAATTATTAAAACAGGACATGGCGAAGGACAAGAAGTCATCATGAAATAAAAATGAGCTACATGGATCAATTTCTTCCCGTACATGTGTATTGATTCATTTCATGTCGTGTCCTTATGTATCCATGCCTGGAAAAATTAGCGAGGAAATATCATGTCATCAAGTGTTCTGGTGGGATTATTGATCGTGTCGTGATTCTACCAAAATATTTATTTATTATCGATTCATTCCCGACTTTTAATCCCGTCTGGATACAAAATGACATAACACTCTCTGGCCAAAAAAACCTGCCGGTAACTAAACTCGCACATACATCTATTCCTCTGAGGAAAATTTGTTTAAAAAAATTCCAGCCACACGATTAAATATTTAATATCATGTTTTTATTTTTGAAATTGAAAATAGTATTTTTTAAATCACGGGATGGTTTAAAACCTCAAAAATATTTTTGTCCTATTCAATTCTTCAATCTCGTATTCCTGTTCGTCGTCACCTTGTGGAAATTCTAGATCCTCCGACGTCACGATTTCCTCTACGACGACGCCATCATCGTCCTCGTCCTCCTCATCTGTGGTGTCGTTATTTCTGTTTTTCTTCTTCCTTTTCCCCCCACAACGCCCTCCTTTCGTCGTCGCCGTCGTCATCGTTCGCCTCCTCGTGCTATTTCTACTCTGATGAGTCCCAATCTTCATATGTTTCGTCAACCGCGACTTGAGCTCAAACACCTTGAAAATTAATAAACAAATAATTTTAGTTTATCACTCTCCTTTAAATTATGCGCTTATCCTCTATTAATTTCTGTACTTACCTTGTCACACAGTTCACACGGGTACATTTGCTTGCACCCCTGCACCGGCCGGTCCATTGCCAAGACTGGGCGCACCTTTTTCCGTACACACTCCTCCCCATGCGTCGCGATTACATGTCTCTCCAAATTCTTGGGATAGCGGTACGCCTCCTCGCATCCCGTCACATAGCATGCAAACGGTCTCCAATCGGGCGGATTGTGGGAAACTGTGTGCTTCTTGAGGTCAAACTTTGTGGGGAATTTTAACCCACACTTTTCACAGATGAACTCCCTCTCGTCATACGTACCGTGACAGCGCGCCATGTGATATCGGACGGCCGCCGGTGTTAAACACTTTTTGTCACAGATGGGACAAAATTTCCACTTGTGGATCATATTGGCAGGATCGTGACGCACTTTGTGTAAATTTACGCCTCGCTCAGTAGTCATTTCTATCCCGCAAATGTCACAGAGGAATTTTGGCCGGTCTTTTTTCTGAACGTGAGTCTCCATGTGGGATTGGAGGCCTTGTTTGAAGCGCAAAATCTTGCTGCACAGGGGGCACGGAAAATGCCCCGGTCTCGTGGTAGATTTCGGTTCTTGGAAGCCTTGCGCGTGCAGCGCGGCAACTTCGGCGGGAGAGTAGTGCGACCATGTGTGGACCAAATAGGAGTGCAGCGTGGCAAATGGGGCGTAGCACGTGGGGCACGAGGTGAGCGAGAGGGAGGGGTCAGTCAGGGGTAAAAAGTGAGTGGGGTGGGTGGATTTCACGTGTTTGCGGTACTCGGTCAAGCTGAGGAGGGGCGGCGTCGGGTGGGTGGGTGGACAGTGTGGGCAGACGCGGCATTTTTTGGCTTCGGTGGATAACACTGGGTAAAAAGAGGGCAGCAATTAATTATCAATTATCTTTAGAGTTAGAAATATTCGGAAACTTCTTAATAAAATTAACAAACCTTGAGCTGCTAATGTTTTGAAATGCGTGTCTCTAACGTGGTCCATCATTCTGTTGTCGGCTTCGTCGTCACTCTGGTTCTCGACATTGACGAATTCACAGTTTGGAAATCCACACGTTAATCGCCCCCAGGAATCTGGGACGAATTCATGATGGAGAAAGTACTTCTTCCCATTGACCAGAGTTAGAGAGGAGACCGAAGTGAAATCATTTTCCGGAATTTTGTCCTGATTTTTCGGTTTATTCGGTTCTTCATCTTGGTCTTCATCGTCCAATTTAACAGGTTCTTTTGTCACGCCTTGAGTCTTTCTCTGGTACAAAGGTATCCCAACTTTCTTGCAGTGCCATTTTTCATAAACTTCCCGACGGTGTTCCCTAGGGTCTGGGAATCCTTGCGAGATGAGGGCTTGGACTTGGAGGGGGGAGTAGTGACTCCACAAGTGCGAGTAGAAGGTGACCCGAGTGGTAAACTGCTTGAAACAGGTGGGACACGACGCGATATAAAAGTCGGGATCGTCCCTTTTATAGAATTCTGGGTGGGTGGACTTCATATGTTTTCGGTGGTCGGAAACATTTCGGAGACTCGAAGGAGACGGACAGATGACGCACTGGCGACACTTTGTTTGTCCACCGAACGCTGTGAAGAGAAGAGACGGAAATTATGAAGGGATGCGCGTGGAGATTGCTTCTTAGATATGTAAATATGTTTAACATTTGTTATCAGTTCTGGAAATATCCTCGTTGAGAGTTTTTACGGAAAAATCAACGCAACAATTGGGATTATTTCATTCAACCAATGAAATTAGCTCGGTAGTTCAAAAATTATTGAAGGCCAAAGTTTGTTGAGACTTCTAGCAGACTACCGAGTTCATTTTGTTTTGAAATAATCCTGATTTTTGGGTGGAGGTTTAACCAAATAATCTCAAGGGACAGATTTTGCAAACTGAAAACACAGGCTTGTTTATAAATCCACCGCAACGTGGGATGGATGAATAAATTAGGACATTATTAAAATAATTAACTTTATGACAAAAACCGACCTGGCTGTAAATCCTTGATCTCTTTAAAATGCACCTCTCTCACGTGGTTCATCATTTTGTCGTCGTCGTCAACATGATAACAGTTTGGGAATCCACACCTTAACTGTGTCCCCTCCGGTTTAAACTCGTGCTGTAGGAAATACTTACTTTCTCCCACGACCGTAAATCCGGTCAACGTGGCGAAATCGACTTCCGGTCTTTTAATCAGAGGTGTCGTCGCTGATTTGTCGTTATCAAGTTTTTTGTCACGTTTCGGACCGGAAGTTGTAGTTGTAATTTGACTGGAACTTTTACCAGTTATTTTGGCATACGATGTAGAATTCTTTATCCGTCTCCGTTCCGTCTGATCTGTGAAGCCTTGCGCGACCAATGCTTTAGTTTGGAGGGGGGAGTAATGTGTCCAGTTGTGGATGAATAAGGAGCTCACGTTGGCAAACCGTTTGGCACAGGTGGGACACGTGGCGAGGAAAAAGCTGGGGTCGTTCGGGTCAAATGTATCCGAGTGGGTGGATTTTACGTGTTTCCGGTACTCAGCGATGGTCAGGAGGCCAAGAGTGGACGGACAGAGGACGCACTGGCGACACCTCATGTGCTCAGAGAGGGCTGGAAATAGGAAAATACGATGGGAATTAGGGGACGAAGGTATTATTGCTTACCAGAAATTGATAAAAATTAAAATCATGTGCAGTGTGTTGCAAATGTGAAGAATTTGCACAATTTACAATTATTTGACGGCATGTGTTCAAAGAGATCTAGAAACAGATCGAAATCTTTATACTTCTTTTTTGACCCCGCAAGACGGAAATTAGAAGACAAAGATTCTTTGAGTCGATAGAAGTCGCATGCAATGCAGCATTTGAAATTTGCATATATGTATTTGCTAAATTTCATGTAAGTGTGAATTAAATATATTTATATAATAATCTCAACCGACCTGGTTTCGCAAGCTCGAGTTCTTTAAAGTGGACTTGTCGAATGTGATCCATCATGTCGTTATTATCTTCATGATTTTGGGTGTACGAACACAATGGAAATCCACATTTGAACCTCTCCCCTGCATAGTTCTTGAACTCGTGGTGGAGAAAAAACGTCTTCCCTTCCACCACAGTGAGACAGGTTAGCTTGGCGTAATCCATTTCCGGAATCTTATGAATCTTGTACTTAGCTCTGTTCCTCCTACAAAAAGTAAGAAAGAGGAATTTAGTTAGAATTTTACAAAATTTGTAAACATGATTATTTTTTTACCGTATTTGTCCTGTCGCCAACTTAGGTTTGGGTTTGACATCTTGTTCCCATTCGTCGTTATCATCGTCATCATTTTCACTCCCGTTAGATGACGGAAATCCGTCAGGAACAAAATCTTCGTCTTTATCGTCGTCATCATTGTAAATTCGGTCTGCAATCTTTGCCTGTTTTTGTGGTTCAAGAACACTAAATTTGCAATTTTCCAATGAACCGAGACGTCTCTTGACTTTGGAGGGTAGCAATTTGACAAAGTCATGTAAAATAAGGTGCAATTCTGAGTTTTTTGAGTATTTCTGATTTGTAAGCGATTTCGAAATCGTGGGTAATCGAAGAGTGTGACGATTTTTAAAAGTACTTCTTCCTGATATGTTTTCTATGCGAATTTCAGCAGCCGGATCAGAAGGTGGTTCTTCTTGTGATGATGATCGTCTAGATTTAATCCGTTTCGAGGACTTTACAGTGTCCGTATTGATATCGGGGTTGAAGGGCACTTTTCTTTTACGCCTTCGTTTAATGGTAGGTACTGCTTCTGGTGGGAGGTTATCATTATCATCGTATGGAAGACCAGTTTTCATCACCCCGTTATCATCGTCTCCAAATGAAGTGAAATTATGGTCATCTTCATCGAATGGTTCTGGTTTTATTTCAAATTCGGTCAATGCGATGTCATAAAAGGAGGTCGTCGCCCCTTCAGTATGTCGAATTTCTTGGCTGCTTCCTGCATCTAAGTAGTCAAGCAGTTCTTACCCAAGGTGTCAACATGTTATCAATCGCCAAACCAAAATATTTATTTAGTTCCTCACCATTTCCTTCAATCAGTTTCGAAATCCATCCCACTTTCTGGCATATCTTTTCTTCCGTCTCTTTCACGACCTTGTCCAAGTCAACGATTTCGCCGATAAGACGGTAGCACGGGTCACAGGTTGTCTTCCATTTCGCCCAAGTAGTCGACGACCAGGTGAAATTTGATCCCAATTTTTGGAATATTAGGCAAACTCCCGACTTTAGGAGGAATTCACGTTCCTGGATTTCAGAATTTGATAAGTTGACGTGACAAACTAACTTACAAAGAGGACAGACACCCTCCTTCAAGGTGGTGGGCATCTTATCGGAGAAGCTGGGTTATCACAAAGACAGAAATTCAATCCAGCTCAGAAATAAACACGAGTCGTGTTACACCGACCTTGTTATTTCGTGTGAGTGTTTCCCACTCTGAGAAATGAATGGGCAATATAAAAAATCGTCTCAAAATGTAAAAAAATATCCAAAATTTACTAATTTGACTTTAATTTTTTGAAATTGTTTTTAGAGTTTTACAAAAATAACAAAATCACAATTTCTTTCAATGATGGAAAATTAAATATCTGTACACAATAAATACTTAACTTATTTAGCAAAAATCTTAAATTATGTTTTCATGTCGTCGTTGTCGCCATATTTTTCGCCTCCTTATTCCTCAACCAATTTGCCCTCGTTCCCTTCTTCTTCTTCCTCTCGGCACGGGCTTTCTTTCCGCTCAGGATATCCAACTGGTTTCGGAGCGTTTGGATCATGTCGACCTGTCAAAAGTTAACGTTATAAGTTATAACTTATAACACACAATTTTGATAAAGCTTGTACATGTTCTTCTTATCTCACTCACATCTTCCGGAATGCGAACGTATCGCAACGATTTTATCCCGTTGAGAAAGAAGAATTCGAACTGGAACGTCTCGACGCCACAACTTTTCACCATTCGTACGTTTTTCAGGGTGAGATTCATAAAACTGTGAAACGAACAAAATTAGCTAATTAGACATGATACGTGAGGTGATCACCCAAAATCTGTCCACTTACCAATCCACCTCGATCAAAGTTCCGTACAGAATTGTTTCATTTTTCAACTCGACGATGACCTCTCTCCCCTGAAGGCCGAGGATCATGGGGGCAAGCGTTTGGCAGAAGAGGGCTCGTTCTCTGGAGCCAGTGATGGATCCCATCCTACAATTTTGTTCTCTAGCAAAGAACAGCTAATCGTGGAGTAATTATTTTGATTTTATTCATACCAAAATATTTATACGAGCATGTGTCACACATGTTTACAAAATCCGGATGATTCTCCCACCACTTTTTGTATGAATGAAGTGCACATTTCTTTGTAAAAATACATAAGCTGATGATGATGACTATTTGATTAATTGTCATACCATAGCTACTTTAGCATTACAATTCAATAATTAATCGTGATTCTTTTGTCACCTTTCACCCAAGACATGATTTTGCAGCAATTGATAAATAAACCGAAAGTCAAAATGCGTTACATTTTACGTGCACGTATTTAAGCTTATAGGATTTGAGTACAAAAGTCAAGATAAAGTCATGACAAGGTCACGGCAGCGACTCAGTTCATCAAATTTGATACGTTTTTAAAGCTAGAAACTACTTTAATTCGATGGAGAAAGTAAAACGAAAGTAAAATCTCAATCTGCCTCATCAAATTTGTCAAGTTTAGTAAGTATACTCCAAATCTGTGAGCTTATCTATGTAAATAAATGGTAATCCAGTTTTTACTTACTTTTTGCATGAAAATTCATAATTCGTATTGTATTTATTATGTGACGCCTTGGACTTCAATATTTGCGAAAATGTGTTCACGGCACGGTATCTGTACATATAGTTTTTAAAATGTAATTTTTTTCAAAAACATTTCTATCCCTGCTTATAAAACTCCATTTCGAAATACATTCAATAAAACCTATCAGTACAGCTTTGCTTAGCCCGAATCATCAGGAATGTTTAGTAAACTCATGTTTGTCAGAATTTTCTAGAAAATTATTATGTGCTACTATTTTGCACCAATTGTTACAGTATTCGTAAAATTGTACTCAAACTAGGTCGTGGCGATACGCACATGTCGACAACCCAATGGAGGAGATTGTGTCGAAAAATGGTGCAAATCGGATGAGAAATGGATAAGTTATGCCGAACAAAGATTTGAGACAGGTTGGAGTGACTGAGAACTGACAGTGGATTCAACGGAAATTTTGCCCGAGAAGTAAGAATCTGCAAGGCCATTGAACTCGTCAAATCGCTTCCATTTCTTGAGCGACCGTCTCAGAATTTTGAGATGGAAGCGATTTGACGAGTTCGATTGCCTTGCAGATTCTCAGTTTTCAGCCACAGTTTCAGCCAAATTTCACTGCTGCACCGCAACACTCCCAACAAATCTAAAATCGTTTTTCGCCATAACTTATCCATTTCTCATCCGATTTGCACCATTTTTCGACACAATCTCCTCCATTGGGTTGTCGACATGTTTTCATACTGCGCTTATCGCCACGACCGTGTTTGATGATCATTTCATATTCTTCCATTAAGGTCCACAAGCAAGGTCAGCTCGATAATAATTATGACAATTTTGAAAAATCAGTATAGGTAACCGCCCCATATGGTCCCTCAGGTTGAAAAATTTTCCAATTTCACTTCATATTCTTTCATTAAGGGTCATTAGCACGCTCCATGCCGATTTTCAGCTTTCTATCACAATTTTGAAATTTTGGTGCATAATACCCCACCCACTCCGATGACCCCCACAGGTCCTAAGCTTTTCTGACTGAACCCATCTTCGAACTCGGTCGTTGCATTGCCCAGATATAAACATGTCTGTACCAAAGTTGGTCCAAATCGGCCAACTCGTTCGAGAGTTATCGAAAGACATACGGACGGACGTGACAATTACATAAGCCCTGGTTCGGGCTGAAAACACAGGGCCCACACCCCCCATAAATGATTAGCAGGCTCAACAGAATTTTCAAAAAATTTTAAATCATAATTTTAACTTGTTTTTCCAAAAAAGTTTGGAATTTTTCTACTTTCTCTTCGCTTTCTCCCTGATTCTCAACATGGACGAGGCTTTAAACTAATTTATTACATAACGCCTTGAATCACAATTTTGTGAAAATATGTGCGACTTATTCACACAAACAGTTATAGTTCACAGCACATAATTTTTAAAATGCAATTTTATTTTTATATTATTTTTCATCCGGCTAATAAAAATTCAATTTGTACAAATTTCGAAATACGTTACATACATCAAATACACCCACAAATGATTCCCTCGCGGAATAGAATTTTGAAACAATACAATTTTTATCCGTTTTTTTCTTGAAAAATTGAAAATTTTGATTTCCGTTCCTCTGTTTTCTACTTTTTCGCCGCTTTCTCCCTGATCTCCATCCTCAGCATGGACGGGACTTTGTCCGTGACTTTTGGCTGGCCTCGAATCTCCTCACGCCGCAAAGCTTCCGGATGGCTTTTCAAATAACCGTCGTACGTCTTGTCCTCGTCGTCCCCAGCGTCCCCGTAACTCCCGTCTTTGGCCGACATGGCGAAAAAGTCGACAATCTTTTCATGTTCGTGCGACGTGACGAAAGTCTCGGCGGCGGTTTCCTCCCTGTCCCACTGCTCGTCGGGGTGCGCCTTGTGCTGCTCGTCGTAGTAGGCTTGCAGGTCAAAGAGCGGTTTCAACAAGGCGGCGTCCGTCCCGTCCCGGATGTACTGGTGGATCATGGCCGTCGCAAATTCGTCCGTGATTCGCCAAGAGGTCGCTGAGAGAGAAATATTTTAACTCTTTTAGAAAAACCGGTGTCACCTCATCGTGAGAAATAAAAGCGACAAAATTGGCATATTTTCTGTAGACCAAATCAATCATAGACAAGCGTTTAACATTTGCGTCTTTGGAAACAGGTCTTATCGGTTTGCGAAACATACTCCTCAAGATTTTTTGCGGAAATAATCACAACAAAAATGATGATTATTTCAAAAATATAATTAACTCATTGTCAGTAGATCTGTCCGTTTGATGGCATACAAAAATCTGGATTTGGAAAACTTTGATTGAACAGGCAGAGCAACAAGTCTTTTTATTTTTTGAAATAGTCCTCATTTTAGAGGATTGCATATTAACTAAAAAAATTATATGAATAAATATTTGGAGTACATAATTCTGCAAAATTTATCTGCTTAAACTTTTGCTCGGAGTATAAATTCTGCTATTTTCTGCAGAATGACGCTTTCTGCACGTCTCTTCTGCATTAAAATGGAGCAAGTTTTTTCTTGTCGGTAGGTCTATTAATCTTTCTTACCGACATCCTCCTCCGTCAAGAATTGGTACACGGGGGCGTAACGGATGACGAACTTTTCGTGAAAGTAGGACGGGACCATGTGCAGTCGACGGGAAGCGTTGATGGCCTCGAGGAGCTTGTTATTGATGTCGTTCGTCCCTCGGAGGCGGAAGCAGCAGAGGCCGACGCGTGTGGGACCGACCACCTCGAAACGCTCGTCCCTCTCCACGTACCGCTCAAACACTTTCGACTGGAGGATATGGTTCCGGTGGTACTTTTGCATGCCTACAGCAACAAAATTGAAACAGGGGTCAAACTTGATGTCAAAATCAGATTGGAGTTACTTTTTCATTTTACTTACCGCTGATTCCATAATTTCGGAGGACGAACCACATCTTGAGGGCACGAAAGCGTCGTGTCGCAGGAGTCCCAAAGTACTAAAATGATCACGGAGGAAAAATTAGGTTATTGCCGACATGCATTTTTGTAAAGGAAGAAAAATAGATTCATAAACTATAAATATGCATTTTGTATGAAAAAATTAGACTTCACTCGACACAGAAATTTTAGACACGCATTTTTGTTTGACTGACCTTCAACTCGATGATGGGCCAGTAGGGCGTATGGATCCTGGTATCGTCATAGCCGGTCATGGGGCCGGCCAATTTTTCCCTGTAGCGCAGCCAGAGGAAGGAAAGGTCAAAGTTGGTCAGCATCCATTTGTTCATGTTGGTATTGAGGGACCAGGCGTACTAGGAATAATATGCAGAAGTTAGTTATCTTAATCTGGATTATTGATAGTTAATTGACTAATTGGTAATTAATTAATTAACTATACTCACTTCCATGCCCTTGGACAAGTATCGCATCTCCGGACAGGCATAGCAACTCCCCGCATACGCCGAATCCACGTGCAGCCACATTCCAAAATCTTGACAAACGGGTCCAATTTCCATCAAGTCGTCAAACGCACTTAAAAAATAGTTCAAAATTCTATAAAAAACTGAAAAGTTTAAAATTAGTCAAAAAAAATTACCAAGTTCCCGTCGACCCCAGCACGGCCACGTACAAATACGGGATCAAACTGTTCTTCATGTCCTCCTTGATGGCCTAAGGTCAAAGGTCAATAATCAGTATCAAAAGTATAAATAACTTCACCTGGCACCCACCTCTCGTAACGTCCTGGCTCGCACGTTCCCCAACTCGTCCGCAGGCAGAGGTCGGACTCGCATGTAACCGATAAGCCCAGCCCGTTCCACCGAAGAATGGCACTGGCTCGACTAAAGGTCAAATACAAAAAAAATCGGTGAAAGGTCAAAGGTTACCGTTATTATTTTTTGTAAAATTACCCGATAAGCCACCATCCGATTGAGCAGGACGGCACGCGGGACGTTGGGATACTTGATTCTGAGTGACCGCACACAGTCCTCCCGAGCGGAAATCATGCCGAGAAGGATGGCGTCGGACGCGGACGTTTGGATACAGCCGCCCCCCTCCGTCTCCGGATTGGAGAACACGGTCCAGAAGAATTTGGGGATTCCCATCATCTTCCCCACCCAGTCGGCCATGATCATTTCAAGCTCAGTCACGGCGGGGCAGGATTCCTAAGAAGTATGCAAATGAGGTCTAATTAATGTGGATTCAGAGCGATGAAATGCTCAAGTCTTTATAAATAAATCAGTCTTATCGGTTTGGGAAATATGTCCCCCGAGATTTTTTGGTTTACGGAGGACTCGACGACTCAAAATCAACAAATGTTTACCATTTCTCGGGTCTAGGAATTTATTTCAAAATTCTGGACGACAATTTTCAAGTCATACGTTAAAATCAGCCCAAAATTTAGGATTATTTGAAAATTAAACTCGGTAATTCTGCCCTTGCAAAAGTTATTGAAGGTCTATGATTGAGATGGTATAAAAAAATACGATTTAGAAAACTTTGACCTTCGACAACTTATGAGCGGGCAGAGCTATCGAAATAATTTTAGTTTTAAAATCATCCCAATTGTTGGGTGAATTTTTTCCCTACAAAAATCTCCACATGATAAAGACTTATCTCGTGCGGAAGTACTGACCCAAGTCGTCCCGTTCACACCGACTGCATTGGACAAGATCGCTCCAAGGATGGAAGGCCACGTGTTTCCTGCTGGAAAGTAAGACGCGAATTGGGGATGCATCCAGTGGGCTGAAAGGTCAAACAAAATAATTAATTATCATTTGACCTCTGACCTTCCTAAGTTGACCTCTTACTTGTCCCTTCCATCACGACCTTTTCAAAGTCGTTGAAAATGTTTTCGAAAGGTTCGCCCTTGACGGGGGCTTGTGGCGGCATGACCTTCGCCAACCAGCCGGGCACGACGTGCGGGAGGGGTTCCCGCTTATTGATCGTCTCCATGTACTCGATCGCGTAGTCCACCATTTTCGCCCCCGCCGCACGAAACTGTTCGGAATTCATGGTTCGAAAAGTCCTCTCTCGTACGTAAACAGTTTCCAATTCTTTGCAAAAAGACTTTTTTGATTCGTGTAAAAATTCAAAGAATGAGTCGAGTGAATCAAAATTGAGGAAAAATTTGTCTCCGGATGAAAATTCGGGAACATTTCGCGACACTTTTTCTTGCCAATGCGAAAATTTATTAAATTTGCATGGAAACGAAATAATTTTTTTTTACACATTTTCCTTTATTTAAAATGAATGTAATACTTTGCTCTGTCAAAATAAGAGACCACTTTTTCCGAACTTGTTCATCTGCCTGTGATTATGAACATGACTTACACGTGTTGCCCTCTTCATTTGCATAATTACATATGTAAATTAATAGCGATATTTAACCGTGTACTCATTCCATAATAGGTACATAAAATTGACAATAACATCAAAAGATTTGACAGAACATGCATGCACCAACAACATATAGATTTTTTCAAAATTTTTACACCCAGAATTTTTATCCACCTAGTAAATTACAGAATTTTTGGATTCTCAGCACTCACTTAGAAATTACAAACTAGACATTTTTACGAGACTCGGACAAAAATGGGTCAACAAGAGGACATTGATTATCAATCCTTTTAATGAACAATTTCGTACTTAAATATTATGGCATATTATGTTTTGTAATTACGACGGACACGAAATTAAACACAAAAAATCGCAGGCAAAAAAAAACAGCTACCACAGTTAATGTAAAAAACGAAACAAATCAGCGTATACTCAACGGAACAACTAGAAAATCGGACTCTCATAACGGGCGAATTAATCATCCATTAATTACACAGCTCAGCACATAACTAAATAATAATTGAGAAAAGGTCACATTTAAAAAAATTGGTTAAGCTATTGGATCATCATCCTCCTCCCGCGTGGTGAGATGTCCTACTCCAGATTCATCTTCTTCCCGACTAGAAAAATCATGCGTCCAATTATTCCCAGAAGTTGGAGGAGGTGGCGATGATGATGGAATAGTGACGACGAAATTGTTCTCCTGACCAGCAGACGCTTCTTCATTCTTCTCCTCGTCCCCTTCCCCTGTCGTCACGACGAGAATTTCCACATCATCGTCATCATCCTCATCTTCGACGCCGCCACGGTGGTCAAGCTCTGCCTTCTTTTGTCGCAGTATTTCTGTCGAGTGGTGCACCTCCGCGAGGACGGAGTGGTGATGGGGATGACGCGTCGAAGGGCTTGACCCGGGACTCGTACGATTGCTCGTGATACTGGGGGACGAATCGGAAGAAGAGATCATCATGCCAAGCGGGGAGTGTGGTGGGCGGGGTCGTGGTCGAGCAGTGGTGGTCGTCGTGGTGGTGGTGGCTGCAGCAGGAGGAGGAGCAGTAGCAGATGCGGACCTTTGAAGTCGAGAGTGCAGAAGACTAAAGACTCCTCGAGAAGCGCCGCGGGTGTGGACGAGGGGCAGATTTTGAGGGGAGGAAGAAGAGTCGTGGGCGTGGTGGTGACTGCTGCTTGGTGAGGAGGAGCTGCTGTGACCGGCCTCCTGAAATAAAATTAAAATTTGTACACACAATTTTGAGGAGGTCCTTTATAGTTTAGAACATAACATAGAAAAGTCTGTTTGCAGTTTTCGAAATATGTCCGTCGAGATTTTTGCTTAAGCATCACCCTAAAAATGTGAATTATTTCAAAAAGAAAATCGAAAGTTATTTAAGGTCAAAGTTTTCCTAATCCCAATTTTTATAACATCTTAATTAAACGTTGACCTTCAACAACTTTTTAACTTGCAGAGTTAATTTTAGTTTTGAAATAATCCCGAATTTCACGTTCATTTATAAGCAAAAACTCTATTTCGCAAATTGCAAACAAATGTTAGAACGGCTTAGAAGGTTTGCCTATTTAGCGCAAGTTACTCACCGACTGTTCAGATGATTCTCCTTGACCTTCCTGCTGCTGAATGAACGTTTCTTCGCCCGACGTCCCAGCCGCGGTGGAGCCAGGGCTTGACGAAGTTCCGAGCAGGGGGGCAGACTCGTCGTCCGTGTCGGTATCAGAGTCCCCTCCGCGATTAAACTGCTCATCCGCGACGATAACTTTCCTCTTACAGATCGGGCACACTCTTCTTCCTTTTGTCAACCAAGGGTCGATGCATTTCATGTGGAAGCCTGGAGCAAAAACGGAAGACATTATTTAGAGACCTTTCACCCCACTGGCCGCATAATCGTAGATAACCCTTTATCACGTGTTTATCTGTTGGCTAAAGACATGTCTATCGAGATTTTTTGAGTAAAAATCAACCCAAAAATTTGCGATTAAAATTAAGATAAATAAAATTAACTCGGTAACGAGTTTGATTGCGATGACATAAAAAATTTGGATTTGGGAAACTTTGACCCTCAATAACTTTTACGAGCTACCGAGTTAATTTCATTTTTGAAATAATCCTCATTTCTTCCTCAAAAAATCTCGAAGGGCACATTTTGTAAACCGATAACAAAAGTTAAACGCTTATCGACGAATCCATACATACGTACCATGTGCGCAAGGAAGCACTCTGATTTTATCCTGCTCGACAAAATCGTCCAAACACACGGCACAAGTTTCATAGGGGTCGCCCTTGGTCCACTTTTGCGTCGGGATCTTCTTGAGGGCGGAGGCGGGGAGTTTCCTGCGACGAGATCGACGCCTCTCGCGAATCCAGCGGAGGACCTGTTGCCACAACTGGAATTAAAACCAGGAGAAATATTCGCGATTAGCAGAGGCCAGGCGAACAAGAGTTGACAAAGATTTAGAGAATGAGATGGAGGACACAAGATGATACAAGACATAAAATTAATACAGCTTTTTTGAAAAGTTTTAAAAATACGGTCCAAAAACTTGCAAAATTAAATTCATTTTGTAAAACAATACGTTATAAATTGGATAAAAGCAAAATAATCAAAATGACACAAATCACATAAAGGAAAGAACAGAAAACGATTGTATTTGTGTTTTTGCGTCCTTACCAATCTTACCATAAAAATGATCATGACAATGAAGCAGAGTCCGACCACGATAGCAAACGGGAGCAGATATCCGTTGATGGAGAAATCGTCCTGAATTCGGACAAAACACCTGAACACAAAAAAGTAAGTTACATTAAATAATTACTTAATTGCTATATTTAATTCGTAATACTTACGCAGTGCCGTACGTATGACTTTTGAGTAGTTCGCCATCATACGAACCGACGAAAGTGGCGTAAATTATAATTTTAGAGGGGTCTTCAACCCCCATAATTTCTGTCGAGTTTGAATCCACGTTATGAATTATGATTGCCGTATACCCTGAAAATACAGATTAATTAATTAAATTAGTCAAGCTTTTCAGGAAACTTTGACACGAGTTCTGCCAATTGAAAGTAAAGGTAGAACTCAATCACCAATATCGTTTTCAAAAACACATCTTTAATCATTTTTCGGTCTGCAAATTTATTTCATAAGTCGAGACTATAAATTTTTAGTCAATAAGTTGATTAATGGAATGGCGGTGAGTCTTTCAAACCATTTTCGATGGGATCGAATTTTCTGAAGGCTTCTTAATCTTGAAATCTCCCCTCAAAAAGTGTCAAAATCTGGGGGGTATATTTTTTAGATTGACAACAACTTGTTCTGAAATTTGTCGCCCAGAATTTTAAAATAAATTCCTAGACCCGAGAAATGCTTAAAAATGTGACGATTTTGGCGATGAGTTATATTGAGCCCTACGTTAAGTTTTTTGAGAAGATTTTGACTTTTGACAAACTTTCTCACCCGCATTTTGCGCATTTTCAATCTTTTTCTGAAAATGACACTCCGGACTTCGACGCGCTAACAGGATCCAATTTATCGGATATTCAAGATCTGGTGGGTTCCGTTCCGGCGGTGGTTTCACTTTCGTACAAGCATTTTCCGGATCAGCCAAGATAACGTAACCCTAATAAATCCATGCATGAATTAAAATTTTTCACAAATCCAAAATAATAATATCTCCTTTACTTACCTGAATCCCATAAAATGAGAATCTCTCTGGAATGAAGCGTGCCGGAAGATCATTAATCGTGGCCAGAGTGGCGTTCGAAACTTCGTCAATTATCGATATCATCCCAACGGCAGGATTTGCAAGGAGCATCATGCCCAGGATTGTCCAGCTTAAAATATTCGGCAGTGTTTTTCTCCACCACATCGTCGTCGTCCCGGAAGAAGAATGAGAGATGGACGACATGCTCACTAATTCGTACTGATAGTTTTTTATACACGGCAGGTTATCACACTAATAAATAATACAGCACAAATTAACTCTTGACTGGCCAAAAAGTCATGTCCCCCAACCAGACCCGAATCCGTAGTCAGTATTGTCGTCCATAATTTGGCAAACTTTCACTCTTATTTATTTCCTTGTCCACTTTTGTGTTTAAATTGTTCAGAAAAACGTCCCAATTTCGGAATCCAATCGAATCAACTTCACCAAGATAACAGAATCCGTTCGGTTTTTTATCCGCATAAATCTGTAACAACAAAAAAGACAGGAATACGTTAATTACTTGGTGTTGTGATGGTGGGGGTGATTGATGATAATGCGGAAACGGAAGGATGAGGACAAGTGTGGACACACAGATTATTAATACCACGACGAGGACAGTCGAGACATATGGAAAACATGCCTGAATATTGACTCTCATCCTAATCTCGTCTACTTTTGGTGGGTTTGGTTAAGCTAAAATCAATGAGTTCTTATTTAACTGAACGAAACCAACTATCAATTTCGCTTGATAAGGAACGACGACACGAATGGATATCCAACCAAATGTGTTGACGAGATGTTTAAGACACAATTTTAATAACTTTAATGCATATAGATTAATACACATTTTACGTATTAAATTACACGATGGGAAAGCAAACAGAAGAGTTTCTTGGATTGGATAAGACCTTAACTTGACTTTTTATCAACTTTTATTTGCTCACGACAAGCTTGTTACTTGTTTTTGGTTAAATATTATCCAGATTATACTGTTGATTTGAGTACCATTATTTTTAGTGTTATTTTAAATCTTTAATTTATATTTATCGTACCATTGACTCTGCAGCAAGATCAAGGCTTATCAGTTTTTTACAACATGAAATCTTATCCAATTATTCATGTGACCAGACCGACAAACATACTTGAAAATTTCAAGTTGAAATCGTGACTTGTTAAAGTAGACGTTAATTTTGAATTGACAATTTTACGCAATTCATTTCCGGAAATCAAAGATAAGCAAGTGGATAAGTCTAAAATAAATTTAGTAAAGTTGTGTTCACCTTTCATGTGATCAACTTTTCTACATGATGGCATCATGATGATGCACATAATATCCTGTCTCACTACAAGTACAAGTCACAAGTACATTTATGTAAATTTACGTAATTCATTTCCGGAAATAAATAAACTTTGATTTCAGAAATTATGATGAACAAGTATAATCCAAGGTAAGTCTAACATATAAACAGTCCCCTCATCAAATCAGTTTGAAATTGATGAACCGTATTTCGTCTCCACTGTATTTCGATACGAAATTCTTCTAACTACTTTGACTCCAAACTTTTGACGTCAAACATTGGCAAAAACTTTAAAATTGATTATGATTACCTAGTCATTAATTAATTACCACCAACTTGCGCAATTATAAATTAGTGGAGGACAAGCCTAAAATTCAAACAGTCACCTTGTCAAATTCCCTCTGAATATCTACACCGAATTTCCTCCTACGCAAAATTAACCAGTTTTCTAATCATTGACTTGAAACTGTACGTAACAAAACTTCAAAAGCAGAATTATGTTATTAATTACCACTAAAAACATTACGCAAGACGTGTATGACGAAATTAGGCATATGACGTCTTCATTCAGCGAGAAATGAAATACCCCAACCAAATTAATTTTCTGGGGAACAAACAATTCAAACAAAGCTATTCATGTAAACACATAAATCACAAAAATAAGAACTAATTGTAATTTAAAACCCCAGTTAAATATAAACTTCCCAAATTAAACGGCACTTTAAATGGAACATTAAAAGTAAACCATCAAATCAACCAAACTTACTTACGTGAGTACTAAATTTCCAACCAGAAACCAGAAGAAATTAACACATGAATGATCACTTTGGTTAAACTAAATATTCAGATTTATCCAGCTTCTCGCACCATCACATTTTGACACTAAGGAAAACTGTAACGTACGTAATGTAATGGCTCACACACAGGAATGAGGATGGATGACGACTAACTAACTTTAACTTTTGGCGTCGTCGTCCTTAAATAAATCCTAATCACGTACACAGACCAGAACAGAGAACAGGCTAAATAAATCCAATTCTGCTTTTAGTTTCGATCCAGTTTCAACCCCAGGCCAGGCCAGGCAGCAGATTACTCACTAAATACTTTGCAGTTTAACTAACTAAACTCATCATCATCATCAATAATAAAATTATAGCCTAAACAAACTAAACAACCTAACATAACATAACAGTCCTGCTGCTGCTAATGTCGTGTTGATGTTGTGATGTTGATGAGCTGGGCAGAAGATAAAATTATTATTGATTTTAACACTACTTCTATCCTATAAAATTATTATTATTATTTGAATTTTGATAGTGGATGGAATATGCAGTTGATAACTTACTTACTTATACATTATTATTTCTGACCCTTACTTTATAATTAATGATTAAAGTTAAATAAAGTGAAATGTAATGAAATCAATAGCTCTTTTCTATAGCTAAATAATTAAAGAGACTATTATGGCTACACTTTTGTTTACTTATTTTAGATAAGGACAACAATTCTACAAAGGAAAGGCGGTGGTCGTTTTAATAATTTCATGAAACTTTGGAGAAGAGTCAACACTTAATTTCGTTCGTACATGTCGTAATAAATAATTAATAATTAATGTACAGACTTGACCCTGACAGTTAAAAATAGTAAGGTTAAATATATACGAGCAAAATTATAGGTGGATGTCCAAGACGTTATCGATTTCGTGTTAAAATTAATTCATAAAGTAATAAAAATTGTGTACGATACTTACTTTTATTTGGAAAATTCTCCTTTCAGATTTGTGAAGGTGAAGTCCAAAATTGTTGATTGCGATTTTTAAATGACACAATTTTTCAAACCTTAAATCACATATATTCAATTCTGTTAGTTAATTACATTTAAAATATTTAGGAGCAAAAGTACATCGTCGTTCTTTGTTCTTCTCCATTCCCTTGCTCAGACAGATGATAACACAGAAAGAATTTGATTTTCAATCACAAAATTATCCAAACTCGTCCCCAAACTGCTCATGCCCCCCATTAATCGTTAAGCTCACTCACTCCATCCCGTTAAATTAATTAATTCCACATTTAAATCACAATTAAATTGGTTATTAACCAATGGTTAATCATTAATTGACTTGGTTTGTTTTGTTTTGGTAAATTTTCCTCCAAAGTGACAAAATGGCGCAACAGAGAATTTGAAGCCTGGCGCTGCCCTTTCTCTTTACGAGCGAGGCAGGTGTGAGATACTAAGTAGCGTGAAATTGCATGCAAAATGGAATTTGCAAATTGCAATTCTTTTTTTTGCAAAATTTCCAAAATGTAACTACAAATAAACAAAATAAGTTATGATCACAAATGACACGAAATAATAAATAGACATCATTTGCCTGACGGTTACCGTCACATGTTCGGTCATTTTGTAAGAATAAGCCCATAGAGTTTTATTAATATAAGCCTCATATTGTGACCCAAATCCTGCAGAATTGTATGAATTTAGGTCCTAAATTTTAGGTCGACTTTTAAAACTAAAAAATCAACATTTTATTTACAAGTATTACTACAATTACATGAAAACTTGCTGGTAAAATTTTAATAATCATTATTCTCCAAACTATTCGCCACACTAGGCCGCGTCATCGCTTTACCCACCTTGGATTCCGCCCGCTCCCCCAAATTTTTGCGATCCGTGACAAAATCCCACCCACTTTTGGTCGTCCCCTTCTTATCTCCGGCGTCCAATTCGTCAATGAACTTTGACATGTTGAGACGATCCCGAAACTTGAATTTTGTCGAGTCTGACGTTATCGAAATTTTTTTGGGGTCCAGCAACTCGTCCGTCTTGTTGTACTTGCACCAACGGATGCTCTGATACGAATCTCCCGCCGTGGTGGACGCCCCATACGAGGAAGACGACGTGTCCACGGACTTCTTGGGCGGGGCCGGTTTGAAACTGTGTCGGGGTTTCGCTTCACCTTGACCTTTCGAAGAAGTGGGGAAAATACTTGGTCAAACTACAGTATTTTGAGCTCCTGTCTTCCACCGGTTTGAATTTTCAGGGGTAAAACAGTTGATAGTCACAAAACGAAGAGAATCTACGCGGAGAATAGAACGGTCGTACGACATTACAAATTGGTCGTGCAGAGTTTTAAAGTAAAGTAAATTGCCCAGAAATGACTAAACATGCGTTGATCTTGACAATTTTGGCGACACGTCATCGAGTCTTGCATTACCAACTTCAAAAAAATAGCATTTCGTACGACTGTCGTATCCTCCCCGTAGATTGGCGTCTTATTGTGGCTATGATACCCCTGAAAATCCAGGTCTTTGGAAGAAAAGGAGCTCAAAATACAGTATTTTGGCAAAATATTTTGCCCATATCAGATCTGACCTTGACTTTTGGCCTTCGCCTTGGCCGCCTCCTTTGCCGCCTGGGCTGCATGTCTCTTCAATTTGGAAGGTTTCAGGTCGGGATGGGTGCCGGGAAGGACGCGGAACTTCATCCAAGTGAATAAATTGTATTTCACACCTTCCCGCATGTCAGCGTGGGCGACTGAAAAAAATAAATTATGGTATAAGTCAGGTCAGGTCAAATCTTGTATTAGTGCAGATTTTGTGATAAAAATTTCAAATTTCAAGCCAGATAAGGCCTTATCTTGTTACCCTCTTTAATGGTCCAAATCTTGTTGAGGATGGGGAAATCTCTGCCGATGGCGAAATGACCGACGACGGTGAGGTAGACGGCCATGAGGAAGGGGATCAGGAAGAGGACGCAGTACAAGCTCGCCACGTACTTGTTGTGCACGGAGGCCAGCTGCTTCCGAAACTTGCCTTGCGCCTCCTTCAACAAAAACAACTCGATATTCGACATGTTCCTGTTCGTATTCGTCGAGTTGGGATGACCCGGATCCGGTTGGTGGTGACAGCCCGAAATTATCTCACGTTTCGACCCAAATCGCATCTAAAATTTGAAAAGTCAAATTTTTTAGGGAAAATCATCTTCCATTTCGGACCAAATCGCATCTTAATTTGACATTTGTGAGGAAATTATCTAGAGTTTCGAGCCAATCGCATCTAAAATTCGAATAATTTGATGTTTGTGGGAAAATTTATCTCGCATTTCGAACAGAATCGCGTTTAAAATTGGAATAATTTCTATTTTTAAAGGAATCTCACGTCCGTTTCGATGGGTTGGAGGTACTCTGTGCAGAGGGAGAGGAGTTCTTTCGTCGACTGACCGTAGAAAAGTGGTTCGTCGAGATTTATGATGCGTCGAAATTCGCTCGTGTCCTGATTTGGGTCCAAATTGAGGAGGGATTCGTGCAAGATTTGGGATATCGGTTTGTTCAACCCAGAAAGACAAGGGGACGAGGGACCGATAAGCCCCACAAGTAGGATGATAACGTAAGTACTCATCTTGAGAAGTAACTGATTTCCGGTCGAAATTGGTAAAAAAAATTTAAAATTCATGCAAACTCTGCTTACTTTCATAAAGCACGAATAAACTCTACGACAACGGATTCGACGCTTATTAATTGGGACTTGAACAAAATTCTAAATAATAATAAATTCCAAAAATAAATTTCCTCAATTTGCAAAATTTTCTAAACTGATTCTAGAATTTTCCGAGTCCCCCATATTTCAAGATGTCGAACGTTCCCTCGGACCCGCCTTCTCCCGCGTCGTCCTATTCGTCCTCCTCCTCCCCCGGAATTCTTCCCCGCTCTGAACTCGCCGCCCTGGTCGCGGCCGCGGCGGCATCGTCGTCTTCACTGTCGCGACACAATTTACTGGAACAAGGAGACGCGGACATTGGCGTGGATCGGATTTCGTCAAAGGTGACTAAATAGATACGAATTGACTTCCGGTTTTTAGTTTTTGCATAAATTTAGTCCCATTTTATTATTTTTTTAAAGTCAAGTCATCTCAGACTGGTAATTTTTGTGCATAAATTTGCATACATCATTTGAATACATTATTTAAATTTGCATTTTTTGCACTTCCGGTTTATAAATATATGCACTATATTTGTAATTTCTTTTAGATGAATTTACTGCCAGTTTGCATTTTTTTCATTAATCAGATTTCTGTGCATGAGTTTACTCCTCTGGTTGCATGAATTTTTTGCATAAGCTCACTTCCGATTTGTTTATGGACTAATTTTTTTTGTCTACTTTTAGTTCTGCTGGGACCAAAAGTGCATAATTTGGGAAGTTTTGAGCATCTCGGTGGCGGCTGGAGGACCCAACTCGGCCGTGGCGAATACCAATCTCGACCCGACGGATCCCCAGGAATACGCCGCCATGCTGGATATCGACTACATGACGTCGAGCAATTTCCACGCCGGCCATCACGATCAGAACAGGTCGACTTGGTAAGACCACCATAAGGGTCAAGGGTCAACATTTACATAATTACTAATTATGCAAATTAGGAGCCTCTCCCTGTACAAGACGGGCCCAGACACGCTCGGCGTTTTCATCCATCTCCTCCAACTGAACGGGAACAGTCGCTCGGCCGCCAACCGACGCTCCCATTCTAACCAAAACTCCACAAATGAGAATACGAATCAAGGGTCAGGGATTTACTTCAAGTATGCGATGTGCCTCGTCAACACGGACGGGGAAGTCGTCAACAAAATTGGTAAGGGACACACTTTACCATTTTTTTTAAGTAAATTCGCTCATTTTGGCGTATGCAATGCTAATTTATGGGAAATTTTGACCAAATTTTTTGGGAAATTCACAAATTTTTACGTCTAAAAATGTATATATACATATTGCATATTTTGACGAATTTTTCGGCAATTTACTGATTTCGTCCCCCAAAACCCTAATTCCTCTCGAATTTTGACCCCTAGCCTAAAACTCACGAAAGCGCGTCCATTTAGGAAAGTCTGGTAATTTATGGTAAAAACTATGTTAATCTCTACTTATGACTTGACCCTGACCTTTCTCCAGAAAACAACACGATCATCAACATCCTGCCCGGTCAATCCTGGGGGGAAGACGAATTCATAATTCTGCACAATTTGTGGGACCCCGACTTGAAACTTGTCCACTACGCGGATCAAGAAAAGCTGATTGTGCGCGTGGACCTCTCGCTCCTCTCCGCGCTCGACCACACGCACGAAGTTTACTCCGCGCCCATCGTCCTCACCTCAATTTTGACCCCACCCACGACCCCGCCTGGGTCCGAACCACCCAGGAAATTCCCACGCTCGAAATCCGCCGCCTTCACCATTCCGCCGGTGAAAACGAGTAATCATGGATTCCAGTTTGGAGGCAAATCGGCCCCAATTTGGGTGACCTCGACGTCGTCGTCGGCAGCGTCGTCGCCGATATTGGAATCCCTCTGGAATTTGAGGGAATTTGCAGATGTGCAGATTCACTGTGACGGAAGGACTTTTCCGGTCCATAAATGCGTCATTTCGGGTAAATGGATGATTTATTTTGTGCGAATTAATACATTAGGATGACCTTTGACCTCAAATTATGACTTAATTGTCGACAACTTTTGACTTTAAAAAATGATTTAATTCTTTGCGGGAGTGATTTTGGGTAAAAATTAAGGATTTAATTGTTCTAACTGATGACGATAACCTTTGACCTTAAGACGTTACTTACTTTGTAATAAACTATAACAACTTTTGACCTTTGACCTAGCCGCCAGCCCCGTCTTTAAGATGATGTTTTCCACCCAAATGTCAGAATCAGCTCGGGGTGAGGTCGAGATCACGGATTTGGGCGCAACGGTGATGGAGACGGTGTTGTACTTCATTTACACCCAGCTCGTCCCGACCACGTGGGATTGGACGAATTTCGAAAAATCCGCAGAGCTCGTCCACGCCGCGGAGAAGTACGGGCTCAAGGAACTGAAGGCCATGTGCTTTGTCTCGCTGTGCGAAAAATTGGACTGCGCTTCCGTCCCTGGGCTCGCCGTGTTGGCGCAGATGTACTCGGCGGAAGGAGCCGTGAAAGAATTCGTCGCCAAGTTTATCATCCGGTAAGAAAAATTGGGATAATAAATAGTGACAATTTTTTTAGAAGATTTTAGGCTTATCAAAATTTTAAGTTCCCGAGATTTGAATAAATTCCCACGGTTAGAATTTTTCTAGAATTCAAGTTCCCCAAGAGTTTTTCTAGAGATTTTAATTGCCTAATAATTTAAATGCTCCAGGATTTTAAATTCCCAATATTTTAAATTCCGCTAGCATTTAAATTTCTAACACTATAAAAAATCATAATAATTTAAAATCTCGATATTTTAATTTCTCAAGGTTCTGAAATTCCAATGTTATTAATTTCCAATTTTAAAAATTCCGCAAATATATGATTTTCAAAGATTTTAAATTCCCAAAAAATCTAAAATCTTATTTTCTGTTTGTCTTTATCCAGGAATATTCAGCGTTTAAAGAACGACTCGAATTTCAACGACTCATTGGAGAAGCATCCGACAGCCTTCACGACGATCCTCTTGTCCGACGCCCTCTCAAAATCGGTCTCCACCGTGTCCACGATAACGTACCTTTAAAAATGTGGCGTAAAAACCTTTAGAAGATTATGATTGATTAATTATCCATCCGATTGATTACTTGATTGATTAACTTTTAGTACTTTTAATTGTCAATTAAGTATGTAGTCTCCGGAGAGGAATAGATTATTAAATTATGTAAGGAAATTAAAATCTTCAAAATTTCAAGTTGGATAAAATCGACATTACTGTTTTTTCTTGGTTTTTGTCGGACGTTGTATCGAAATCGGTTGATGATAAGGCGACAATATGATAACTTCTTTTAAATGTGGCCCGCACGAAAGTTAGGCCTTTAGAAAATCATGATTACATAACTAATTAATTGACTAATTAAATAAATAGTTGATAGATTAATTAAATGATTAATTAATTCATAACTAATTACTTGATTGACTTTTAAAATATTTTATTGTCAATTCAATACTTAAGGAAAGTAAAATCTTCAAAATTGTAATAATTATTTTTTGGTCATGTTATTATCGTCTCTTGATAAGCCATGATTTCACGAGCGGACCTAATTTCGCTTTTGCGTGAATATTTTTCTTAATCGTGTCGTCACAAGAGGTCAGAATGGACTGGTGTTTTCGAGTAAAGCTCATTCTTCTGGTAGAAGTGATGAATTGGTTGACCTAGAAAAAAATTCAAATTTTTAAAAGGTTTTCAAACTTTAGGATTTTAAATTATTCTAATTTTGAGATAAAACTGCTAAAAATTACTTGAACAAGATCCTGGTCAGAATTTCCGAAGGGGCAGAATTGCTCGAGAAGTGACATTAACGCATGGGTGGCTCCAGGGCTGAAATTTTTTCGCAATTTGCATAAATATTTTGCATATATTTTTAAGACCAATTCAGATAAATATTTGGCACATTTTTTCCTTAATTTGCATAGATATGTATTTTGCACATATATTTCCGACATACTTTTCCTTGACGCTCAGTATCCGTTCGGTCAAAAGATCCCACGTGGTTCCTCGCGTGGCTTCGTTTTGACCAATTTTCCTTACTTTTTCTTGAACCTGTTCCAAATTGACCATTTCTTGGCCAGGTTTTAAAATCGAGTCGATTTCCTGGACCGTACTTTTCACGGAGGGGGAAGATTCATCCCCAAGAGTGAAATATGGTCCCAAACGGGTCAACTCTTGATCCAAGTAATCCACGGAAATGGCGTCCATCATGGCTCGCTGGGTTTGTAGGGCGGATCGGGAGTAAGAAATTTTTGCAGAGACGTAATCCTGTCAAAGAACTATTTTTAGGGATTTTTTGAAGAGCTGAATTTATTAGTTTTAAATTTTCTCAGAATTTTACATTTGTCGTAATTTTGAATTTGTTATGATTTTTCATCTTCTCTCACATTTTTTGTAAAGAGTGATAATCGTGTAAAAAATATTTTTTCATGTCGACTTTTTCATAATTTTGAATTTTAAATAATTTTAGATCTTTTAAAAATTTCTCATAATTCTTTAAACTTTTGAATTTTTTCTCACATTAAACAATTGGCCTGTCTTATCGGATCCAGAACGTAACAGGTTTCCCAATTTGGTCAAACTTTTCTCTACGCTTTTCCACACGAGGAAATCAACTTCTTGGTTCAAATATTTGGTCAAATCGAGGGCAGCGTCGATTGGAATGTGTCCTGAAAAGGGAATTTTTAACGTGATATAATTTCCAAAAAACATGCAAAAAGTATGCAAAAAATTATCTACCAGAAAAGGCGAGTTGGAAAGAATCATCCAACAGTTTCGCCCTCATGGTTGGTGTCAACTTGGTGTGATCCATTTCCAGCAGGCGGGCCCATTGGTGCAACATCTCGGACCCGTACATTACACGGAAGTAGCCTAAAATTCGTACCATTTCATACCTCACCTTATCACTAACTTTCGCCAATGCTGTAGCTCAACTATGGCGCAAGTTAAACATATCCAACCCTGGTTATTCATAGCTCATATCTGCACGAATTAATCTGGATTATAAAAATAGGTGTAGTTGCAATTCGTTCGTAACTTACGCCCTAGTTAAACTACAACATTGGCGCAAATTACTCACAAGCTCCGGATAAGCACAGGTCATCTTATCATATCACAATCTATATAACTTTAATTCCTACCAATTGACTCTGGATTGACGAAGAAGAGCTCATCCTCGCCCACGTTGAGGGTAAGGTTGACGCCATCGTTTGCCAGCCAGACCTTCCTCCGACCAGGACTTGGGCCGGTGAGGACGTTCAAGTTGACGGGGACCCACCAGACCTCGTCCCCCGAGGGAATCTCGTTCCGCACATGTTGCCTCTGCGACAGCTGGATTTGCGTGGGGCTGACCCGCCACACGGTGACGAGGGGGTAGCCAGCCTGCAACGTCCACGTGTCCATGATCCCTTTGATCGTGCTGCTGGGTGGGAGCAGGGTTGACCCTTGACCCGAGTCGTCCAAAGCTCCCTGGATTTCCAGGAATAAATCGTCCTGCTCCGTCACGCCGTATTGCCTGGAGGAACAAATTGATACTTAATTGTTGGGAAAGGTTGTAAAAAAATGTGGAAAAAAATGTGATGAGCTTGCAAAAAATTGTGGGAAAGCTTGCCAAAAATGAGGCGCACTTGCAATTACGAATTTCTCAAAACCAAATTTTTTTGTAAAACTTGCACAAAATATAAGGTATTGTGGGGAAAGCTTGTAAATGCCAATTTGCGAATTTCTCACCATTTTTGCAGATAACGTCTCACTCCCTCCTGCAGGATGGGTTCGGTGACGAAATTTTGCATCATTCTGATCAGCGTGGCTGCCTTTTCGTACACGATGTCGTCATAAATACCTCCGATCGCGTCAGGTGTGAGAGGCTCGGACGCCACAGGGTGCGTATTCAGGGACTCGTCCATCGCCATCGCGGTCTAAAACAATAGGTCAAAGGTTAATAAGAAACCTCTCTCCTCGAAAGATTGGTAAAGTTTAATTTTAGTAGGTCATGGGTCAAAGGTTGACAAAGGACTCGATGACTTTATCTCCAAAATCGTCAATTTCAACATATTTTTAATCATTTCTAGGCTCTAGAAATTGATTTTAAAATTCTGAGCGACGTAGTCAGTAAGTTGATCAATAGAATTAAACGGGGAATTTTCTAAACCAGTTTCGATAAATTCCAAATTTTCTGAAGGCCCGAGATCTCCTCCTTCCAAAACTGTCAAAATCTGGAGTGCATATTTTTAGAAAATTGGCGACGACCTCTGCTACAAATGGTCGTCCAGAATTTTAAACAAATTCCCGGAGATGATTATTAAACTGTGCTGATTTTGGCAATCAGTAATTGAGTCCTACATTAATAATATCCTGAAGGTGAAGTGTCTAACTAACCTGGTAAATTTGAGGGATGAACATGTCCCAAGGCCGTAGTTCGGGGTAGGTCATTTGAAGTCCTTGATGCGACGCGAAGGTGGCCCAGCCCTCGTTCAGCCAAATCCAGGTCCACCACTTGCACGTCACAATGTTCCCGAAAAAATTATGGGAAACTTCATGACTCACCGTCAAACTGAGCGAGTACTTTTGCACGGCCGAAGTCTCCCCTTCAAAGTAGAGCAACGCCCTGAAATTGATTATTATTATAATTATTGCGAATCGATTGGCGAAATAGATATTTTAGAAATTTGAGAAATAAAAATTATTAAACTGTAACTCAGAACTTGCAGAACAATCAATTTAGCCTTTTTAAGGAATTTTGAAAAGTGCATTTTTTGGGGAAAAACGTTTTTATTGACTTGACGGTTTTTTAGAAGCTTCTGAATTCTAGCCAATTTAAAAATTAACTTGAAATAAAGTTATACAAAAATTATTTCACGTTAATTTTGAATATATCGAAAAATGTGTCTACAACTTATCTCTATGAATCTGTGAACGTTTTTTATTATTATTTTTGGCGATATTGTTATACAAATTCTAATCAGAAACTTACAAAATTCTAAATTTTCCTAACTCATTTACAACCTAATTTCCTAAAAATTCGTTTCAAAATTTGATATTTCCCCACATTAAATTTTAACTAACCGATCCGCAAAGGTCATGAGACCCCAGTTTTCCATGGCGGTGTAGTAGAATTGTGGAAGGGCAACGTTATCGAGTTTGCTCATGGGGTAGGAAATATTGTAGTAGGACTCGAACGCGGCGTTGACGGTGGAGGAGAGATTCGCCGAGTACACGCCGCCCCCACGGTCGATGAAATAGTAGGGCGCGTAGACGCGATGGATGGCCGCGTCCGGGTAGGGTTGCGGCGCTTCCGAGTACGTCAAATCAGACACGATCATGCACACGAGGTAGGGCGACATGCGTGGCGTGGGGGCAAACGTGTCCAATATCCAGGTGGCTATTTCTGGTCTAAATATGCAAAACAATTTTTAGCACGGATAACGTATAATCAAATCTAATTGCGTTTCTTTTTTTTTAGTAAACAAAATTTTACGAATAATCGTCTTTGTTCAATTAAAATTTTACTCAGAAGTCATTGTGGACCTTCAAAAATGTTATTTAATCTTATAAAAAGTCAGTTTCTCTGCTAAAAATCGGCATTAACTGTAAAATTAAAATTCATATACACAAATTTGTTATGTCTTACAGCGGATTTGTGTCGAGTAAGTGGGCGTTTGAGAGCGCGTGGTATTTGGCGTGGTGACCCAGGCTGATTTCGAACACGGCTTTGAGATCCGGCTCATCCAGACAGGGAAACGCTCTACGAGCATTATTCGCAGCAAAGAGCGTCGTCGACACGTACCTTTGATTCATTACAATTCATAATCAGCACAATTTTCAGCTTTATCATAGTAGTTTGCAAATATTTCTGCAGCTTGAAAAATACGTACTACAAATAAATGTACAACAATGAGTATAAATCGAGAATGAATAAATTTCTGATAATAATAATAATTTCTGATATAAATTTCTGAATAATTTCTGAATTTATGCATTTCAATTTCAACATATTCCTCAACATTTCTAGTTTTTACAAGTAAATATTAGCATGTAAATATTTCAAAATGTGCAACTATCTCGCCTATTTAAAAAAATGCTAACATCATTGAAACATGTATCAAATATGTATATTTTTTAAGTTGGACTCCAAAAATCTCGAAATCAAACAGGATAATTTTTCTTGACTTTGAAAAAATGCATGTAATTATGCAACGCCACTTTTTATTTTTACGAATATTTCATTTAACAAATGTAGTAACAGATTTTCCTTTGCGACGGCCCAAACGCTTCTCTTATTTTTTTGGTTAATATTAAAAATTTTGGGGGTTTCATTTTTATTTTGACATTTTTAACGTAGCATTCCATGACCCATCACCAAACAAAATTGTCAAAATCAGCACATTTCTAATCTCTCGGGTCTGGGAACGTATTCCCAAATTATCGACCATGAATTTGTAGAACAACTCGTTGCTGTTTTTTCTTAAAAACATACACTCCAGATTTTTACACACTTTGAAGGAGATTTCAAGTTTAGGAAGCCTTCAGAAAAATTGGAACCTAATAAAAAAACTGGCTGAAAAAACTGGCTACTATTCCATTAATCAACTTACTGACAACAAATTTGTCGCCCAGAATTTAAAAATAAATTCCCAGAGCCGATAAATGATTAAAAATGTGCCGATTTTGGCGATGCGTCATCGACACCGAATTTGAATTTTTAAAGGATATTCGGAAAAAAATTCCAAAATTCATGTTTTAGTGTTTTTCATAACAATTTGTGTGTACGTACTTTGTCTCGCTGGTGGCGGGGTCGACGTAGGAGTCGAGATAAATGCCGTCCAGTCGCGTGGGTGAGATGGGGGCCGTGTAGGGGATGTAAAGCTCGTAACTTTCCCCCGCAACCAAAGCCGTGGTCAGATTTACGAGGAAAAAATTATATTCTGGCTGGGAACCAAAGCCTCGGATCGATTGTGGGACGCCGACCGAGTTGTGGACCTGCCCAAATAAAAATTACATACAAATTTACTAATTGGTGCGGTTTTTAATAATAATTGGTACAAGTTTGGATGAAATTGTACAAATTAGTTGAAACATGTTTCTGCAAAAGTAAAAATGGGGAAAATTGGACACATGCAGTAATCAAAATTGTAGACCGATTTTAGAATAACACGATTTTTTTTACAAAGTTTGGACCAAAAATTGTCAGAATTTAAGACATATTTGTGAAAATTTTGGTGCCTGCTGAAGCCAAAATTGCAGACCAATTTCAGTAAAAAAAAAAATTGACATGATTTCTTTAAATCTGAAACTTTTGGAGGAAGACTTTGCAAGACTTTTTTTTTGAAGAAAATTCCAAAGTTTGACCAAAAGATTATCAAAATGTGTGAAATCCTCCTCACATAGATTCCCCCCTCGTTAATATCCAAATCCAGAACGTGGAGTTTGATAACGTCGGTGGCTTCGACGCAGTCAAACCTGATCCAAACTTTCCCTGGGGCTGAGAACCTTGGAAATTGTGGGATTTCATCGAGGACAGAAATGATCTCGAGTTTGTACGACGTCGGGAGAATGTTTCTCGGCAGGCGGAATTCCTGCGCCACGCCCACCGAAAATATCGCAAATATGACAAAAATACCTAAGCGTCCCATCGTTCCGACTTTTATAAAAACAATTGGGATAGAACTGACTTTTTGGGGTGTTGGGTCAGGATCTCTGGTTGGTTATCAGAATTCCGCTTATCTCGCAGTGTACTTACCTTATCAAATTTGCGTAAAATACGATGACAATGGCAGTGACAAAATTTGCAATCTTTTTGGCATTGATGGATAAGGAAATTGTATCGATGTGGGAACTAATTGGAAATACCAAATAATCCGGATTGAGTAAGACTTCAACATGAGATTATACGTAATTAAGTATGTAAATGAATCCGAATTTATGCAGATTACAAAAATACAGGTCACATTTGATTAAACTTGGTTATAAATTTTCAGAAAATTTGAATTTAGTTTGAAATTTAGTAATATTTGTAGTATGGATCTTCTTCTTCCTCCTCCTCCTCCTCCTCTTCTTCTTCTTCTTCTTCGAGTTCCGTGGTGGTTGCGACGACGGGGACCTGTTCGTGGCTCGAGGAGCGACTACTGCCTCCGGACGAAGTGGTCGTCGGGGTCCCCGTGGCGCTGGAGCTGGAACACTTGCTGGTCAAGTAGGACGACGAGTTGTCCTCGTCTTCGTCCCCGTTTTGTTTGTTGTTGCTGTTGGTCTTTTTGATGTACCTGGTCTGCATTGTTTTCGCCAATTTGGCCAGTTTCTCAATGTCGGATTGAAATTTTTCCAAAATGTCGACATTTTGTGTGATTGGAACACCGTTTTTGACAAATTCGGAAACCAGGGCAGACTGTTGAACGATTTGATGACCGGAAGTGGGTTCTTGATTGGCAACCAAGTTGTCTTTTTTGCTGGATTTTTCGACTACTGGAATATCCTGGAAAATTAAATGAATAATAATGACTGATAATTTAACAATTTTGTTTAAAAATCATGCTTCTTTTTTAAAATACTAATTCAAACTTTAATGTTTCATTTCTTGTACTGCAAAGCAAGAAACGCAAGAAAGAATGCGCCCTGGATTTCTTGCAGGTCAAATTATTTAGCTGCAAGGAACCATTTGGAACCACACGATTTCATTATTTCTCACCGATTCAGAGGACGACTGCTCAGCCTTGTCCTTCGGTAGAAACAAGACTTTCATCTCCAAAGCAAAGAGGTGACGAATCTGGACCTTGAAGGACTCCAAAGTCTCCCAAAACTTGGCCCGTGCCGCGGTCAAGTCGTCCATTTCCTGGCGAATCTTCTCCTCGGAGTAGAGATGACATCGAAGGGCAGCTTTCGTGTCCCAGTAGCACCCCCAAATTTCACGGGTAACCTTCAAAACGAGGCGGAGGAGACAACAGAGGGCAAGCAAGACGTAGCCGAGTAGGATGAATTGGAATAGAATTGACCATGACCAGTAGGCAAACTCCATGTCGGCGAAGGTCACAGAAGTACAGAAATGGGGTTTATTTTCAAGAAGAATTTGAATAATGGGTCTTGTTACATATGTAATTGACAATTTTGGCACGAAATATTTCGCCGAAATTATGCTCATGCGTAAAAAATGCGTATTTATCTATGTTCCCTTCGTAACGATGATGCTTTCCTACAGAAAGCCAGAAACGGATCATGTGGCCCGAGCCAGGTTGTTATCAATATGTAATTCGGCTCGACAACTACCATTTTTTTCCCACACGTTTTGCTCATCTTTGAACTTGATTCCTAATTTTGCATGTTCTTGTAAGTCGATTGGATAAGTTTAAGAAAGAGCGCAATAGGATGGATGACAGATAGACAATGACGGGTGCATAAGCCCTGACTCGGCTAAAAAGAGTTAAAATTTATTACAATTAATTATCTTTAATATTACCTCAAAAACTTCTAAATCCATCATCGAACCAACCACCAACAAAAGCGACGACAAAGTTAAAATTCTATCAAATAAGGGAAAATCTGCCTACTTCAAAGAACAATCTTGCTGGTGTAAATTTTTTTAAAAATTAGCAAAAGCAAAATGCATACATCTTAGATTGCAAGGTTATCACGTGCAAAAATAAAGTCAAATTGTGGACAAATTGTGACCTTATCAATCCATGTTTCCGACTATTTCTCATCTTTCTCATCTTTTTCTCATTTTTCGAGCCTCTTGTTATCTCATCCTCTACAAAATCAGATACTTAAAAATAAACGTCTCCCACAGAAAATTTTTAATTGCAATTAAAATTTAGTCCTAGTCAAAATTTAATTGTAAGTAAAATTAAAAATTAGCAAAAATAAATAAATTGCATATAAATTGCATACATTTGGGAAAATGAGAACCGTTCGTTGCCCACAGGCAGAAAAAATCAAATAGAAACCAGAATCCAAAGCGAACCAACACAACAACAACACAGCCGTCAAAGTCAAACCAAAACTGTAAATTTTTCTGCCAACAAAACACTAGTTAACTTTTCGCAATCATTTTAATCCAATTTAAGTTAAATATGGCTGAAAAAGGGTAACATTTTTGGTCGCGAAAAGAGTATTTTTCTGTGCAGTTTTTTTAGAGAAAATGTCGTTAAAAATGTGAAGTTACTATTATTTAATTAATGAGGAACGACTTTGAGGAGGTGGTTATCATCAGTTAGTGCTTATCTTCAATAGTTCTACTCGATTATTGCGGTGTGGTGTGGTCGGTTATCCTCAAAAGGATGTTGTTTAAATGTTAATTAATAAACTCCAATTTTAATAATCAGCTTGTTGCATAAATTTCCGTAAAATGTTGGGAAACAGTACAACATTTTGTATGTTTTTAATAATCCTAATTAGTTAATTATTTGTGTATCGTATAATAAATTGACTTTGATTGTTTAGATTACGGAGGGGAAGAGGAAAATGGTCACGTCGGTGGTGGTGGGGACGATAACGGATACGGGTCCCAATCTCTGGGCGAATTTCAAAAGGTCGGCTCTGTCCTGGTTGACGGTGGAGATCGATTTGGCGTCAGTGCGGTCACTTTCGACATGCAGGAGGAACTGATTTGGATGGGAAATCGTGGCGTAAGTCGAAAAACAACCACATGCAAAGTTAATCACATGGAACAATATCTACAGTTAATCATTAAATATTTTACTTGAAACAGGGTCACGTTACGTCATACTATGGCGCAAATATGGAGAAATACACGTAATATTAAAAATGCTAATTTACTAGACAAATCAAATAAGTAATTAATTACAATTATAAAATTAGATCATTCCAAGTCACAGCGAATCAAGAAGTCCGACAAATCTTGACATTTGACGACCTCATCCTCATTTTGAGCGAGTCTCAGCTCCGTGGCCAGATTAGGAGAGGGCTGCCCATGTTTACGCATCTGTATTAAGCAATTTCTTAATAATAAGAGGTGACCTTTGACCTCATTCAGTTGCTAATTTTGAATTTTGTTCTTGTCCAGATCTGAAAATCTTCTAAACATGCAGTGCATGTTGCAAACCTCGCTGACCACGGTGCTTATGGGTGGACATCAAGAAACCATTGTGGAGTTCGACCTTTCTCAAAACATGGAGACGAAAACGGTACATTTTGATTTGTGTCCGCAGTTATCGTTTTCCTGCGTATCAATTCGTTTTATCTCAATGCAGGTGCACATTGGTGGGACAGGATGCGCCATCCTGCGCGGCCAAGGAGGTCACAACCGGATCTGCGCAGGGTTAACTTCCGGCCAAGTTTATTTCCTGGATTCACGAACGTACAAAAAGGAACAAAGCATCGATGCTCATTCTGGCAGTTTGTCTGACCTCGATGTTCATGGGTAATGAATTAGATAGACCAGAAGTCAGCTTTGCGGTGGATACGTAGATACAGGCCTTTAACATGGACTATTTGTTTGGGAAACATGTCCGTCGATATTTTCTGCTTAAATATGAACTTAAAAATTTGGATCAAAAATACGATTAACTCGGTAACAAGTTGTTAAAGACCAAAGTCTTCCAAATCCCAATTTTGTATACAATTTCACTCAAACTTTTGAACGGGCCCAGGTACCGAGTTCATTCGAGGTTTTTGAAATAATCCTAGTTTTTGGGTTGAATTTTACTGCAAAAAATCTCGAGCGACACATTTCCATATTTAGTATACCAATAACACATGTCATGTCAAAGGCTTGTCTACGACCACTGTCAACTTTGCTCGTGTCCGCATCACAATAATTTTCTCTCCTGAACAGCAACCTACTCGTCACCTGTGGCTTCTCGTCACGACACAACACCTGCAGCGTGGACAGATTTCTAAAAATTTATGACCTTCGCGTCCTCCGTTCCTTGGCTCCTATTCAGGTTTCCATCGACCCCATCATGCTCCGTTTCCTGCCTTCGTTCTCCTCCCGTATCGCCGCCCTCAGTCCGTCGGGCCAGATGGAAATTTTGGAGACGCAGGCGCTCTCCACAGCAAACTTTTTGATATATCAGGTCACCTCGAATGGTTCAGAGTCTCGGGCCTTCGACGTCTCCTCGTCGTGTCATCAGCTCGCTTTTGGCGACGAAACGGGCACGCTCAACTTATTTTCGTCCAATCCGACCTCAATGTTCAACCCGTTTTCGAGGGGAACGGAATTTCCGGACCCTGTGGAACAATTTACTCCCATCAGTTTCAACATGGAGGACGTCAACTCGCCGTGCTTGTCGAGCGTGCCGCTACCTTTTGTGACGCAGACGGGGCTGGGTAAATTGGAAATTATGCTAATTGAAATATCGGTAAGGTTTTTTAATTTAAAAAAAACTTTGCAGGGAATGAAACTCTGTGTTCGGACTGGCCGACGTACCTGGTTCAACCCGGGTATCGCAGGCACCCCGCGGTGGACCAGTCTCTTCTCCAGTCGATGAAAATGGTGGGACCGATCGGATATGCCCCGAACCCTGGAACGTTTCGGAGGAATCAGATGCAGTACAAGTTTGATGCCAAGAGCATGAGCGGGGGGACGCTGACCAATGTGAAGCAGCCGCTCAGCCCCAGTTCCGCCTTTGTGATGATGGGGTAGGAAAATTTAGAGTTATTTAATTAGTTGTAAACTTGACGTAAACTTTCTGCTCATCCTTTTTCTCCTCTGTTAAATGTTTGGATGATGGAAACTCAAAAATTAAGTAAAATGCAAAAAAAATATCGCAAGATAAGAGATATAAGTGCAAAAATTTATAATAATTCAGTGAATTATGGGAAAAGTTTCCTTAAATCTTGAGTTGAATTTTAAATTAAGCGAGATATGAAAATTATCCAAAAAATGCTATAAAATTCCACAAAAATGATCAAGATTCCATCACTTAAAGTTTCCTTAAATTTGAAGTTGGAATTTTAAATTAAGTGAGATATAAAGAAGTTCAAAAATTGAATTTGTGCCAAAATTCGGCAAAAATGCTCAGAATTCTATCCCTTATCTAATCCTTATCACTAACTTTCAGTCCTGGGAGTCACCGTTCTTCACCCGCACATGGAAAACCGTTCTCTCCTCCGGGAACGTCCCCGCAGTCACCCCGCTCGTCACGAGGAGGTCGACCACCCCACTCTCACCATCATCATCATCACCACCACCACGGTGGTGGAGTCACGTCACGCGGTCATCACTCCTCATCGTCCTTATCTCCAAATAAGTTTCACATTCCAAAACGATACGCGCGGATTGAGTGGAAAAAGTCAAGCTTCGAACTTCCCGATATGGAGCCCTTCAACAAAACCAAGCTCTCAGGGTTGGAAGCCATCACGGTCAATTCGTACTGCAACTCGATGATCCAAGTCATTTACCACATCGACTATCTGAGAGGATTTCTGATGAGCCATCTCTGCAAACGGGAGGGTACGAACAATAGAAAAAACTCACATTTATAAATTTACTAGAATAATTTTCCAATATTTTGTAGTACTAATTTTATCCCAGGGTCAAATTTGAACGAATTTTGGTCTCGTGTGCAGAAATAATTGCATGTTTTGTCAATTTGATTTCGTAATGGGTTTTATCCCAGAATAACGTTAGGTCTCAAATAATTAAATATTTTGTCGAAACTTGCGAAATATGGGTGGCAAATTAAAATGCTTAAATATTTAATGCAAAATACTTCGTAATTTGGACCAAATTGACACGATTTTTATTGAAATTTCAGCCTGCCTGAGCTGCGAGTTGGGCTTCTTGTTCTACATGTTGGACCAGAGTCGATCCCTTCCTTGTGCAGGGAGCAACTTTCTCCGATCCTTCAGAGTTGTCCCGGAAGCTACCGCATTAGGATTGATCCGACAAGAAAACCAGGCCAAACAGAGGTCCGCACTGTATCGGTTAATCTCTGTAAGCACAATAACAAAGCATAGTAATTAATTAATTGCTTAATTCTATAATTAATTTAAAATCTTCACCTGAATAGAACTGGAATAGATTCATCCTCCATCAAATCGAGACGGAGACGACGGACAAGAACGAACACTCGACATCGACGGAGAACACGATCCACGACCTGTTCGCAATGAAGCAGGAGAACGTCAACAGTTGCGCGAGGTATTTATATTGCGCAAGGTTAAGTTAAGTGTGTTTACATGTGCCAATAGAAACAAATTTTCCGTAGGTGTGGCAAAGTATTGAGGAAGGAGTCCGTCGTCCTCCTCTCGAACCTATTGCACGACGGTTAGCTAGTTAACTTATATGTAAATAAGATGGCATAGCGTATGACTTTTACCTAATTGTCTATTTCTTTATTTATAGTTTCCGGAAACATTGACCCCAATCAAGGCAACTTTGTCCACCTTTTGGAAAAGACGCTTTACCCTGAACAAACCACTCCGGCGTGGTGTGACATTTGTCGCAAGTATTCGACCACCTTTCAATCTCGCGCACCACAAAATCTTCCCCATATCGTCGCCGTAAATACGTGTTTGGATGGGTCGAACAAAGTCAGTTTTTATTCTAACGGGGAAATACATTCTCAGAAATTATAAAAAATATGATTGATTTGTTTGAAGGACTTTGAAGTTTGGATGGCCCACATGGAATCGAAACTGGGAGATAAATCTGTCCGAATTGGTGGAGCTGCTGCTACCACGGCGGCGTTGAGTCGTCGCGATATTTCGATGGGTTCGCCGTCTGATCAGTTTTTGGGAGGATTGTCGCCCTCACCGGGAGCACTTCCAGGGGGATCGTCGTCTAATACGTCTTCAGGTCCTGGGCATTTGAGATCGTGCCGATATGGGAATGCGTGCACGCGACCGGACTGTAAATTCTGGCATGAGGATAGAAATCCTTTACAGGGAGGACATGGTAAGCGTTGGAATTTTAGTGATTGAATTTTCAATATAAAAAGTATGATCTTTTCCAAAATTGTCAAATTTTTGCAAGCTTTTAAATTAAAAGTTTTAATCTCCAGAAAAACAGATTTTGTCACAAATTTGAAATAATTTCAATCAAAACACAAATGCATAAGTATGAATGTTGGTAATTTTGACATGATTTGGATATTTTATAACGCTGAAATTTTAGTCGTCAGATTTCTAGACTGAAGTTTATGATCCAACATTTTCAAAGACGTAACACATTTATTCAAAGTTGTAATCTCCATATTTCAGTAAAACAAACCGAGTTCGACCTAAGTCCTGAGGTGCAAGTGAAATGGTTACCTTCCAAAATAAGGATCAGTATTGGAGAGAACGGGCGGCTCTCGGTTGTCGATTTGGACACGTCACCACAATCCTCTTCTCCAACGGATGACATGGACGATGACGAGTCTCAACTGAGTCCTCCCTTCACATCCGACTACGAGCTCACCTCGGTCGTCGTGTACGTCAAGGATCCCGAGGCGGAGGATAAGCACAATCTCGTTTCTCTTATCAGAGTAGCGTCCTCATATTTGGAGAGGGCGGGTCAACCCGTTCCTGCTGAGGGAGCGTCGTGGTTCCTCTTCAACGATTTCTGGTAAAGCAACCTTTTTTATTGGGTGGACTTGCCCAGCAGTTTTTATTAAAATTTCGTTGGCAGTTCAAAAATTTGGAAATTCATGTGGTAATTTCAATAGAATTAACTTAAATGGAGGCCTCCCACTCTCCGAGTTTGACGAAACTAGTGTCAATACTGTTAATAAATTTAATTTATGATATATAATTTACCCTTAGAGTATCTAATAATAATATCTAATGATATTATTATTAGATACTCTAAGAATTTACCATTTGCTGAAATATTGGTCCATATTTTTTAAATGATACTCTTACTTGAATTTTTAAACCGGATTCTTAATCATCCTTTTGATGTCCAATTTTTGTGGACAATTTTGACATTCCGGTCGTAATTTCAATTGAATTTAGTTCGGATTTTAGTTTGCAATTTGTCCGGGTTTTAAAACGTACAAACTGACGGTTATTTCCTCTTGCAGCGTGAAACAGGTCCCCGCCACAGAAGCGTTGTACTTCTCCCCCAAGTGGAAATTCCCCTCTGTGGTGTACTATCAAAAGGTGAGGATGCCACCGCACTTCCGCTCTTTTCCCATCGTCCCCACCGTCACGTCCGAAGTGCTGAAGGACCTCTTCCTCCCAAAACCTAAGGCGAAGGAAATTCCTGGCACGAAGAGCAAAGTGGCCAAGCACCCACCCGTCCCCCTCCCGTACAAGCCCCTCGACCCGGACGAAATTCCGCAGAGGGGAGAACTCGTCGCTATCGATGCCGAGTTCGTCACTCTTGGCCAGGAAGAAACCGAGTTGAGAAGTGACGGGAAATTGAGCACGGTGAAGCCGCAACAATTATCGTTAGGTGAGACATGTCACGCCGTATAATCGGAGACTTAAGCCTTTATCATGTCTTATCGGACGGTCGGTAAAATTCATCCATCGAAAATTTTGATTCAAAATTAATCCAAAAATTAGGATTAGGTATTTTAAAAATGAAATGTAGTCCGTAGCTCTCCGCGTCAAAAAGTTGTTAAGCTCGATATTGATTGGGATGGTATATAAATTGAGATTTTGGGAAATTTTGATTATTAATAACTTTTTAATGGGCAAAGCTACCTAGTTAATTTTATTTTTGAAATTCCAATTTTTGGGTGGATTTTCAAGTAACAAAATCGTGAAGGACATAGAATAACCGATCGCGATAGAAAACCGATAATACATGTTAAAGCTTATCTACCTTAAGGCACACGAAGATTTTTATCAGATTGTACGTAACAAACTTTGTCCTTAATTTTCCCAGCTCGCGTGACCTGTCTCCGGGGTCAGGGTCCGCTCGAAGGCACGCCCTTCCTCGACGACTACATCTCCACGCAAGAAGTCGTTGTGGACTATCTGACCAAATTCTCTGGCATACAACCAGGCGATCTGGACATCAACTACAGCTCGAAACATCTCATAACGCTCAAGTCAGTCTACTTAAAGTTGAGGTTTCTCATCGACTCGGGCGTCAAGTTTGTAGGTCACGGACTCTCGAATGATTTCAGGTGAAAGAAATTCATCCCCACAAAAAAATATACAATTTAAAAAATAATAATAATAATTTCTGCAGAGTTATCAATCTCGTCGTTCCGGCGGATCAAGTAATTGACACGGTGTCACTATTTTATCTTCCGAATCAGAGGATGGTGTCGCTGCGATTCTTATCGTGGCATTTTCTTGGTAGGAAACCAAACCATTACATCTTTGTTCGAGGCATAGATAAGCCTTCAAAATGTGTTATCGGTTTCGGAAATACAAATATACCCCACAAGATTTTTGGGTAAAAATTAGCCCAAAGGTTGGGATTATTTCAAAACGAATACAAACAAAATCTTGGGGACATTGGGACATATTTCCCACACCGATAACCTTTTTAAAGGCTTATCTACGATTATATGAATCCACCGCAACGTGCATGTGAACTTTAAAACCATAATCCTGGTCTTTTTTTGCGTTATTTAAGGTGAAGTGATCCAATCTGAGACGCACGATTCTGCGGAGGACGCACGTGCAGCGTTATCCCTCTTTCGAAAGTATGAGGAATTAAAAGAGTTTGGGAATTTGGACCAAGCAATCGAAGAATTGTACGAAGTTGGGAGCAGATTACAGTGGAAGGTGAACGGGAGTGATAAATAAATAGAAAATTAAACCTTCCACCAATTAAGGAAATTTTGGACTATATATTTGTAACAAATAAGTGATAATTAACTAGCAATATTAGTAAAATCCACAATCTGGACGCAAATTTTAATCTCTTTTAATCAAGTGTGAGAGAAGAGGACGCATTTTTAATCAAATTGTCACGACTTTCGCTACATTTCTACACCGCACCAATTTAACAAGGAAATCGAAATTGTTTAATTAATTAATGATTTAGTTTAAAGTGTTATTTTTAGTCGGGAAAGTGTATGAATGTGGTGTGTTTGTGTTATATCTATTTTTGTCGCTGCACTATGAATTAATTTACATGTTGTGATTTTAATTATTGTCGTAATTATTTTTTAACAAGAGCGAATTATTATCACTTTGTTCCAATTTCGCCCACATTTATTATTATTATCGCGTATTATTATCAAGTATTACAATTTTGTGTTAATTTCTACTACTCCTCGAGATTAAGGAACCTCTCAGTATGAAGAATGTTGTGAATTTCTACGAACGCGAAGAACAAGAAACGAAATGTGATCCTGTAGCTGTAATTAAGTAGCTGTAATTAAGCGAGAAACAAAAAGTATTTCCAGTTTTACACGAGACTTTAATAGAGACGAACTATGAGCAAATACAAAAATTATTGAATAGTTTAATTGGTGGTACACGGTACTTAGAAAAATAAGGAATTTGTTACAATTATGCATGAGAAATAAAATTAATTATTTGAAATAACATACCCAAATTAAAGCATCAAACCTTGTATCATATCACATATATTTTACAGGTTAAATAAATTGATTATGGAATGTAAAAGGGTATTACACAACAATATGCTTTTAATTTCGATCACTCACATGTAAATCAGTTAATGAATTGGTTAATTAAATTAGTTGGTAGTAAGCTATGATTTTTTCATGTAATTTTTTTGCATGTACTTTTTACCCCGAGACGTGGGAGACGAGTCATCAAGAAAAACATGGTTGTGCTGTGCCAAAGTCAGTGCAAAACTTTGGTTAATTTTTCGCAAATAAATACTGCATAATTTGCTAATTGAGTAACTAATTGGAAAGATTTACTTGATATTTAAGGGCTTTAATTACGTATTGTATTGGTAAGTCGGGGTTATTTTTTGTCCTTCATCATTCTTTGATTTGTTATGGTTTTGTACTTTTCGAAATTTTGATTCAATTTACAATTACAATTTGTTGAATTTAAAGGTCAACAGCTCGGGAGAAGTCAGATCGCCATTATGAAGCTAAATATCGACCTAGTTTAATTAATAAACGTGGCGCAAGGCAAGATTAGCTAATCATTATGGATCTTCCACCTCCTCCTCCTGTTCCGATGCAGTCGCGCATCTCTAAACCAAACGATAAGATAGAAGCACCGATAATTGCTTGTAATGATAACTTCAATTTGCCAACGGGTAAGTAATAGGTTATCTATATCATCATGCTTATCCGTCATTAATACTTGTGTCGTCATTAGGCCGGATAAGGCGACCCTCCACGCCAAACAAGTCTTCGACAGGAGTGCTCACTTCTAAAAATGTGGGGGGAGGTTCTTCTGGGGGCACGTTGCCACGAAAGGGCCGAGACGAAGTTAAAAAACAAGGGTCACGAATTAGGTCAGCCTCTGCGGGGAGGGATCACAAGACGGGTGAGCCAATTTAATAATCGAATTAGCTTCTGATAAGCTCGTATTAATGTTTAAATTAATAATTGACAGAAATGTCATCCCGCTATTGGACATACCTCTTTGAAAATTTGGAGCGTTCAATTTCAGAAATTTATGAAGGGTGTGAAAAGGAGGAGAATATTCGGCAGTGTAAAGTAAGTTTTCTAATTTCTAATTTATTCACAATTTTGGTTTAATAATTAAACTTAAGTAATTTAATGTTTGAGTATTTGAACTATTTTTGAGTTTGACGAGTTTGGTTTATTAAATTCGATATAGTTGATGACTCATTTTTCAAATTTTAAGTGAATCGAGTTTACAAAAATTTATCTCGTCGTTTGGAGCAATAATATTTCAGCTTGAAATTCAATTTCACCATTTAACAAGAAAATTGCATATAATAATTCTTTTTTTCTAAATCGTTCCACTTTTTGTTTCCAGGAAGTCATCCTAATTTTGGAAAACTACACCCGTGACTTTACCAAACTGATTGAATGGTTTCATCTCAAATGGAATTATGAAAAGACGCCACCTCCCATGCGAACGGCTCCACTGGCCTGGGAAATTCGGAAACCATCCCTCTGCCTCGTGCGTGAATATAGTTAATTGTTTAATGTAGAACTCGATGACTCGAGTTCTACACTAAAATTGTCAAAATTAACACATTTGTAATCATTTCTCGGCTCTGGGAATTTACTCTAAAATTCTGGACAAGTTATATAATAAGTCTTTATTGTCAAAAGGTAACAACTTGATAACATGCTGATTTCCAACCATTGACATTTAACTAATTTGTTTTTAAAATTAATTTTTAAAATTCGGGACAAGTTTGTCTACCAAGTTGTTGCCAATTTCATACATTCCAGATTTTTGCAGTTTTTGATGGAAGAGATCATAAGATTAAGAAGCCTTAAGAAGATTGGAACTCTTCTGGCTTAAAAAACTCACGGCCATTCTATTAACCAAATTTGTCGTCCTGAATTTTAAAATAAATTCCCAGAGCCGAGAAATGATTAAAATGAGATGTTTAATGTGACTAAAATTTAACGAGTAACGGTCGAGTCCTACCTTAAAAATTAGAGACTGATCGTAAATCCTGAGAAAAAATTCAATCTATAAAATTTAATCTCTCCATTTTATTTAGCTCCCACACACCCAAGCGTATGAGAAACTTGTTGGAATATCGTCCACCAAACCGAAATCTCAGAAGATAGATCAGAAGGTGGATCCTCCTCGTCCTTCTTCTCGAATAGGTTCGACCCCACCACCCACTTCTCCACTACCCGCATGCGCAGAAGGGATGATAAAAAAGGGTCGTGCCACACCCCCTCTTGCTCCTTCTGCTCCTCTCCCCAATAATAATCCAGCTAATAACCCCGTGTTTTGTGTGCCTCTTAACACCACCACGACGATCGACATTGGCCTCCAAACCGACTTGGACGAAGATCCTGACATCTTCTACTTCGCGGGGGGTCGCACCGTGGCCTGTCAAACCGACAGTTTGGACGAGTATGGGCCCCTCAGCCCCATTTCCTTTAAAGAGATGCCCGCCATCCTGGTGCTGAATACGTCATCGTCAGAGTCCGATTTTGGCGAGTGTGACGTCGTGGCTCCCATTAATTCCGACCCTGTCAAAGTAGTAGACACTGAATTAATGAACGTGTCGACAACCTCGTCATCAATGTTGCTATCCGTATCGACAACGTCGTCCTTGACGTCGAGTGATTTTTGTGCTACTAACAGCAATTCCGCGGCGATAACCACTAATCCAAGACCGATAACACCAATTGAGACCAAGTCAAGTTCAACTCAACTTTCGGCAGGTGTTTTAATCTCAGATGAACATCAGACAGTGACCACGACGGAGAAGGAATCGGCCGTGGCGAAAGTGACGACGACAACCACGAGAACGTCGACGTTTGCGGAGAAGGCGAAAAATGGGATGCTACGACAAAGCCAGGTCCAAGCAAAGTCCGTGTCCAGTTATTTGAACAAGGTAGGAACGACGACGACGACGACAGGGGCGGCGACGGCGACCAAGTCGACTGCACTGACGACACGGAGTAACAGTGCCAATAATAAAGTGACGTTGACATCCAGCAATATTCGACGAACTCTTGTGAGCAGTTTGAAACCGGCGACGGCGACGGGGCGGACGGGCGGAGGAGGAGGAAGTCGCGTTACGATGGCCCCACCCGTCATTCCGAATTATAGGAGCAATATTGCGAGCAGGTGTAGAACTGCGGTGAACACGGGACAAGTCACCGGACAGCCGGTAGTTGCACAATTTTATGGAAAATTAACAATTTTAGTTTGATTTTTGATTTGGTTACGTTCTAATTTTAATTTTCTTGTCGCGTGGGTTCGATTTCTTGTACAAATTTCAGGGATTTTGTTCCCCCCAAAAACAGAAAATTACAGTAACATCGGAATTTTTATCCGGTCTAAATTCGAATTAGACTTTTATGAAAGGAACATAAGAACTCGAACCTACACATCTTTTTTTTATAATTTCCTCACATCATTTCTGAAATCTTGTAGGAAACGCAGCCTCAAAACGTGAAGTGTTGCCCTAAAGAGAAAACTATTAACAAATCTGCTGTCGTCGTCCCCCCACCGCTGTTGTCTTCCGCTACTGCTGCTGAATCTGCTGCTGTTCTTTCTAATTTTAAAGCTCTGCCGCCTTCTCCTTCCATTTCTAGCGCAAAATCCGGCCAGTCTTCTGCACAAGGGACACGCGACAATAATAGCACTACCACTTCCGGTGTAGAGGTATAATTCACACAGAGAAAAAATATTTGCTCACGTCAAACGTTGTCATCCTCAATTTGTTTTGAGGTGTCGATAACATTTTCAATACTTTCTTTAGAAGTTTGTAACATTGATTGTTTTTTAACCTACTTTGACGTGAGTATTATGACTTCAATGTATTTTTTATGTCAGGACGTGGTTCGTTAAAAATCTGTCCGTTTTTGGGGGTTTAAGAATTCATTATTCTTAAAAATACACTTAAAAATACGCTAATATTTTTAGTAAAAATCTTTCTTTAATTTTACACATCTTGCTTATAATCCTTTGCTAATATTTTTCTTTATAATAATTAAGCGCAATAATTGTGTGATTTTGTGTGGAGTTTGTGTGTGTGAATTTGTGTTGTCTGTTTTTACGTCGTGTGTGATTGTTTTTAAATGGAAAAATTCCGTGAATTAAAAATAAATGTTTTTCTCCACGTTGAAAATAGATGGGAACGACGACAACAACGGTTGTTCTTCCCACGGCGGCGACGGTCTCATTTTCTATGAAGCATGGAGGGATAACCAGGTCGAAATCGATGATCAATCCATTTCCTACTTCTTCTTCTTCCACTGGAGGAGGAGGAGGTGGTAGATTGACGAACAAGTCGAACGGTGGGAATAATGCAAACAAGGGGCGAGGAGGTCAAGGGCTGGGGTTGATCAAGTCGTCCGGATCATTTAAACGGTTGCATTCCAACAGCTACATCTCACTCCCGGATGAAACGACGTATGCGAGAAAGACGATCGATGCGGGTAAGCAATATAATAGCGTGGAAAAATTGTGGGAAAATATGCGGTGGATTTTTTCCTCTAACGAACTTTCCTCTTCGTAACCTTTGCAAACTTATGGGAACGTTTGTAAAAGTTGACGAATTGTATGAAAAAATTCAATTATTTCGGAAAGATTCGTGTACATTGCAATGTTGAAATGTGTCCTAAAATTAAATAACCCCTACCACCATCACCCGAAATAATAGATGACATCCTGTTTAATGTCGTCCAGAAAATTGGAAAATTTTGAAATTACTTCATTTTACAAGATTAATAAAGTTGTCGTTATTTCAGACGGATGGGAAACTGTAAAGACGAGATCAAACCGTTCCAAATGGTCGTCATCCAACTCTTCGCTTGGATCTTCGAATGCGAACAATCAGTCGCGAAATTCTTTGGATAAGGGAACCCCCAAAAAACGTGGTGACTCACAAACTTCCAATAAGAAAGAGTCCTCTTCCACCTGCACGACGGAGAAAAAGGGGCCGAAAGATGGGATTTCTGTGGAAAATGATAAAAATAGCAAGAAATCCAATACTGCTGGTGGGGGTGATTTAAAGAGCAAGGTTACTGTGGCCAAGACCAACGGTAATTGTGGTGGTGGTGGTGGTGGTGGGAAGAACAAGAGCAGTGGCGATGGTCCAACGACGACAAGTGAGGATGACGCAGCCCTTGACGAGGCCGAGATAAAAAAGAAGGAGGCTGATTTGGACGACGCTATGAGAGAAGAAGAGCTTCTGGAGGAGGAGTTGCGCCAAGTAGAGAAGGATTTCGAGAGGGTAGGGAGATTTACGCAATTCAATCTGAGGATTGTAAACTCAACAATTTTGTTACAATGAGTTTACTTTTGTGAAATTCTGTAAAATAATTTACACAATTACTAAGTTTTCGTAAATATAAGAATTTTCTAAGGTATAATATTTGTATTTGTGGACAGATTGAGAACGACAGCACGACGGAGGAGGGGACGATAACGGACAGTGAACACGCCATCAGTCCCGACCCAGAAGAAGTCGTGGCCTTCGAGGAGATGGACGACCAATTCTTCTTCGTCAGCATTGACGACCAGGAGAGTGCCAATGGTAAAGAGTCATTTTTCCATATTGTAATAAATCCAGACACGAACTATGCCAAAAAATAATGAAGAATTTTTTGGCACACTGTAAATACGAAGTATATACTAGAAAATTGTGCAAATTTCCAAAAAAAAAAAATTAAATATTGTCGTAAATTTTACAGTTGAAGACCTTCCTCCCCGCGAACCTGGTCGAATCCTCACCCTGCGCGAGAAGCTAATGTCCCCCGCGAAAAAGTGCGACGGGGCGGAAACGTTGAAACGGTACGAAGCCAAGTTAGCAAAGGCGGAAAGAAATCGAGAAAAACTACTCCAGGCAAAATTCAATCGCTACGTAGAACTGAGCGATCGTGTAAGAAATTAAATTTTTAAATAAGATTTTACGTGGTTTTGATATTTCGTTGATTTCCGTCTAGTTCGAGTCGCTGAACGAAACGACGCGGAAATTGGTAGCGGAACGGTTCGAGTTGATCATCAAAGCGGAGGAGCGACGGAAACGTGCGGCCGAGAAGAGACACGAGTACATCAAGAGCATTCAGAGGAAGGGTCACGACGAAGACTTGAAAACCAAAGAGATCGCATTCATCAATTTGTTAGAGGCACAAAACAAGCGGCACGACTACAATGCATCCGTGCAGGTGATAAGATTTGGAGGAAAAAAATTATACGTCGTCCAGTTGCAGGACGCTAAGTATTTGTCGAAATTGGGTCACCACATTGGCCCAGTTTCGTAAATAAGATTTTTTTTACACGATTTTGGTGCTTCATAAATATTTTTGGCAGCTCGAAAAATTAGGACGAAAACTACGTATTTTTGTGAACTACATATTTTGTCTTGTACAAAATTTACCGTAAAAAAATGTATCGATTTTGAATGTTCCATTCCGATTTGATCCATTTCCATGTTTATTTTATGATTTTATGTTATGATTTTTTATTTAACCGTATTTTTCAGGAGGTCGAATGTCGCCTGCAAACATTGCAAGATGAACGACGCCAGAAGCTGGAGGAGCGTTCGGGCAAAGCTTTCTCTGTGATTTCGCGTCAATCCAGAATCCGGAAAGATTGGCAAGCCAAGTTGACGCTGTTGCAGGAAAAGCGAATGAAAACGAATGAACGGATCACTCGTGAGAAGGAGGAACGAGCGAAAGAAAGGTCGGAGATGGCGCAGGAGAAGGCGAGGTCAGTTTAACGACACGTTTTTGCCCAGCACAATTTTTCGCTTATACTTCTTGTACATTCAGAGACCGCGAGGGTCGAATTTCTGCCCTCAATGCGGCGAAACAAGCCGAAAAAGAGGAACTGCAGAAGAAAATCAAGCAAAAACAGGAAGAAACTGCGCGACGCCATGAAGAAAATATGGAACAAATTCGCCAAAAAGCGATTGAACTGAGCGCCCCGCGCGTCCAGGAGGAAAACGCTGCGCCCTCGTCGTGTCGCGTTTGCACGCTGTGTAACGTCCTTGTGCGTAGCTAAATTAAATTTCTGATGAGAATCTCAATTCAAAATTTTACATCGAAATTTATAACCTTGTTCCAGATCCAGTCCGGAATCCACGAGATGCAACATATCCGAAGTCGTGGTCATTTAGACGCTGTGAAAAAGTCGGGCGATAAGGATAAATCGTTGCAGTCTTCGACGAGTGGGTGTTGCGGGGGGGACGCGAGTGGTGGTGGTGGTGATCTCAGCAACGTCGTTGGCGGTGGCCCGGTCGACCAAGGATTCGGTTTTAAATTCATCGCTGACATCCAAACGGACAAAATTGATACGAAGAAGATCCTTCCAGACAAAAATAGGAATCGTGGACTGAAAAAACATAGCAAAAGATTGATGCAAAAGTTAATGGAGAGGTGAGTTTGGTATTATTAATTGAAAAATTCCTGAATAAATTAATTATTAATTAATAGTGGCAATATGCTGGAATTATAATTATGCTTTTTTTTTATTTAAATTCTTTACTATCTGTCTGTGCAAGAAAAGGCTTGTGTAATTAAAATTTTATGATAATTCAAAGTCTTAAATTTTCATGTTTGGCTTTGAAATTTTTCAAACTTTCAAAATGTATACGGTTTGATTTCCCACATTTTTAAACCCATCTCGTAATTTTGTAGCTATTGGGACACTAATTTTACAATTACTAATTAATTTTACTAATTGGAACATTTACATAGTTTATAAAATTTCGATTAGTATACGATCTTTGTACTTTTTTGGAGCAGTTGCGTAAAGTTGGTGATTTTTTGAATCGGAAAATCATTTGAAATTTTAACTTATCATTTCGAGAGTGGAATTTATTAATGTGGAAAATTGAGATAACGACGTAATAACTACAATTTGCTGTAGATTTTTTGGAAATATTTATTTTTGAAGATGGTGTCGATTTGTAATTTTCTTTAAATTATGCAGTGGACTTGAATATGAGAAATCGATCCGAGAAGAGAACCTCGAGTCGAAACCGAACCTGACCACGGATCCGAAGCTGAAGGGAAAGATGCGGAAGAATATCTTGGAGTTGGACAGGATCATTTCTCTCTTCATCAACAACAAGGGCACGACCAACCTGGCCACTTCCATGGATCGGATCATGGCAGAAATTAGGAAAACCTCCGTCCAAGTGAGAAACAAATAATTTGTTTCTCACTATTTTCAAACTATCAAATTATAGTTTCAAACTATAAGTATTATAGTTTGACCTGGAATTTGGATATTTGGCCCTGGCCTTAATTAGTTTTCTAACAATTCGCTAAAATATACAACTTTATAATCCTTTGATGCAATTTGGTCTCAGTTTTTTAAAAATTGCTCCGAGTGTTAAAATTGAATTCTTTAAAATTACAAAATTAATCGTGACCCACATTTCTTGTAAAACCTTGAGATTACCAAAAATTGTATATAATTTAGTACAGTTTACAGCTTTTATATTCAACGTACAACAGTCTTTTTTATAAATTTCCCTAAAAAATACTAGGAAGTATGAAAATTTTAATATTATCAAATGTAAATTCCTTAAAAAAAATCCTCCCTGATTTTGCAGAACGTCTACATAAAGGATTGCATCATTGGAATGAACGGGTTGGAAGTGGCTCTCAAAATACTTCAATGTCAAGCCGTCGACCTTCCTGCAAAGTAATTATACAATGCATTCAAATGGATAAGAACTTATATAAAATTCTATCCACTCAACTAAAAATAGATCCAAAATCCACGCCATCGAAATGATCCACGCCTTCATCCTGGGCAGTTTAGCGAACGGTTTATACATCCTGCGCGGCACGGGAATTTGTACTTTAATGAATCTCTGCGCGGAACGGTGGAGTGTAAGAAATAGCTTTTACTATGCACAAATTATTGTAAACTGTGTAATTTTTTGGACAATTACACAGTTTATGTACATACAAAGCTACAATTCATTATCTCAATTTATTAATTTCTAGACCTTAATTCCCGACGATAACCGCTGGTTATGCAGTTCACCGCTCGGTGCGAATAATCATTCCTTACCGACCGACTATTTCATCCGTGAGTAAAAAATATTGCACATTATTTTATACGAGTTATAAAATTGATACAATGTAATTAATTTGCATCTCAGAATCCGTGGTGGAACTGCTCTTCAACGTTTTAGACTATGTGCCAGATCCCTTCAAAGGAATCTTGAAGAAGGGAAGTTTCTTGACGACGGATGAAATCGCGTCGATTAAGACGAGAACGTTTGATATTATTGGGTACCTTGATTAATCATAGTTTATTGTAAACTGACAATGAGTAAAAATTGTGTTTGACAAATTTACAACAACAATTACTCAGATTTCAGAAATTAGTTTGAACTATGTATTCACTTTACTAGTTACAAATTTAAAAAAAAAACCTACAGTGCAGACTCCATTTAGCCCGAGTCAGGGACTGAGGGGCTCTGACTCACACGGAGTCAGACCCCACTTCTAATTTTTTTTCGAATTGACCGACATAATATTACCAACCTCCATGGTGTGGATGGATGGTTAAATGTTTGTTTGATGTTTTCTACCGTTTGGTACCAAATTTTTGAAGGATTGAAGGTTGACCAGTGGGCTTCTTGAACTTGAACTGTATGTGCTATGCAGAAGTGATTTAGGAATACGAAATGATCAAACACGGTCATAGAGATAAGTGCAGTATTCGAACATGTCGACAACACAATGGAAGAGATTGTGTCCAAAAATGGTGCAAATCGGACGAGAAATGGATAAGTTATGGCGAAAAAAAGATTTGAGACAGGTTGTTGCGGTGCAGTAAAATTTGACTGAACGGGTCCCCGAAAAGTGAGAATCTGCAAGGCAATCGAACTCGTCAAATCGCTTCCATCTCAAAATTTTCGTCTCAGAATTTTGAGATGGAAGCGATTTGACGAGGTCAATGGCCGTGCAGATTCTCACTTTTCATCTATAGTTTCAACCAAATTTTACTGCTGCACCGCAACAACTCTCAACAAATCTCAACTCTTTTTTCGCCATAACTTCTCCATTTCTTATCCGATTTCCACCATTTTCGACACTCCTCCATTGTGTTGTCGACATGTCCGTACACTGCGCTTATTACTACGACAGTGTTTAATAATTTCGTATTTTTCCATTTAGACCCATAAGCAAACTCTCTACGAAATGTCAGCTCGATAATTTTGACAATTTTGAAATATGGTGAGAATTTCAAGTCAATCGGGTTAGTCGTTTTGCCTCACCGTGCCGGACGAACGGACATGACGGTTTCATAAGCCCTGACTCGGGTTATGTCCCTAGAAGTAGCACTACTGTATCAGTTTTTATCAATCTGTAGTCAAAATTTGGACCACAATTGATAATCACTTATCATCTTGGTCCATATTTCTAGATATCTGGTTACGTCCGGCGTGGTGGATCGTATCTCGGTCTACTGCAGTGGCGTGAGAGGTCCGGTCGACGACCAACCCGCGGTTGCCCTCTTGCTCCAAGTCTTTCTCGACTTTCTCGTCTTACTCGTGTACACATTGCAGTTTTGGTGAGTTGTCTACCTTATCAAAGATTTATGATAAGTCATTACAATTTAATTTGCTTTTAAAGCTGGGGCGAGAATCCGGCGAGTTGCATTCTGCAGAAGAAGGAGGCGGATGGAACACAATTGTTGGCTGCGTTGGAGGCGTCCGAACTTGCTGGAGCCGTGTCCATGTCGTACTCACTGCTTCTCCACCAAGGCGCCCCCACCAGACCCAGGGCAGTGGATGGGAAGGCAGACGTCACAGGACCACCGCCACCGCCTGGAGAAAAAACGGCCGAAGTAGTCAAGTCCACGTTATGTTTGATCAACGCGTTGGCCCGGTTGGACTTGTGGGCTTTGCAGGTGAGGGAAAAACTACTTTTTGGAATGAAATTTCTGAAGAAAAAATCTATTTTTCAAATGTTGACATCAAGTTAGTATTTTTTATTTAGGAAAATATTCGCATTTTTCTACCAAAAATTGAATTTCTTTGTCCTTTTTCGATTTCAGAATGTGCTAGCATCGGAAGCTGTTTCTCTGCAGTTTCGTCACATTGCTTCCCAACTTTTATGGCAGGTCGTGCCTCATCGCCAGTCTGTCTTGATGCGACGCCTTCTCACCGAACTTATCATGTCCATCGGTAACTTTATCGTGGGGAATAAACACAATCAGGTAACTTAATGCTTATCAAGAAATTGAAGAAATACATAAACGACTAATTGAGATATTATTTAGGCAACAATCCAATCTGGCCAGACGCCGACAGTGTTGCAATTATTGTGCACCCTGCCTTCCGAATATTTCACGGATTCGAGGTTCAAACAAAACTTTATCCCGACCCTGCTCGCCGCTACGGAAGGGTGTCAGGAAAATAGGGAGATTCTCATCCAGAACAATGTCGATCTTAAGGTACGGGTCAAAAAGGTCAAGAAGTTCGTAAACTGGCAAAATTGCAACAGTGTCACTGTTTAGCCAGCAGTGGCTGCGGAAGTGAGGGGACAATGTCCTGAACAGTTATTCGATGTCCCCATGTTATATAATAAACACTTCCCTCCCCTATCCTACAATGTTAATAGGGTCCCCACAGCTTATGCGGCCACTGTTGACCAGAGATTCTGTACTAATTCTGTAATATGGTAACTTTACAGAAATGTTAAACGGTTGAAGATTATCAGTTTATTCTGTACAATAATGGCATGACTAGGCTGGAACTTTGATAAGTGATTATCAGGATTTGATTTGAGCTTACACTTGTCTCCGTATTATTGCAGATGCTGGACGATTATCTAACCTCGGAGGACGGGAAGAAGAACGTATTCGTGAAAAGAATGATCTTCGTCACGTCGCAGCAACAAGCGCATCTTGCCGGAATGCAACAACTCGTCGCCACATCGCCTGGCGGAGGAGGAGGTCAAAATAACAAAGGTCACGCCAAAAAGACCAAAAAGAGTGGTGGCGTGAAAGCAAAACCGTTAGAGGAGAGCAACAACGTTATTGTTACGACGACCCCTGTAATTATCGCGTAGTTCCGGTTAGATAACCAATAATAACAGATAATCCGTCGTGCTGATAACTAATAAATAATCAATCAATTGATTACTAATTATTATAATGACTGAAACAAGAATGCACAATTTTAATAATTATTTAATGATATAATTACCTGTAAATTAGTCTTGTCATTAATTAATTAATTAATTAGACCAATCTTTTACTTTAATCCCGGTAGAGGTTTCGTTTGTAGTGTTTTTTATCGTGAGAATCACTAGTTAACTGCGTTTGAATAATTATGTAATAATTATAATATGTGATACTTTCTAAAATAATGTAGTTTTGAGTCGAGAAGTCAATTAACTTAATAAAATAACTTTTTCTTACCTGTGAAATCAAATCGGTGTACATAAGTGCAAATCTGAATTTTTGCATGATTTTAGCTGTGTAAACTTTGCAAAGTTTGTAAATTCATACAAAGATCGTTACCCACAAAATAACCTATTTGTATTTAACGAATTTTCTTGCATACAACCAAACAATTTGGACCTCTCTAAAAGCTACTCGAAATATCTGATAACGCTCAAATCGGCCTACGTAAAGTTTAGATTTCTTATCGACTCGGGCGTCAAGTTGTGGGTCGGAAACATTTTATTTAAATTTTGCAATTTTGTGTCAACTTCTACTTCTCAAGATTAGCAGTATGAAAAGGGGGAAGAATTTCTTCCGAAGAAATGTGTGCATTTTTAAAATTTTTACGAACTAGAAACGAAACGTCATCTAAATAGCTGTAATTAATTCAGAAACAAAAGTATTTCCAATTTTATACGAGACTTAAACTGAGGATTTTCAAGTTACAAGGTCACGTTTGTGAGACGAATTAAAGAATTATGAAATTTGAGCAAAATGAACTAATTGTGAAGTTTGAATGATTGGCGACATTTAGGTTATAAATTTGCGAGTTTTGAGAAATACAAAGAAATCAGTTACAAAAATGAGAAATAAAATTCATCAATGACGCAAATACATTGCAAAAAACTGCATATATTTAATTACATATTTTTAAATAGTAGTAACAATACTAACAATAATACTAGTGTTTATTGTAACAATACTAAATTATTCTAAACTTCAAAATGAGTTATAATTTATACTGCCATGAATTGAAGTAGTGTAAACGACAGTAAAAGAATCTTTTTAAGTGAAATAAATCCAAAACAGTCAATAAGACTTTAACAAAATAAGCAAATAAAAAAGATTAACAACAATGGAAGAATAATAGAAAACCGACTTCATCAATCCAATTATCTTTATGCAGTCGTGTAGTTTAAGATCCATACTTTATACGAAGAACATCGGATAGCGTTTGGCCAAGTCAGGATGAATTGTCAACTTCTCTGCGAGATCAACCAAGTCAGCGTTCTCACTGCAAATAAATACAAAAATTTCGTTCAAATTTGCAACTAAATAAAAACATGCAGAACAAACTTCGACTATGAAGCATTCGAAGCTTTTACTCACCCCTCTCTCTCGAGAAGATGTCGAGCTCGGTAAGCCGCCAAATGAGCGTAGTAAGTCGCCTACAAAGTAATTGATTATAAACAAGTCGACATGAATAATTAATATATTAACAAAAAACCAACCGCGGGGTAGGAGACGGGCTGAGTGCACCGAACGAACGCATAGCAGAGATAATAGGTGATCTTCTGCAGATCGCCCATCGTGAAGTTGGTGTCATCGTGGATCACATGATATCGGGTTGGCTTTGACGTTCCCTGTCGCAAAATATTAACCAATTCGTTACATCAATTATAAAGATGCACTATTTCTTTGGTTATGACGATACTCACCTGAATCCCAACGTGGCTGTTGAGGAAGAATTCTCTTTCAGACGGATGGACGATCTTGGTGTCCACCACGGTTCCAGGCGGAATGTTGTAAAACTGCGGCAAAAACATTTCATCTAGTGATTTTAATTCTGGTGATAAATCAATTCAAAATTTCTCACCTTCCCGACTCCATCTGTCGCATTGGTGGGTTGGAAGCGGGTGTGGTGACGCTTCTTGACCTGTTAAATAATTAATTTAGCAACAGCAATAATTTGAATAATAAGTAGTAATAATTAAATAACTATGATGAACTTACAATCACGAACGTAATTTTGATCTTTGGGATTCCGAATTTCTCAGAAGTGAATTCACAAACATCCCTCATTTGCGCATATTCTTCGGCTTTGACCTATTCAAAAAAATTAGTCGCCAGTTAACCACTAATTAACTCTAAATTATTTTAAAGTTCTCACCTCATCAAAGTACCCTTCGGAGACTCCATCGCGGAACATCAAGATGCGCGTCGGGTAAGCTCGGTTCGTTTCGAAGAACTTTGTCAATTGTTTTTCAAGGATATCTCCCATATTTTTGATCAGTTCTTGCCGGCTCTTCTGTGGTTGAATGTGCATAGAATAACCCATGCAACTCATATTGAAAGAGGCCGTCACCGCGGCAATGCTCGGAGCCTGAAGGATACCATACAACAAAATTAGTAATGAAGAAAATTGTAAATATAATTAAAATTTCCAAATTTCACCATTGAGTTTGGACTTGGATGCGTCACGTCGGCTCCGAGGATCATAGTCCTTTCCTTGAAGTAGAGTTCATTTAGTTGCTGTATCGAAAAGTTCGTCCCGGACAGCTTGGAATTCAGTTTGAGCAGGTAATTTCCAATCTTTTGATTATTCATGTCCCGCACATTGCTTGATTTGATGCAAGCCGTTAGTATGCCGAACTTTAGAGAAAAAAACAAAACACAAATGAATTTTGAACCAAAATTGAGACAAATCAATTGCTCTTCAAACTATGAATATAAATAAAATCTACCAACTTACCACTACTTCCGCCTCCGCCTTGATGAAGGCATAATCCTTCCCGTCCGAGGGCAACACCACGATGACCAATTCGTAATGCATCTTCTTAATAATATCGAACGCTCTGTTGATCCGTTTTAATTTGTTGTCGGTTCCCACTATCTTCCCCGGATGAAACTAATAAATAAAAATGAGGCAAATTAACTAGTTTGAATAAGTTCAAGAATCAAAATGATCATTTTCTTACAGTTGCTTCAGTGTAACATTTAATTGTCGGTTTCGGTTTTCCCGGGATTCGGAACCCCTTCATTCCAAGACTCTCCCCTAATTCAATTAGTTTCTTGATGAAATTTCTGAAAAATAAACAAGAAGGATAAGAAATCAAAAGGAAGAAAATTTACAAAGAGTTGTAAATTTATATATTAGATAAAAATGAAAATATGATCGAAACTTACTCAGCGATGATTTCGTCGTTCAAAACGCCGTCGCAATCGAAGATCATCCACTTCGGAAGAGTGGCAGCCTTGAGAAATTTTTTGGACGGTTCACTTCCCGAGTCCTTAAAATTCCACTTGCCCTCTTTGAAGGTCATTCTGGCATTCACTTCCTGCACAAAATAATTAAACCCTTTCATCTTATTTAACTCGACAAAAAAAAATTAGCTAAAGAAATTGTAAATTACTTACAGCACCATTGGAAGCCAATGTTTTCACCGTAGGCGGTGGAATAACGGACGCATCCCTGATCACGATAGGAGTCTGCCCAATGCTCATCCCAAATTCTGACATGACTGCAGACGTTTCGAACTTGCTCCCTTTTCTCTGCAAATACAGGGCAAAATAATAAATATCTTAACTTTTTAACTATCAATTTTATACGAGCTCAAATTTTAACTAAAAAATCGAGGATTTCTTACCGCTTGATCGATTGCCTTGAAACGAGCCACTGGCTCGATGGCAGCGCCTTTGATCATAGCGCTCGTGAGCTTGGGTTCCATTTTTCCGCGATACGGCTGCGTGATGATCATGCACAGCTCCAGTGGCACGTAGTTCGTCATGTTCTTATTCCCAATATGCACCACGGGCCATTTGGGGAAGCGAATGGTCGTGTTCTTGAATTTTTGCATGTATTGGACAATGTTGATTGACCTTGTGATACCCTTTTCGTCTGTCATGTTGAACTCGTAATTTTCCGCGGACCGCAAGATCAGCCCATTTGCCGTGAATTGGTGGTACTTCTCGTAGACACCTTTCTGATTGCAACGTCCTGTTCCATATTTGATGAGTTTGCCTTGCACACAAAAATAATCCACTGTAAGACTACGTTCTGCAATTATTAGGGAGTGTAATGCACCCTTACCTCTCAAAGCTTCCGAGACCACATCAATCGTTCGGTCGTCCCAACAAACAAGGTCGAGCGAGTCATCCTTGTGCAACTTTAAAACACTGCGAGCAAAGTCTGCAAGTGGCGTTTGTTTATAGAACGCCTTGGTCGCCACTGCAAAATAAACAAGAGTTCCATATCAAGCAGTCGAAATTAATTAAGTGGATCGTTCTTACAATCAATATTGAGAGTAGCAGTATTTTCGGATCCGAGGCACAACGACTGGTAGTGGCCGTGCAGCAACTCCAACATTGAATCCAGCGGATGTCTGTTCTGTGGGAAAGGATTGAAGAAGCTGCGGTTGCAGCTGATGAAGTGCATGGACGGAGGATGTCGGAGAGCTACGTCGAGGCCCTGGATCACATCCTGAGGCTGGACAACCTGCTTGCCCCTCTCCAGCCCTGATCCAAGAAACTCGATCACAGAGTTGGTGGCAACTGTCGCGACCACTAAGGAATTAATGAAGGGAGGAAATTACTTTTACATTAGCACACAAATCGATGAATGAATTAGAATTTCAAAAACGTTGGGTGTTCAAGTTTTAATTTGCTAGACATGCTTTTTTTACTTACGTTTAATCGTGACTCGAAAACGCCTCCTTTTGTCAGGGTCGTCAGGATCGTCCATGTCGAAGGTGGCCGTGAAGGCGTCCCCGTTCGGAAGTTCCAGACGTCTGGCTGTGTAGACGTTCTTCTTCCCATCGAAGGGAGTCGTGGCCCTAAGGGTGGCCTGGCACTGCGTCTCGAATTCTTTCCAAATGATGGGCAGCATCCGGTCGGGGAGCCCAGCCATCTCGCGCCCTTCTTTCGCCGCCTTCAACACCTGAGCATCTTTCCGCTTCTTCGCGGCGGCAGCGGCTGTCGGGTCGGATGATATGATTTCAACGTTCTCAATTACTGCGTCGTAATGATACAGCGTTTGTGGAAAGTTTCGTTCGAAGGTGACCTGGAATACAAGGGAAAAGGAAAATATCTCAATATTACAAGTAAATTAATTAATAAGCCAATTAGATTAATTAAAGTAGCAACTAATTCAAACTTACGGGATAGTGATTCACCACGATTGAAATCTTTTTAACGTCGAGTCGAGGCTCGCCTTTGACGCGGAGTGGTCGGGCTTCAGTGAGCGGGAGGTGTGGCCGCTTTTTCACTGGCGACGACATCCTCACGTCGTCCATCTGCTTCGTGAGTTCTTTCACTCTGTCAGCCATCTGAAAACCACACCCACAAAAAAAACAATTAAATCCCTCTCTCTCTTCCAATCAACCAACCAGTCTACAAAAAAATGAGATTTCTTTCAAAAATCAACCAATCCCTTCCTCCTCTAGTAGATAATAAGAGTTAAAACTAGAATTGAATCTAAGAACTAAGAACCAAACCCATAAATCTCTCTGTTCCACAATCAGTCTCAAAAATAACGTTTGAAAAAAACTCACCTTGGTCTGACCTTTAGAAATTAACTCACCTTTTCTTCTCTTTTTTTCATCAAAAAGTGAAGAAATACCATCCCTCACCTTGTTCAGTAGAATTCTGTGTGGGGTGGAGACTTGGTGGATTGGAAATATAAGTTTAGAAACTATTGGTCAACTTTTCGGAAACTTTGAAGTCGGGAGAAATGTGGCTGACGATCCGCACGAGAGGGAGGATGGGAAGAGAGTGAAGGAGAGGCGAGCGAGCAGGCAGCAAGAAGGCAGCAGACCACGCTTCGAGAACCTTCTTTTGCGTGATTGCGGAGGAAGAACTGCGTGCTCGCTTGCCAGAAAGTGACCGTTAAGCAATTTTCTAATTCGTCAGCCAGCGGTGGTGGTGGTGGTGGTTGGCGTGGGTCTGGGTCTATAAATAAATCCATATAGACATTGCTCATATATAGACATTGATATATGTATAACGACGATTCGAGAAGGAAATCTATTCCTTTCAGAAATATAAAATTTTGCAGAAATTTCTATAAATGAGCAAAGTTTCCTGCTTTTTATGAAAATGAATATTATTAAAAACTGAGACGAGTAAACAATCGGTCAGACAGATACGCTGGGTCGAGTCAAATTAATTATCTTATCAACTATCATGTTTTTGTAAATTACAAATTGTAATGCATAAATTCATATAAGATTTTGTCACATCAAAAAACTTAATAGTTTTGCAAAGTTCGACAAATCAATTGAATAATTTTAGACTTTAAAAAATATTTTTTGTTCATGGAAAAGTTGCTGAAAAACGAAATCCCATGTTAAAATAATACTGATTCTGTATTTATTTTATTTTGGCGTCCATATTATGCAACTTATTTTACGGAAGTGGTGTAAATTCACTAATATTGCTGCAGTTTTTTCGATTTTGATCCAATTTGAAGCTGAACGAGTATGACATTTTATCAGAGATCCGTGATTAATGAATTTTTTTCTGGGATTAAGGATTAAGGATTAATGTTATTCCGGGATTAGATTAATCCGGGATTAATTAAATAATTCAATTTGGTGGGATTAAGGATTAAGGATTAATTCAAAATTCTCTGAGATTCGGGATTAAGGATTAAGGATTAATTAATCCTGATTAATTCTTGATTAAGGATTAATATTATTATTATATTACTCCATTTAATGCAGTTTAATTGTTTATTGTAGCATATAGGAATATTGAAACATCAAATACATACAAAACAGACAATGTATAGGACTTTTGCATGTCAAATGTGAAGTAAAATTTGATGTTGGCCTAATATTAACACCAATTATGGCACACATTGGTGCAAAAGCTATGCGCCTGGCCTATAAAGAGCCGCTGAATTTGTCAATTTGTTCGACATCAAACAATCTGCCGGTGAAGATGAACGGCAAATTTTTCAGCTCAGTCAGATCACTGTTAACCATGATTAACGACTGAATCAGTATTTTTACGGAAGCAACAATTTAAAGTTAAAGAATTCAACACATCTTAATTTCGGGAGAGGACAGTAGAAAGAGTGGAAAAATATCGTATGTTTGAGAATATGTAATGTTAGTGTTACTTCACTCCATTCTCAGTGATTATTCTCTTGCGAGACTTAATCCTAATCGTGATTAAGAATTAATAATTTGGATACGCTTTGTCGGGATTAAGGATTAATGGCGTGGAAATATTTCGTCGGGATTAATGATTAAGGATTAATTGCATACAATTTTTTGTCGGGATTAAGCATTAAGGATTATTAATCCTTAATCCCAATCCTTAATCCGTTAATCACGATTAATTAATCACGGATCTCTGCATTTTATGAGTCGTTAAAAATTACTAACGCGATTAAACCATATTGGTAAACGCAAATTGGGTAGATTTTTCTTAGCTTTGAATACATTTTTCATGGAAAATCTTTTGCAAAATTATGCGATTCTCTATGAAAAAGAAAGAATGCAATTTTTTTCATTGTCACTAATTTAATTTTTGAACACTTAAAACATGAATGAAGCAAGATCGATTTGGTTTAATGCAAATTGGGAAGATACCTTTTCGAAGGCTATTGTTGATAAATAAAAGCTTTTTGATATAATGTGCTTATCAATTAGATATAATTATCATCGCTATCAATGCATGCATGTTTTGTTGTGCAAAGGCTTCCAGTTTATGAAATATATTCAAATAAATTTTAGTCATGTCACATTTCGACATTTCAAAAATATCATAATTTCGCAAAGTTCCAGAAATTGATTGAATGTAATTTCAAAATTTTGGATCACGTTTTGTTCATGGAAAAGTTGCTGATTGAAGGGCAAACAAAAATTTTGGCATTTTTTTTCAACCCAATATCGTACAAATTACTATACGCAAATTGGGAACATTTCATTTATGCACAGGAATAGAATAACGATTAAGTAAGCACTTGTCATGAAAATTTAGAAAAAAGCACGAGGCAGAAATGCAGATTTGCAATTTGTGTAAATAATTTTATTGACATTTAACAGTCCAAAATAGGTAAATATAGAGACAATATACGTAATATAAACCGAACTAATAATTAATTAACTGAATTAGCTACTCTTTTTCAAAAATAGTATTCACCCAGGTCAAATTGTCGTTTGCTACGAGGTCCAAATCCGGGGTAAAGGGTGGAGTCTCGTCAACACAATTTTGCCCCGTCGACGCTATTCTTGGGAAATCTTCAAATTCTTTGTCCTCCTCGTCGCCTTCAACATTAACGAACATTGAAGATTTGGTGTATTGCCGTCCTCCCTTCTTGAAATAAAGTTGGGCTGCTTTCTCCACTTCGGCGAGATGATCTCTGCAAGAAATAAATCAATTTGTTGAGGTTTCGACTATAAATAGAGGGCTCAATTCATAAAAATATGTAGCAAATATAGCCATTTAGCTCACCCCGGTGTCCTCCTTGTGCTTAAAGCTTGTAACAATCTGCTACAAAAGTATGTCAAGGATGGCATCGTGTGCGGCGACTGGTCCATGATCTGCAGAAACAAATAACATAATGAATTAATTTCTTGCCGAAGGGTCAGTTTGGCACAAACTCTTTAGGCGAAAAATCTTCGCGATAAAATAATTGCATTTGGGCAAAACAAAATTCACTCATTTTACAGTATTTTAGATTACTTTTTTGGGAAAATAATAGTATTTCACGAAAATCTCAAAAGCGCTCCAGAGTATAAGTCTTAATTCAATTTTTAATTTGAATTATAAGAATGTATTCTAATTTTCAGTGATTTGACACGAATAAGCTCGAAGTTTATGTTCTGCCACTTGTAATTTTAGGAGTTTTCCGTTTTCACCAAATGTGAGATTAATTTTGTGCTTTCATGATCTTTTTTTACCACACTGGCGATAATTTATTTTCGCCAATGTGAATCATTTGTCACTAAAAAACCTTCACTCTTTGCCAAAATATTAAAGGTCTCACATCTCTCAAAATTTTGTAGCCTTCAAGTCCCACTTGGTTTGAGGAAACTTGGGTAGTCGGCTTCCTCAGACTTTCGTACACGGTCTTCTCCGCGATCAACTGGGCGAACGGGGTTAGGACGGATTTTCTCGCGTCCGCACTGATTCGTATCGTCTCATCCGGCTCGGCTTGATCGACGGGTGGGAGGAGGGCGCAAAGTTCCTGGAAATGAGGAATGATTTTGATTTTAAAATTTAACCAAGTTCAAATTAATGAGAAGTCCATACCTGAGACGAATTGACGAAAAACAGGGTCGATTTGAGCTTCACATTTTGAAAAGATTTCCCGTGAGGGACAAAAAGAGCGGAAATTACGCGAGAAGAGGACACATTTTTGTGCACAGCTAACGGTTCCGCGTTGTCGGGAGAGAAGAAAATCACTGGCGGAAATGGAACAAGAATTTCATTAAAGATTTTCAAAAATGTTTGAAGTAAATCTCTCTTCTTACGATGATGTTTGGATGAAAATGCTGCTGCGAGATTGGAGTATGGGTCCACAGCTAAAGTTTCCGCGTGGAAGGGGGCCACCCAAAGGAGGGAGGATGTGATAACGTCCCATACCGCTATATTCTGCGACGAACAGGCCACAATCAAGTGGGAACTTTGGTGGGATCCGAATTCTAATAAACTACAAGGATATAAAAAAAACTGGCTGATTTACAAAGTTTTGCATAATTTCTTGGAAAATTGAAAAAATCGTAAAATTTTAAGTCAGAGTTTGACATTTCAAATTATGGGATGTAATCTTGCCTAATATTTTCATAAATTACACGGAAATAAGAAACAATTTTAGCAAGGTGTTAAAAAATAAAATGAAATAATAAAATTCTAACTCAGATTTTTACGTTTCAAATTATGAGATAATCTCACCCAAATAAAAATTAATCCATTAACAAGGGTAAAAAAGATCAATATCAAAAACCATGAAATTTTCAGATTTTGTCTCACCTAATATTTTCTCCCAGTTTTGAGTGACACAATGTAAGTTTGAGCTCATTATTGTCGGTGGCCCAGACGGTGACGGTTCTCTCGAAGGCGATGGTGAGGAGTGAGCCATCCTCCGAAAATGATGCCGGTCCACACCGCAGGTTTCGATAGGACCCGATAAACTCACAATTCCACCACTCGCTCTTCCCGTGAATGCTCTCGTCCCTCGTCACGGCCCACGTTTTGAACTTGTTGTCCATTCCGGTCGTCGCTACCACGAGGGTCGGATCAGACTCGGGGATGGGTTGCATTTTCAGCGAGGAGATCCCAACCTCGTGCGGCCAATCGATCGATGTGTTCAGGACGAAACTAGATATTTAGAAATTATGGCATCCATATTATAATTGGCACCAGAATTTCAAAATATACAGAAAATACGGGATAATTTTTGATAAAATTTGTTGACCAACTACTCACATTTGTCTTTCTCTCTCAAATTTCCAAAATTTGAGGCGCAGTTCGGTGCACTTCGCACGATTGGAATCCCTCCTGCACTCCGCGCTGGCTAACCAGGCCCCACACTTGCTGAAGACGACATGTGTCACGTCCGAGTTCGGAATGGGATTGTTCCTCTCCGCCGTGATAAAGTTTTGTTGCGTGATGTCAAGCTGAACAAATGGCAATTATTTTTAATTCTCATTCTCATTAAATTGTATCTTATCATGCTCGCTCACATTGTACAAGTGTCGATCCTCCTTGAATGAATAGCACTGCAACTGCCCCGGTTTTCCGTTTGCGATCAAACTCTGATTGTTTGGGTCGAGGTGAAGCCCAGCCTGGAAAACTTTGCCCCCTCCGAGCGAGTACTCTGAGATATTGATGTCGTCCACACCGTCGGGGATGTAGCACTGGGTCAAGTTCTGGATTTGAGTCGACACCTCGTTATACACGTTAATCAACTTAACACCTAAATTTATATGAAAAAAAATTGTCTAAATTTCAAGTTTTGGAGAAATACTTCCTCCAAATATAGAATTTTGGGCGGCCCATTCTTCACAGGGCTTTACTGCCGCATAAAGACGAGAAGGCTACCGTCTACGAAGATACAGGTTTGGTGAAGAAATTAACTTATGAAAATACACTATTTTCAAGATTTTTAAAAAATGCAGTATTATTATGACAGCTATTAAAAGTTTATCTGGAAATCCAAACCCTGGGAAGAACGGAGCTCAAAATACTGTATTTTTGTAAAATATATTCCCCACCTCTGCTAAATTTGATTGTGAATTAAAAATTAATGTTGATAAGGAACGTACTATTGTCTGCTTGTGAAATGGCGACGAGTTCGTCCCTTCCTGACCGTGTGACGTGCCTGATTGGTAGCCCGAGGCGGGGAAGGGTCCTCTTGTTCCCCGTATTGTTCAAGTCCCACTTGACCAGAGTGCATTCTCCACCGACAGAGTAGACTTGCGTGCCTGGAAGTGAAAAAAATACTTAATGACCTTTGACCTTTAGTATTCATCATGTCACGTGTATGCACCCACCACTCATGGAGAAGGCTAAGTCACTAACGGGCAACGTATGCCAGTGATAAATCGTCTTGACGGCGGCCTTCTCGAAGAGGTTGCTCCACACTAAAATCCTGCCGGAATCGTCCCCCGTCGCGCAGATCCATTCCGTTGGATGCACCGCGACACAGGTGAATCGCCTCGTGCCCGCTTTATGCCATCTGACCGAGTTTGAAGTCATGTCCTTAACGAAAAGGTGGTCTGGTTGAGTGGCGGCGACGAAACAACCATTTCTCCCCGTCGCGATGGCATGCAAATTAGCAACGATTCCTTTGCATTCAAATTTATAGGGGAGTTGGGCGACGGGAGGAGTGTCAGAATCGTCGAAAGGTCGGATTTGTGTCTCGGGGGAGTGAGTTTGAACAGAGTAAAGGGTTGGATGGGTCGAAGAGTCTGGCGAGTAGCCGGACACGAAAAAGTAACTGGGCGAAATCGGTGTGACTGGAGAGTAATCAAAAAATTCCGCTAATTAAACTTAAGGCGATGGGTTATCTTAATTAATTGATTGATTTTTACCTGGCGAAATCGTCTCTGGCCACACAAAATTTGTAAAATTAATCGCCCCCGAAAAATTTTTGGACCTCCACACGACTTCCATTGTCCTCACCACGGTCAAACTGGGTACTTCGACGTACAAAAGGTTCCCCGACGAGGTAAAGACGAGGATGACATTGTCGTCCGCTGTTATCGCAACGTTCGCGATGGGGGCGGCGGATGGAGTGCAGAATTTGTCGATGCATCGCCCAGTCTTGGTGTCGTGGAGGAGGAGGGTGTTATTTTGAATGATATACAGCGTCCTGGATAAGATTAGTTAGGTCATAATTTTAGTTGTTATCACACACATTAATTGCAATTAAATTGATGATAAATTGATAATTACCCAGAATCTTTGGAGAAAACGGGAGGATGGCTCACAATACTGCCACCGCCTTTGACCGCAACCTCCAACTTTTTTAAAGCGTCGCCTAACATACTTAATGCTCTAATTTAAACACATTTATCTATCTAATTATTATCACTGATAAGTTAATTATTATTAACTATTTACTATTTGCGGTGCATAAACTGAAGCAAAGGATATGAAGTGCAGAATGTGTGTGTACAAAGCATGCTGCCACGAAACTCGCGGTGATAGGATTCCGTTTGAGTTACCTAATAATGCAATGTATAAATATTTCTTGAAAAATGTAACTGAAGATGATTTAGATTTTATTAATCATGCGAAATAACACATAACACGAAAATGGTTCACTTTTGTTCCTCGATGATTTAATTAAATGGCTTTATTATTTTTCTCATGATTCGTTATTCATACGTACATGCATTCATTGTTTTTTAATTTTATTTCGATGAGACATAAATTTTGCATGGTATGAAAACCTTGTTGAAACGTATATGAATCAATAAAGTCCACCAGAAAACATTGATTCCGAAATTGTATAACAATTTATTCAAATTTAAATCTCCTCTTGTCAAAAAATCGAATTGCGATATATTAAAGTAAACGAATTAAATATAAATATCGTCTAAATTCGGTTGTCAAAAGTAAGTCTTTAAAGGAAACTGTTTAATAACTAAATCAATATATAGAAAAATCTGGAAGTTTTTAAACGTTTTATATAATTCTAAGTATTTATAATAAATTATTTATTAGCCTTCTTTTTCTTCTTCTTTCTCTCCGGTTCTTCTGACGCGATGTCGTCGTTTGTCGCCGTCGTCGTCACAATTTGTTGCTCCTCCACTTCGTCATGACTTCTCTTACTTTTCTTCTTTTTCTTAGGTTTCGTCTCTACCTCGTCCTCTTGGTCAATTTCTGTCGTCATCATTTCTTGGTCACCTTGCTCCTCTACTCCAGAACTTGTTTTATCTCTCTTACTCTTTTTCTTCTTCTTTTTGGCACCTTCTTCTTCCAATTGGTCAGTCACTTGTTCACTTACTTCCGCTTGTTCTTCCGCTAATTTAATCTTCTTCTTGTCCTTTTTGCTCTTCTTTTTACTCACTTCTTCTTCTTGTGCTGGTTCCTCGTGTTCTTCAACTTTGATTTTGTCCTCCTTATTCTTTTTGTCCCTTTTCTTCCTCTTGCCCACTTTTTCTTCTATATTGTCGTCTCCTGTCCCCAATAATTCGGACAATACATTCTCCGCCTCCGTCTGCCTTTTGTCCCCTTTCTCGATGGACTCTGCCCACACCTTGGCGTCCCTCTTGAATCCGTGAACGTTGCACTTTTCCACGATAAACTTGCCACTCGGACTCGCACCCAACTGCGCTACACGGTCGACGAGGGATGAAGTGATGACAGTTTTATGCTTCAGCGACCCCCACGCCCACATCGTATCCACAACGCGAGACCCAAACTTGTTCATGGCGAGGGAATGCATGTACTCCTGGCAATAATTAAACAAATTATTAGTTAAACCAACAAAATTAAAAACTTAATTAACAAGATAACAATTAATTGATATCCTCTTATAAATCAACAAATACGTACTTTAAACTTATTCAACAATTTTTCCTTATTTTTCTCTCCAATAGTTGAACTTTTGAAGAACGCGTCGATAATGTGGCTTCCTTTGGGGTCCATGGTCAACTTAATTAAGGATGTCGCCTCCATTTCCAACAGGGAGGAGGTAGCCTGCAATTATTAATAAGAAGTCATGTACATTTTAAACTTTACATAATAATACTGAAGTTATACAAGTTTTGTAACAAAATCTGCAACTTATGTGCACAATTAATTATTTAAATCCTGCCATATTTAAATTCACCTTGAGCGGTTTATGAAAGTCCATCAAATTCTGGGTAATCATCGTGCCGACAAACTGCGTCAAATATTTAGGCGTGCCGTCCTCCTTGAGTTCCAACTTTCCCCCAAACCTGGCCAACTTGAGGATAAAGTTGTCCTCCTCCTCGACCTTCGTCTTCTCACCGTCTTGGGTCAGAATATCAGTCAAACTTTGGACAAACTGGGCCTGTCTCGTCCCAAACTTTTTACACGCGATGGCCAACGAGACAAACGGCGAAGTTGAGTCCGCCTTGTACAATTTCTCCAAATTGGGATGAAGCTCGTCAAAGATAACTTCAAACTATTAATTGACAAAGAAGAAATAAATTAACAATTAATTCGATTTTAGTGATGAGTCATCCAGTCCCACATTAATTAATTACGCACCTCCTCCTTCGACGGACACGTCTCAATGATCTTCTTCAGCGAAAACTTTCCCTTTTCATGCACCCCAAAGTTTTCTAGTCGTCGGGCAAAGTACTTTTTGAAAATGTGGCTCCACATCTCGTCGTTCTCCAGGGAAAGGCAGACCTCGAGCAGCCGCGTGTATAAATTTGCATGGGTGTCATTCGTCAAGTTTATCTCGTCTCCGAGCGCTTTACATACGCGCTGAATCCCGTCGGCTGAACTTATCTGGGCAGAATTTCAAAATTTCAATACAATTTTATTAAATTTTTACTATTTATATAAATAAATACCTGCATCGCTTCGGGATCCACCCTGGCGCCCGTTTTCAACACGACTTGCACAAGTCCAGATGTCAACTCGGAGCCGAACAGGTCAAAAAATTGGGGCCAAGTAAGGAAACGGGTGTAAAAATCGGAGAAAATTTCTTCATTTTTTCGATTTCGAGTCCTCTCACCAAAAAGCGTGTCGTTCATGGTAGTTTTTCGACGCCCGGGTTTTTCCTGCCTTCCGCCGGGCTGATGTTGCTGCTGGGTGCCGGTCTGACCTAAGGAATTAAGACAAGGGTTTTGTAAAATTATGAAAATCAAATGAAAAATTATTTTTAAAAAATTGGGTGAAAAACATGGTAAAAAGTAATCAATTTCTCCTCTTACCCGACTCTTGTACAAATCCGGTCAAACATTGGGCGACCTTTCGCATCACATGATTCGCATACGGGTCTAGTCGAAGGTTCATGTAAAATGATCAATAAAGAAACAATTATTTCCTTTGACAAGCAAAAAATATTTTTTCGACGGTTTCACTGCATTTTAAGGTGGGATAAAAGTATTCAGACAAAGGACATTATTCTAATGATTTGTACCCATATGCATATCAGATTAGGAACAGAGATGAAGCTTCTCCTCCTACCCGAAGTACTACTGATGAACTCTCACTAAGAATTCGTTATGCAACTTGGTGGTGGTCATTGTGTTCAAAAGCAAAGACAAGGAATACTCTCCTCTTCCCACCACATTTGGTCTTATTCTCCTCTTATCTTTCTCCAATTAAAAATAAATAATTTTCATCCTCCGAAATTATGTCAATTAGAGATTTAGTCTATTTTAGTGAGTAGTTTTAGATTTTAACGTGGGTTGATATAACCCAAACAAAGTGTTTTAAATAAAAATTGCTGAAAGTTGACGGATTGTTTTGATCGGAAATTGTAAGTATGATTATGTTGCATATTATTATTATCATTGTTTGTAAGTCATCACTAATTTAATGCTTATGTAGAGAAAAATGCCACCCAAAAGTATGAAAGTGAAAGGGGACGAAAGCGATTCTTTTACGGATTATGACGAGGATTACGATGAAATGAGTGGCAGTGATGACACAACGCCTAAAAAAAGACCACGATTTTCGAAAGATATGGATACTTCCGGTTAGTCAACTTTTCCTTGGAGAAAGTACTTGATAATTATTATTACTATTCATGTATCATTATTTTTATTCGCATATTAGGCTACGAGTCAACACCACACAGGGTGACTCGTTCAGGGGGAGGGACAAGCTCAGCAGCAGCACGTTCAGAGTTGAGAGGAGCTTTTGGCGATGATGATGACGTCACTGTTGGTGAAAGTACTGATGATGATGATGATGGATTAGAGGACCCTGATGAATTGATAGGAGAAAAGGTTTGCGCGCAGCCTATGTTTTATGATATGCCATGCCATGATTTACTATCATGAATATGAATTTAGCAGGTGGATCTAAATGAGTGGAAACTGGGTCAGATTGACGATATTTTTGAAAAGATTAAGGCCAAAATAAATGCTAAGACGGGGACGGGAAGGCAAAGAATGGATGTTCCAATTTTACAGACTTTTATGCATGAGGTCCAATTACATAAAAACATATGTAAAAATTTTATGTATAAAACTATGTACATATGTTATGCTGAACAGATTTCTCCTTAATTTTAGTATGAAAATGTGAAGCAAGCCACCGAAATTCCTCCTGAGATGACTGTGAAGGACTATTTTGCGGTGACACCTCCTCCCACTGACAATCAAGAGTACAACAATGCAGTTGCCAATATAGAGAAACAGATTGCGGATCGAGAAAACTACAACGTCAAACTATCATGCCCTCTCTTGAATTGCGAAACTAAATTTATGAATTTGACTGAGAGCAAAAGACATATTCTCACTAAACACTTGAAAATGCGTCTATTTGGGTGCAAAAAGTGTCCTCTCAAATCCTGGACTAACTACGTGGGTCTGCGTCACCATATTCTGTCCAAGCATTTTGGTAAACTATTGTAATTAATTATAATTGTCTTGAGTTTAATTTTATATACTTTATAATTGCAGATCTCAAACATACTTGTCCTGATTGTCTCATTGAGTCAATTTCATAAAGTTAAATTGCATGCTAAACTGCGACATGTCACACCGTCTGGAAAAGAAGTGTTTTTCTCTCCATCAAAACGCAAAATTGATCTGATCCCATTTAAGTCGGAATATATTACAGGTAGTTTTGAGTGTTACATAATGTCAAATAGAACTATACATTAATGTCCGGTATGATTTTATAGCTAAGTTCGGATGCACGTATCAGATTTATGCTATACCTTGGATGGATAAGAACGGGAAACTGGTTGATATCAGTATTTGCTTTACTAAATTTGGTGATATAAAAGAAGTGGCTCGTATTTTGTGGAGAGACATCGTCAACGCTTGTCACAAGATTGCCAACCAAGACGATAATGAAGATGATGTGGAGAGTGAAAATTGGGTGGAGATGTGTGGGTCGGCAAGAGAAGAACGAGCCAAAGGTCATGAGATGCGTCCCGACCTTGCTTTCCCTCTCGGTGTGTATGGACTTTCACTCATCGTTGCCTGCCAGCTCAAATGGTTTGCTCGACTGTACTTCGACTGCGTGAAAATCATGGCTACAGGGGAGTCAAAGTACTTTCTCCAAAAATACAATAAGGAATTGAAAGATCTGCTTAACGCTGCCCTCACTCATGAAAACATGCCCCAAAAGAATATTGACCATGTTAACCTAAATGGAGCCCAATTTAATATGCCTGTTGAATAGTAATAATTGATTGTTTTAATGCTTTATGAATTAACTAGTCTATTTGTAATGTTGTTACAAAACTTTGAAATTGAATAAAACTCGACGTCTAATAATTAAGTCGTCCTTCCAACAACAAATATGTATATCTTACAGGATTCAAAATTATTTGGTTGCTACTTACCGAAGGTGAACTCTTCAAGATTATTTAACACGAATCGCGCCGTTTGTCTGAACCACTCGGTCAGCTTTGGGCTCTCTTTCGCCCACTTTTCCGCACTCGCGATTTCCAGGAGTTTTTCCACAACGTGGGAAGCGAAGGGGTCAGAGCACAGGGTTCGAAGGGAGGGACCAAACGCAGTTCCGAATCTGAGGAGGACTTCTTCACTGGCGGAAGGGAGGATCGTCTCGATAACACGAGAGGTTAACTGGTTGCTGGAATAGTTAACTTCATGTCCCTCAGTTTGGGCGAACGAGTTGGTGATGAAGGTTTCTAATTAAATAGATAATTAATTAAGTAATCAATGAAATAGAAAAATTAAATTTCAATTAGATTGAGTATTCATTCACCTCTCTCCTCGTCACTTTCAAACGCATTCTTTTGCCAGAGTTCGAGCACTTGGACAAAATAGTTGTACGTTTCGGTATCCACTTCAAATCCACGCCCGAGACGGCCTTGTTTCGCAAACTTTTTAGCTTTTTGCAAAAGTCGCGATTTTTGACCTGATTTTCGTTTCGTGTTTCCAAATTTAGGTCTTCCTCCTTTGGGTGCTCCACTTCCACCACCACCGCCACTTTCAGTCACCTCTTCTTTTAATTGCATGTTATCCTCAATTAATTTAATTATTTATCTTTATTATTTCAAAATTTAGGCAAAATTAATCAAAAAGAATCCTTTGAACAGCACTTGCTTCAACCACGTGCGAAAAATATTTTGCGCCACCGTCTCACTTTTCCCGACCGGCATTTACCCCGCGGAATTCAAACCCATCCAGAATCTTCTGAATGGTCGGTGTGTGTGCCTTGGTTTCATTCAACGTGCTCTTCTTTCTCCCATAAATTTTTAAAAGTTTTCAAAATTTCCAAAATTTATCTCCAATTTTTCAACTCATTTTTAATCACAAATTAAAATAAAGTCAGAATGGCTCTTCACGTTCCAAAGGCGGCGGGGTTTGCCTCCATGTTGAAGGAGGGGTCGAGGGTGAGTCATTTCAATTTTGTTTATTCAAAACTAAAAATGCAATAAAAATTTGGAACAGTTAAAATTATAATGCATAATTTAATTATTATTCTTTTCTAGCATTTCTCCGGCCTGGAGGAGGCCGTGAATCGGAATATCAACGCGTGTAAAGAATTCGCCGAATCTCTCCGGTCAGCCTACGGACCGTGCGGCATGAATAAAATGATCATCAATCACATCGAAAAACTTTTTGTGACAAATGATGCCGGAACTATTATGCACGAGTTGGACGTGAGTTTAAGAAAAGAAATCCTCTTAAGCTTAATTATTGTGATTGATTATTAACAAATTATTTAATCAGGTGGAACACCCCGCAGCAAAAATAATGGTGTTGGCTTCTCAAATGCAAGAACAGGAGGTCGGGGATGGGACAAATTTTGTTATTCTGTTCGCCGCCGCGTTGCTCGAGGGTGCGGACGATCTCTTAAAAATGGTTAGAAATTTTTTTAAGATGTAATTTTGAGCCTGGATTTTATCTTATTTTGTATTTTAGGGACTGACCCCCTCTCAAATTAGCGACGGGTTTGAAATCGCCCTTGAAAAGGCAATGGCCATCTTGCCGTCCCTTAGTCTCGGTGAAATCAAGGACTTTCGCGACGAGAAACAAGTCTACAACGCGATCCGAACTTCCGTTATGAGTAAGCAGTTGGGAAATGAGGACCTTATCGCTAAATTGGTTACGAAAGCGTGTGGTAAGCGGAAATCGAAATGATATGTTGTATACAAGTAAGTTCCTTCATATAATATTTCTGTCCCACAGTTGCCGTCATTCCTGATAAGCAAACGACTTTCAATGTCGATAATATCCGAGTATGTAAGATTTTGGTGAGTTGAGAAATAATATTTCTAAATAATTATTGTTAATTTTGGTAATTACTAATTTGTTTTGATTGACAGGGGTCGTCCATCCACGCCTCTGAAGTTATGCAAGGCCTCGTTTTCAAGAGAAACGTGGAAACGGCGATTATCAAAAAGTCGAACGCCAAAATTGCGGTGTTCACTTGTCCACTCGACATCACACAGACGGAGACCAAGGTACAAAATCATGCAGAAATATTACTCGATTTAGCAAATTTTGCCCAATTTTGTTTGTTTTGTTTGTGTTTTTTAACCATCTTGTTTTCAAATTCTGAATTAGGGGACCGTTCTCATCAAGACGGCCAAGGAGCTGATGAACTTTTCGCAAGGGGAGGAGGCCATGTTGGAAAATCAGATCAAAGCGATCGCGGACTCTGGGGCGAGTGTGGTGATAACTGGAGGAAAGATTGGCGACATGGCGCTCCATTTTCTCAACAAGTACAACCTCATGGCGATCCGTCTCCTGAGCAAGTTTGATCTCCGCCGCGTGTGCAAGTCCGTCAACGCCACGGCCTCTCCCAAAGTGGAGAAACCAATTCCGGAAGATTTAGGATATGCGGATGAAGTTTATGTCGACGAGTTGGGCGATACGTCCATCGTGGTTATCAAAGTGGGCACGACAGAGTCGAAAATCGCCACCATTGTCCTCCGAGGCGCGACAGACAACTATTTGGACGACATCGAGCGTGCCATCAACGACGGAGTGAATACTTACAAGGGAATTACGAAGGTATTTATAATCAATCAATCCAATCGTTTACGTTATCTAAGGATGAGTACTTTTTAGTTGTTGACGTTTCAAGTGAAACCGTTTTAGATGCTAATCAGAATCTTATTCTGGACAAAATTCTTACTGTTTTCTATCCAGGATGGAAAGTAAATTTCGATGAAATTATTTCGTGAAAATTTTAAGATTTACGTATTCATAAACTCAAACTGTTTTACTACCTAATCAAATTCTTAAATCCTGTTAATATCTGTATAAAATCCTCCACTTTTTACCATTCTAATTTGTTCTCTGTTAATTTCCCTTTGTAGGACGGAAAGTTACTTCCCGGCGCTGGCGCAACTGAAATCGAGCTCGCCCGTCAAATTGAATCCTACGGCGAGACACTACCAGGTCTTGAACAATACTCGGTAAAAAAATTCGCCTCCGCGTTGGAATCCTTCATCAAAATCTTTGCCGACAACTCTGGCAAAAAATCGAACGAGGTGCTGGCCAGAATCATCGCGGCGCATCACGCCGGCCAGAAAAACATTGGTTTTGACATTTCCGACGATTCGAAAGATTCCCTCATCGACGTGGAGGCCGCTGGAATCGTCGACCTCTACAACGGGAAGGAGTGGGCCATCCAGTACGCGACCAAGGCGGCCGTCACGATCCTCATAGTGGATCAGATCATCATGGCGAAACGGGCGGGAGGTCCAGCTCCGCGACCGGCCAAAGGTGGAGATCAAGACGACGATTAGTAGATCTTAATTAATTAATTTCCATTTCTCTTATAAAAATTTAGAATCAATCTTTTTCCACAATAATAATTATTAATTTACACTGATAGTGGGTGGGTCACCAGGCGGAAGAGAAACAATAATTAATTGATTAATTACTTAATTAAGCTACTTTTTGCACCATGTTTAATCATGTTCTAAATATTATTATGATTAATAATCTTTGATAGGGTCGTTTTCGTGATAATTAATTAACCCCGGTCAAGTCAGTATATATCTTGTACTTTCTTTACTAATAGCTTCTTTCTTTTTTTATAATTAAGCCAGCTTCAAATTCATTTGTTTAAAATTCTTGTAATTCATTCACATACTGAAAATTTAGCATGAAACTGAAACATTTTGATTTCATTAAAGTTAAAGTTGTAACATTTAAATTGTGTTTTTCTAATTTCGAGGGCGAGGTCGGTGGCTGATAAATATTTCATATTAAGCAGGCAATAAATTATCCTCGCCTTGGTGAAAAAGCGTGGAGAATCGAGTCCTCATTTAAAAGAGTGGATTTCGAAGAGTTTATTTTTAGGTAACTTTTAGGGAGAGTTTTAATCTGGTGGGTTTTAGTTTTAGGGTGAGGCTGAGTATTTGACAAGATTTAGAGACATTTTGCAGATGGTTTGGTTTGGTATTCGTTGGTGTGACCATGAACTTGGCTTTGGATCGCAGTAAATGTACGTGGACATGTACTCGACAAAATGTGCATGTAAAAATCTACGACACTAGAGGATCACTAGAACCACTAGGATTTCTCTTTATCTCGTGTACTCTTTCAGAAAGAATGTTTCGGTTTAGCTCAATGTCGCACAATGGAGGTCGCCCAGCGTATGCTCTCCGATTTTGACTAAATCGTAATGTCAATCGATCACAAATTTAGTTTATATGACATCTGCAAAAGGCACCATCTCCCAATGCGACTGTTTTGCGGAGATATTTGCATCCGAAGAGGAGAAATTGCACCCTAAAGTTGACAAATTGAACACTTTCCAAATTTACTGCTCTTCGGATGCAAATATCTCCGCCCATTGGTGGATAGTGTCATTTTCAAATTTCATATAAGTTAAATTCGTGATCGATTGACACCAGTTTGGTCAAAACCTGATAATTGGCAGATATTGTCTTTTTGAAATTGCATACTAATTAAACTTTTGATCGATTGACTACTACTTTAGGCAAAATTGGAGAGCTTACGCTGGGAGACCTCCAGTATCGTACGTACTTTAGAGTGAGATGCATTTCTCTGCAAAGTTTATGTCTTATTTATTTACATACATGTGAATGTTTTTCCGAGTGTTGCTCGTATGTAGATTTCATGTCCATGGTCAGTGTCAATGTCAATGTCTTGTAAAGTCAATCTCAAGGAGAGGTTCGTCATCGGTATGTCAGACAGGGTAGAAAGTGGTGGAGTTTAAGGTGGTCAAGATTGTTATTGGTCATGTTTAAGGAGGAATGGATGCTTAATTTCTTCACTACTGTATTTAAAGTTGAGCCTGGAAGAGTAGTTATATATACACATACAAAGTTAGTTGGGGTTGGGGCCGGAAAAGTGTTATTTATTTATTTAAAGAGTGTTCACTTTCCCATAAATCTGCCACATTCTATTAAGTCATGGATTGATTTAGGAGGGGAGAACGTGCAGTGGCACCCAGTGGCACCCACCCCACGGTCGCCATTTACAGATGCACACATTAAATACATACATCAAAATTCAACTGTCGTCGCAATCCGGCTAAAAGCATTCCTTTCTCAATTAATTTGTTATCCAGAGAACTTGTAGAAGTAAATAAATACAATATTTCTTAACTTTCGAGGATATATTTCCTCAAAAAATTTGGTAGGAAATTTATCCATGCATTCATATTGAACATGAAAATCCTCACGGCAGAGTCTCATCTCGCCTCATAATGAAATAACTCATGTACGCACAAGAGGAGTCTCAACTCGCCTCACCAAACAGAATCTGTTGCATGCAGCAACAAATTCATGTCAATGCCATCATATTTACCCCAAAAATGTGATAAAACCACATTATTGTTTAAAAGTCGACCTTGTTTTACATAATTAAATTAGATTTTGCATGTTTTCTACAATCAGAAACCAACCCAAACTGGACATCGTCACAAAATCAGTCCACAAATTCTTCTCGTCCATCCAACGAACGAGCATAACAGGCCTTATCAACTCATGTCCATGTCAGCAATTCAATCAATTCAGCCCAGAATAATATCTCTATCCTCAACATGCATTTAATAATATTGACTCCAATCCAATCCACCCACCTTTAACCAACTACGTACATAAATAAACCATGAAAATTGTTCAGTTACAATGATGGTAAAAGCTCATTTCGAACACGAAATATCTGTATCCTCGCCACATGAATGTCTCATCTCTTCTGCAGTTCTCGCTGTCGTGAATGAGGAAAAAATGTATGTGTAAATGTGAACATGAACACGATTCACGGATTCGGCTGCATCGTTTATTATTATGTCACGATATACAATCTATGTTATGTATGTGCAACATGGCCCATCCTCGTTAAAGTTAAAGCAGTTAGTTAACTATGTATTTATCCCTGGTTTTTGTCCTGCATTTACAAACTTACATAGAATGAAGTCCGTGGTGGGTAGCTTTTAGCTGTCTCACTTTACTTTATCCTCAGCTCCGGCCAAGTCGACTCCTTCGTGTCTCTCGAGCGTCTCAAATTCCCACTTTTCGGTAAGCTCTTTCTACTATGGACAGATTGTGAAGAACCGAATTCGGACGAGAAACTGTTGCTCTTTCCTTTTGCACTGCATTATTAAAACCGGTAAACCCGAATTCGGGTTTATATATTTGTCCAGCAGGTCGTTTTCCGTTGAAATTTCTACACTTTCAAGATGCCTAACGCCAACCCGGAAATTAAATATACTAAGGTAAGTAAGTAAATAGTTGTGTTTTGGGACAATTATATATAATTAAATATTACATAACTCGCTAGTCTACAATTAAATATAAATAACTTGAAATCAAGTTGATTTGCTTTTATTAACATGATTTCTAGTTGTTTATCAACAACGAGTTTGTGGATGCCGTGAGCAAGAAGACATTCACAACTTTGAATCCTGCCACGGCCGAGAAGATTATCGATGTCGCGGCGGCTGATAAGGTGAGAGGCTTATCTTAGTTTATTCCCATCTTGAGAAGCGTTGTTTTTACATGCGTACAAAAAATACATTCATACAAAAAAATTGGGGAGGATAGAAAAGAAGGCTGCATAAATAATTACTTAAATATCAGATAAGGCTCGAAAATACACCCAATTTGATAAGCATATAATCACGATAATTAGGTCACCCTCACAAATAAAGCAATTAAGAAACACTTCTTAATGGAAAACCGGTTCCGTCAAAAGGCTGCTTCTTCTCATTTCATCTCCCATTAATCGGATTTTTATGCAGATTTATAGCCACAATTTAGATAAGGGTGACACATTTTTGGTCACAGTAAGAGATTTCGTAATTTACACATGTAAAAGTAAACTTTGTTGCGACTTCGGGTACTGAATTTTCCATGCGAATACTAATTTTTGCACATATTATTCTGCACATAAATTCATCCATCTATTTGTAAAACTGGTTGACCTTGTCCTTGATTGAGTACATGGTTTCTTATCTTCTTTTTCACCGGGCACAAGTTTCACTGGTTGAATAAGCGTCGCAAAATACAATAGGACGGACACGTACATGTGCAAATTTTCAAGTAGTAATGTGTATGTTTGGCTATGATTATGTAATTTTTGCCAACATTTTGCATTGTCTGGCTGGACAAAAATTGGCCGGCCGGTGGCATTGGCTTGGCTCAAGTATGTATCGCGACGCAGTTGCATTCATGAGATGATTTCGCGAATAATAAATGTATAATTCGCAAACACTTATTGGCTGATTTGGTATTGTTATTTATTTATTACGAAATACTCTGAGGGGCTGCGTGTTTTTTTGGCAGGTGGAGAAATGAAACGACATCTGTTTATTAATGTGCATGTGTTATATGATGAATTATTATGCAATTGTCCGGTCAAGTAGGATTTAATTAATTAATATGCAAAGATTGCGGTATGCAAAATTCGTGTCAATTGCTAATCAATTAATTTGCAAATCTTAAAAAGTGTGCATTTTTTGCAGGCTGATGTCGACCTGGCCGTCGAAGCGGCGAGGAAGGCGTTTGCGCCAGGATCGGAGTGGCGTTCCATGGACCCTTCCGCCAAGGGGAAGCTTATCCACAAGGTGAGCCAATTTACGGGATTTTTTATATTCGCATGGATGCATGGGAAAAAATTTCTGCACATTAGCATCATCGCGTTTAATTGGTATTTTTCTATTTTTTCCACCATAAGCTCAAATGTCGGGGCAACCTGAGACATTTGGCGCTATATGTGGAACATATAGTATGTTGTCAGGCACTCTTATGGGAAATGTCGGGGGCTCGTACAAAAAAACGGTTGGGCGTAAAGAGATGCCGTAAAGTGCATTAGATGCCTCTCGAAAAGTTTTAAAATGACTTTTTTCTAATTCATGGTATCTTGAACCATTTTCAAGAAATTCAATAAAAACCGATTTTTCGGTTTCGAAATCATAAATGTTTCGCTGAATGAATTGGGTGCATAACACAAAGTTGTATGTAATAGCAAATATGTTCATAACCGCATTATCTATAATATTTACTCGAAAATTTTTTCGAAATAATGCTAGGTACAGGCGGTAAGTTCAAATTTCCGAAAAATTTTGCAATTTCGGCTACCAATTTCTCCACTGAGCTACAGCCTAGACGATACATTTTGGTAACCTAAACTAAACGGGATCGTATTGGGGAAGGTCCCGGCTAGTGCCCTCGACTGATTGACTTTTTCGAAATAAGCCTTGGTTTTTAAGATATGGCGCGATTTCTAAAATTAAAATCCATAACTCATATTTGATATGAAAAAATAGAAATTTTCAGCGGTTTTGCCGCATAGCTTGTGTGTTTGTGTGCGACCTTCAAGTTTTTGTGGTCAGTTACATAATAATTAACTAATGGACCATTTCATTTTCTGTTCGTATATACTCATGCCAATTTTACCTGAATCATTGTTAGCCTTTTAATTATTAAAAGAATAACAACAATTATATAAATGCGTGTTAAATTATCGATTTATTTGCACGTAAACATGAATCTTTATGGTAGGTTAAGCTTACAGATTCATGCACGTCAAGCTTATGAAATTGTTCTTCAAAGGGATTTTTTGCGCAATATTTTAATTGTCAAGTTTGCAATTCTTGGCAAACACTTACATACTTTGTAGATTTCTTGCTCACATATAAATTAGAAAATATTTAAGAAATGCCAATAATTTACTTACGAATTTATCCCCTTGGTTCAGCTTTTGACTAAATTCCTTTTCGTATAATGAGATAGATTCTCCTTTCATTTATCGAATCGGTTGGAAGCAACGTGGAATTTTACTTTCATACGTTTTTTTTCTGTTCGAATCTGTGTATATTTTTTTTACGCAGTAAATTAGGAAGGCATAGAAAGAGCGAAAATATCACAATTAATTTTTAATTGTTGCTTGTACATGGTGCATGCATGTGGGTAATTATAGTTAGCATTCGCATGCATTCTTTCTTTGTGGTGCATTTGATGCCTGAAAAATGCATATTTTAGGTTATTTTTGTTAATCAGTTTAATTAAATGTGAAGCGAGTTACAAATCATATTCAATTTTGCAAGTTGCTGATTGAGTATGAGTGCATACTAGTCGTCAGACATGTCATCTAATCATTTGCAAAATTTACCATTTTAAAAAAATTCAGAGTACGGCGTTTCAATTCTTCATTACAACTTTCTACAATTAAAATTTAAACTGTTATTTTCTTATATATTTTAAAATCTAAGTACATTCGAATTTTCCAAATTATTTTCACAATTTTATAAAGAAAGAATATTATACATTTATAAACCTTAGTTTTTTGCATCCCGTATTTTTATATAGGTAGTTTGAATTTAGTAATTGGCAAAATAAAATGTATGTATGAGCAAATTCATTTTCTGTGCAGTTTGCGGACCTAATTCAACGAGACCGTTCGTACCTGGCGGATCTTGAATCGGTGGACAATGGGAAGCCCGTGGGGGACTCGGACTTCGACATTGGGATGGCCATCGACTGCCTCCGCTATTTCGCCGGATGGTCCGACAAGATTCACGGTGACACGATTCCAGTCGACGGCAACTTTATGACGTAATTCAATTCTAACTACATAAAAAGCTTGGTACAGATTTAGCAAAATTATTTGAAGAAATGAGAAAATATGTGGTTTCAGACCAAAAATTATTTTACATGCATAGATTTTTTTACCTGTACTCGATAATACATTGCAAATTAATGATTGAAATTTCTCCCTAATTTTTCCAATGTTTGGAAAATATATTTAGAAAAATTCTTCACTTCAAATGAACCCGTTTTTGGACATGCAATTTTTATTGAATAATTATTTTGCGAAATGGGAAGATCTGCCGCTCATGTACATATTTTCTGATTTTTAGTATCACTCGTAAAGAGCCAGTTGGTGTGGTGGGTGCGATTATTCCGTGGAATTACCCCATTCTGATGGCCGCCTGGAAACTGTCGCCCGCCCTCACGACCGGCTGCACGGTGATCCTCAAACCCGCGGAACAAACCCCACTCACGGCGCTCTACTTGGGCGCGTTGGCGAAGGAGGCCGGATTCCCACCGGGTGTGGTCAACATCCTCCCAGGTCTGGGTCCCCAGGCCGGCGCTGCCATCTCAGGTCACCTCAACATTGACAAGGTCGCCTTCACCGGCTCCACCGACATCGGACGCTTGATCATGGGCTCCGCTGCGGCATCCAATTTGAAAAGGTACCCTAATTCTTCTTTCTGCTTCCCTAATTTATTAACGTGAGACTCCATTAGTCATAGCATACGTCACAACAATGACGTCACAACCCCACATTTTGAATTATTTCTCAGCTGCCAGACGGAATTTCAAAATTCTTTCTCGTGCCATTATAGATAATTCCGTTGTTGTCCTACTCGAAGAAGAAGTTCAATATTTTGGTGGTTTTTGAAAGCTGAGGTACAAGAAATATGTAAAAAGCATAAGACCACCTGTTATATTAAATTTGTACCTCAGCAAAATTGGCCCATAAAAATTGAAAAATTTCAAAACTATCTTATTAATCAGCTAATTATCTATAATGGCGTGAGGCAGAATTTCAAAATTCGATTTCAAAGTCTCAGAAAATAGTTTTAAAAATTGAAAAAATTGGCGTGAACAAGTCCAACAAGACTTGTTATGTGAGGGCCACCCACCAACCGTGTATTAAGTTAGATTTTAGTGCGTTGAGTAAAAACATGAATAGAAATGGTTTTACAAGAAATGCAATACAAGACATAGTGAATGCGTGTCCCCCCAAAACAAATAACATATGTTTTTTGGGAAAAATAAACCAGGATGAAAACGTTCGCGCCGTATTTTTGCTGCGAGATATTTTTGAGACAACTACGTCATAAATGGGGATCTTAACTGAGAACTTGATGCCTCATCGTCAAAATCGTAAAAGTGAACACATTTTTAAGCATTTCTCGCCTCTGGAGATTTATTTTAAAATTCTGGACGACAAATTTTATTCAGTAAATTGATTAATTGAATAGCCGTGAGTTCAGCCAGTTCGACGAGTTCCATTTTTTTTGAAGACGTCATTAGGCTTGAGATCTCCTTCAAAAACTGACAAAATCTAGAGTGTACATATATATTTTTTTAAATGGCAACCATCTGCTCTACGAATTTGCCGTCGGGAATTTTTATTCTCAAGGCTAAAAACGTTCATTACATATTTGTCAAATGCATATAATCAGTGCAAAGTATGCCTATGCTTTTATTGCAAAATGCATAAAATATATGATTGCAAATATTCATAGCTTTTTATGCAAAATATTTTTTCAGAGTGACTCTCGAGCTCGGAGGAAAAAGCCCGCTTATCATCTGCGCCGATTCGGATCGTAAGTTGTCGTGATTATGATTATCTCAATTTTTTTTTAAAACCTGACCTTTTCACAACTTCCCCTCTCTCTGATTTTTTCCAGTCGACCAAGCCGCTGAAATCGCGCACGGTGCCATTTTCAACAACCACGGCCAAAACTGTTGCGCTGGATCGCGCACCTTTGTCGAAGCCTCGATTTACGACTCGTTCATCGCCAAGGCGAAAGCTCTGGCGGAGAAGAGGAAGGTTGGCGACCCCTTCGGCGATGGTGTCCAGCAAGGCCCGCAGATTGATGAGACGCAGTTCAAGAAGATCCAAGACCTGATTGACTCAGGGAAGAAGGAGGGCGCGACGTGCGTGACGGGTGGGGGTCGCTGGGGCGAGAAGGGCTACTTCATCCAGCCCACGATCTTCGCCGATGTCCAGGACAACATGAGAATCGCCAAGGAGGAGATCTTCGGACCCGTCCAGTCCATCTTCAAGTTCAGCGACATCAACGAAGCCATCGAGCGCGCCAACGCGACCAAGTACGGACTCGCGGCCGGTATTATGACCAATGATATCAATAAGGCGCTCCTCTTCGCCCAGTCCGTGCAAGCTGGGTCCGTCTGGTGAGTGCCTTTTTTCACATAATTGTGCATTTTTTGTGCAAATTATACTTCTTTTAAAACAATTTGTGAAAACATTGGTATGAAAATCTTTTTTTAAGATAGACAATTCAGAAATTAATTTCATTAAGTTTCTAAAATTTTTGCGTTACTAAAAGCCTTTTTTAAATTTTATTAATATTTCACTATATTTTTTAATAAAGAGATAACCAATAATTTTTTTAGGGTAATTTTTCAGTGCATTTTAAAAGAAAGTCACCAATTAAATAATTTCATACAATTTGGCGAATTTCATTTTCTAACAAATTTTTTTTATTTTTTATGAAAAATTGTGAGTTCTTTAGCAAACAAGAAATGTATACCAAAATTGTCCCAAAATTTTAGCAATTTTTTTAAAAACTTGATATGTAAGACTGAAAAAAATTCTAAAAAATGCACACCAAAAATTGTTGTTGTGAATATTGTGTTACTTAAAAGATACAAATTCAGAGCTTCTTGTTTTACAGGGTCAACTGCTTTGACATCGTGTTTGCCAACGCTCCCTTCGGCGGATACAAGCAGTCTGGACAAGGACGTGAATTGTACGTAAAAATATAAAACTTTATGAAAAATTATACCTGGAAATTTTACCCCGACTTACAAATTTTCAAAATTTCTCTCATTTTTTTCCAGGGGCGAGGTTTCCCTGAAGGAATATTTAGAGACGAAAACGGTCACAATTGCACTGACGAAGAAGGTCTAAAAACTTATTTGGAATCAGCCAATTCATTTCCAATCAAATTATCGTTGCCAAATTAATTCAAACAAGCGTCTTGAACTGCTTTTACGTTTCTATTGATTTCTATTGTTCTATTTTTCACGTTAAAAACCAACTTTTTCTGTTAGTAGACACATTTCAGGAGTGGTTTATAAATTAAATTAGTCCAAAGTTTCTCTAGTTTTTGTAGACTTGAAGATTTTCAAATTTTGAAGGATATTTAGTTTCCAAATAATTCTGGCTTTAGAATAAATAACATTCTTCTAAAAAATCATCTCGTTTTCAAAATTTATTTCTTAAGCCATTGCATATGTAAATTGGATCTTTTTGAAGAGTTGATTACTGCGGCTCATAATTAATAAAATAGAAAAATTCTGTTAAAAATTCATATCATTTTCATATTTTTTTACATTAACTACAAATAGTGGTTTGCTTATCCGATTTTGACCAAACTAGTACCAATCGATAACAAATTTAATTAGTATGAAATTTACTGCACGATTTCTCCTCTTCGGATGCAAAATCTCTGCCAAACGTGCTCATTGGCAGATCGTGTCTTTTGCAAATTTCATATCAACTAAATTTGTGATCGATTGACAGTGTCAATTTGACACTAGTTCCTGACCTGCACCCCAAGCGTTGATTCGGTACTCGCGTCTAAAGGTGCTGACAAGGTGGTGAAATGGAACAAGGTCATAATTTCATGCACTCTACTCATCGCTCTCTTATAAATATTGCTTTATTGCTTTATTATCAGACTCTCAATTTTAAATTTGTATGCAAAAATTGTAATCAAAAATGAAATGTTTAATCAGCAGCATGCAACGCTTTTAAATATGCAAATTTGTGTCTCCTAATTATAGCACAAAATAAAACACAAATAAGCACCGATTTTGTACCGTTGAACAATTGCTTTATAATTTATTTCAAAATAAATAACACTTCATCATCATCCTCACTAATTAATCAACATGACATAATTATTCTTATTTGTATAACAGTTAAAATAAATATGGTACAGAGATAAGTTACATGCAAAAATTCATCATATTTCAATAATAATAATAATGACGTATTTACTTATGTATTTATTTATTTATGTAAATGTAAGGTAATTAATTAAATTTTGTCCACTAACTTAATTTGGACAGGGGTACAACGATGAGCTACTTACTTGGCTACCAGGTAAATATGTGTATGCAAATTGTACACGACTTTATTTAAACCTACAGATCTAAACTTTCTCTTAATTTTTGCGTAATACTTAAAGATTTTTCTTTAAAATTTGATCCAATTTAAAAAACAAACTCGAAATTTTGATTGATTGATTGATTTTTTTACGGTCAGTTCGATTTTCACTTGGTCCGAAAACAAGTAATGATTTTTTTTACAATTTTGCTGGAATTTTAATATCTTGAGCAGGAATTCATAAATTCATTTGCTGTTTTAGATTTATTTAGTAATACTTTTTTTTACGTTTAAAATTTGAGAGTGAATTTTTCAATTGATATCCGCACACACATTTTTGTCTCAATCAGTCCATTTCTTTGAAATTTACTATATTTTAACTTCGTAAATGAAATGGTAATACAAAAAAAGTAAAGTAAAATATTTCTAGAAACAAAATAACAATCTTTTCCTGCTGCCAACAATTTTATAAATATTTTTCATAAAATTATTACATTATTATTTTAAAATACAGCCGTCGCAATTAATTAATTGGTTGGTGGTGGTGGTTTTCATAATATAAAAATATATCCGTATTACATACAAATCAAGTAAGTAAGTAAATAAAAATGTGCAAAAATGGGAAGTGCGAATATTTATGTAGAGCGAAAAACTAAGGAATTGTGGAATAATGAATAATGACCCTGTTAAGAAGTATGTACTCGTATTTGGAATTTTGAAGGGTAGCTGAATACAAAAAATTAAATAAGAGGAATGATTTCACAGTTTAATTAGAGGTCAAGAAGGTCAAGTTTAAGATAGTAGAACAGTAAGTGACGACTTAATTAATTAGTCGTGAATAATTTGACGGAGAGAAAAAATCAAGAATTTTTTCATAAATTCTAAACTATTGAGAATGTTGTAATGTTGATATTTTCTAATTATTACTTATGTATTTATAGCGAACCCCTCGTTCTCACTTAAATTCTTTCAAAATTCGCAATTTTTTTGCGAATATTTATTTAGCACTAAAAAGATTGATTGTTTTTCAGAAATTAATAAAATTGCGTGCAACATTTTCATTTATCGGGCTCATTTTTTCCTCGCCATCTCATCACAAATATCACACTGATTGATTTTTTTGGTACAAATAATGATTCTCACGTGACCACGGTCAATCACAATCAAATAGATAATAGCACGCATTAGAATTTCCTACAGTTTTCTTGAGGTACACGATTTTTCTAGTCATAAATACCCTAATTTATTAAATAGTGATGAATTTCTGCTATAAACTACGATTTGCTGGCTTCCGGGCTTTCCTCTCTGTCGGATTACGACGACATTTCCCAAAATTTTGGGTTCCTTTCTAAATATTTATCATAATTTTAGAGATAAGATAAGATTTATTTAGCTTATCATGCAGCCATTTTCCTACAAATTAGCACTATTTCTTGAGATGATCACTTGTTTCTTTTACTACATATCAGTTCATATAATAATTTACATAATAATATTTTTCTTCTCGACAGGTACACAGAGTGGAATTAATTAATTATTTAATTATGAATACAAGTTGCGAAAACGACACGATTTTTTTTACGTAATAAATAAATTTTTAAATTCAGCCCAGCAGATTTTGTGAAATTTTACACATTTTTTTTTCACCCCCAAAAAATACCGGGCAGAATTCAGAGGTACAAGTTTACAGGTAATTCATGTAGTTTCTCTTAGATGAAAAAAGCTGACACTTTTTTTAGCTATGTACATACAATTTTAAGAGGTAATTTTTACACAGGTAATTTTTCCTCCCACGTGACGTGCGTGGTGTCTACGTTTAAAGCTCCATTAATTTTAATTGTTACATGAAAAATGATAAATAATAAGGATTTTCTACTTATGTAAATATGAGATGGAATTTTATTTTGAGGGGTCCAAAAAAAGTGGAGGAAAAAACGGTACAAAAAATTGTACATGAATTTATTTATTTATGACGAATCGCACGAATTTTCGTCATGCGTGGCATCCCCGGAACTCGTCCCGGTCGGTGTTTTCTTGACGAGAAAGCTTTTCAGACAGGCAACCTCAGTCGCCAAACGGGCCAGTTCCGATTTCAGTTGAACATTCTCCGTCTCAAGGACGGAATCTTCGACGAAGCGCTTTTTCACGCGTTTTCGCTGGGGTCCGGTACCCCCTTGCGAATCGCCGAGCGGTTCGCCGGCTCCGCCTTGCGACGAGGGCGCGCTCGGGCGCTCCTTCTTGATCGGGGCTAAGTGTTGGCGACCGAATTTATCCGTGATTTCGCCGTTGATTGAAATCCCTGAGTCGCGCTCGTCGGATGATCCAGAACCAGAATTTGTCGAGTCGTCGTGATCCCACGCGGTGCAGGGGGACACTTGCAATTCCTGTGGTTTGAGGGGATGCACCCCGACGACGTAGCCGTACGGGGGGATTATGATTTGCTGCTCTTTTTCGCCAAGGTTAATCTTGTGGCGGAGTTTGTGTGGGAGGCCGGAGTTGGTCGAGGAGTTGTTGTTATTATTCGCAGCGACGGCGGCGGAGACTTTGCTCATTACTGGAAATATTGGGAAGAAATTTTAAATTAGTTTAGTTTAAGGGGAGATAATTTCATAGATAATTTGGAAATTTTTGTAGCGAAATTTGCAAAACGTGTTGAAAACTGGTTGCGTGTCGTTTGGAAAATAAATTTATAACGAGATTATGGACAATTGTGGGTGCAACAATTAAGAAAATTTAAGGGAGATAATTAATTGATTCGGAAAATTTGCGAAATTTTGCCCAAATTTGAGGTAAAAATTCGTACCGTTCGCAATTGTGGGTGGTGAGTCGATCTCGACATCCGAATGATCCTCCTCCTGATCCATATTTTCCTCATGGCTCGACGAGATACTGAGATTTAGAATGTTCTCCGACGGTGAAAGTGAGCTCCGATGGCTGCCTGACGAAGAAAGCTGACCCTGTCCCCCACTCCCCCCTCCGCCTCCTCCTCCTCCCCCATTATATCCGTTATTATTCCCCCCAGGGCTGATGTACTGAGACTTGTTGTCAATATCGAGGATGGGATGGTGGTGATGGTTCACCATCGAGTTGCTCCTCTCCCTCCGGCCCCGCTCCATCGACACGTCGCGCGGGTGTTGGAACGGGCTTCGGCTGCGAGAACGGTCATCCATCCTCCGATCGTAATCGTCTCCCGGGCTCATTTCCCCCGAACTCATCCGCTCCCTCGACCTCGACGAGTTTGATCGGGACGAGGACGGTGAGCCGCCGTGATGATGGTGACCCCCTCCACCGTCCCGCTTGCCGTGATAATTCGGTGGGTAGACCTTGGTCCTCTTGGAGAAGGAGAGGAGCTGCTCATTGCTCGGCAGGGTGGCCAAGACTTGTTCCAGAATGATGAGATTGTCCCCGCTGATGCCCTATTGGAATTAATAAAAGTAGGTGGTTTATTTATTTTTACTAGTAATTGATTGAACGAAATGAATAAATCTAGTGTTTAAAGGCACTTACGAACTTGTCCTTGATCGCGTGCAGTTGTGCTTTGAGCACGTGGTTCTCCTTCGTCAATTCGAGCACGCGTTGTTCGAGGACCATGTCGTTGAAGCGGCGCTTTTCTCGGGACCTCTTTGCGGCCTCGTTATTGCGACGACGGCGGTCCCAGTAGGAATCGTCCTTCTTGTTGTCGGGGATGAATTCGCGCTGTTTGCGCTGGGTGAAGAGGTCCTTGCGCTTCATGGCGGCGGCTGAGGAGGCGGAGGAGGCTGAGTTCCCTCCGCCGGGGGTGCAGGGACCGTTGCTGAGGTCGTAGGCGACCTGTGGGGGGAGGGGGAAGCCGGGTGTGTGGGGTGGGGGTGGGTGTGACTGGGAGGGGAATAGTTGTGAGACGAGGGAGGCGTTGGGGTGGTTCATGACGAGGGAGGAGGAGTGTGGGGGGCCTTTGAGGTCGAGGGAGTCTTGACCGTGAACTAGCATGACTTGGCGGCGGAGGTGGTTATCTAGAGAGATAAGAGAGAGAGAAAAAAAATTAGGTGAGTTGTGGGATTATGAGGGAAGAATTGGTGACATTTTGGGTACAATTTAACGACGGAGGTCTCCCAGCGTATGCTCTCAGATTTTGACAAACTATAACTAATTTCAATCGATAGCAACTTTAATTAATATGAAATTTGCAAAAAGGCATGATCCCCCAATGCTCAGGGTTTGGCAGAGATATTTGCATCCGAAGAAGAGTAAATTTATGGAGAAAGTGCAAAATTTGTCCAAACTGAGACGCAGAGAGAGAGAGAGAAATTAGGTAAATTTCGGTGTTATTCATCAATGGAGTCACCGGGTACGAGAGAACAGTTGACATTTAGTGTAAAATGATGAAAGGAAATCGTACTACAAATGGAAATTAAATCCTTTGATCAATTTATGTCTACTCCTTGACAAAGGAGAGAATGAACACAAACTCTAAACGAACCGAATTCCCAGTCCGCTCATCAATCCGTTTTACCCGGAACAATTAACCCTTCAAACAACCCGACAAATTCATGCATAAATCCCTTCAAAGCAAAAAAAACTCGAGTTGTTTGACCCACAGACGCGTCTCAATTTGTTGTTTATCAAGCTTAAAAATAATGTCACAACAAGGATTTAATGCTGACAAGTGGTGGTCGTGGTTGAGATATTTCAGTGGTTTCATTTTTTCTCCCCCATACAAATCATTAAGTAAGTTAATGTGCCCTCATTCGAGCCAAAAGGTTATCATTCGTTCCTCCTCCCAATAAATGAACTGCGTAATTTATTAAGTAAGTAAATAAACACCATCAAATCTCAATTTCCCTCATACTTAATAATGTGAAAAAACAGGTCGTCGTAAACAAGGCCAGGAAGCTATTAGTGATTCGATCCGAGAGTAAGTAAATTGAATTGGGTACGTGGATGTACAATTCGGGGAAAATGTGCAGCCGAGGAGAAACGAGAAAGTACAACACGGAAAATTGAGAACTTTCTTTCTACGCCGTCATTTTCTAGCCCGTGGTTTGCTTTGGTTTGGTTTCCTATCTGGAACGAAATCACATCTCTCTCGACGACGACGAAAGAAGAAAATGATCGATACGGAAAGGGAACGAAGGAGGAAAAGAGATTAAAAAACAACGTCTCCTTCTTCCGGACAGAGAAATTTCTGGTGGAGAAATTTCTGTCAAAACGGAACAGCCAGCAGGCCACACACATGTCAAAGTAGGTACGCGAGAGAGAGGAGGTCGGAGAAAGTTCATGGTGAAAGCCATATCAGGACACGGGAAGGAAAATCTATCTCCGCTCGTTTGTCCGACCCGAAGCAGCAACCTTTCCATCTCCGTCCGACTGACGGGCACGTGGCGTTTCGCGTGTAACCTTGAAGTCAATTATTTTAGAGGAGAAAGCGAATTGAGACGAAAACAAGGAATTAGAGGAAGCCCTGCTCCCTCCAACCTCATAAAAGTTTCATCATCCCGAATAAATAATCTAATCTCCTCGGGAATAAATCTACTCCCGACGAACAGACAACGACCATGGTTCGAAACCTGATCTGATGGAAACCGTTGGATGTAAATTCTACTTGCACCGTTAGCGTGTCTGTATGTAAGTTGTCGTCACGTCGGTTGTTTCAGCAGGTTAACCAAATTATGGGGAAAAGTTGTTAAAAACAAGCTTGCCGTCACTACTAATTCCTTCTTCCAGCTCATCTCTCATTCGTGGTTTGGTTAGTCTTGTTTACGAAATGTGTCCTTCGACTTCGACGAAGTGGATGGAAAATGCATGGAAATCAAAACGAAACGAGGCTGCTCCTCCTCAACAACAAGATTTCGTGTTAATAAATAAATAAACTCGCTTTTTTAAGCATTAAAACTGCAGCAGGATTTATAATCGAATAATATATCGCTCCCATTTCGTGGAATTTGTGGTGATGATGATGAATGATAATAAGTAAGTGATGGGGGATACATATTATGTCATGCACGCCAGGCAGACGTGCACACACAATGACTGCTCGTGAATAATACACGTCCAGGATATGGATAATTTCTTGTTTTTCTCTGTACTTGATAGATACATGGGTTACGTAAGAGCTCTGTGGTGGCTGGTCTGGTGGTGGTGTGGTGTGTATGTCGTTATTCACCATTTTTTCCCCTTATCGTCACACACATATTATTATTATTATGTATTATTTTCCAGTAAATTTTTTCCCCATCATTACATTACGCAATCACAAACTGGAATCGGAATCGTATACTTATTTACGTATTTTTTTTATAGACGAGCAGAGTTGTAGGTGGGGCATGTCGGGGGCATGGGTGGTAGGGATGATTTACTATATTTTTGGCTAACATTAGGCCGATTTTTACCCTGGGAAATTTATGTCAGCCCGAAATGCCTAAAAATGTCATCAATTTGTGCGTCCTGTAGCTTTTATGCTTATTCCGATTCCATTTATTCGCCCGATTTGCCGTATTTGGCCGGATTTTATATCAATTTATACCTCAATAACACCAATTATTAGCCCAGGGAAATTTATATCATGCCCGAAATGCCCAAAATGTCATGAATTTGTGTGCCCTGCAGCTTTTCATAGCATTTATTCGCCCGATTTGCCAAATTTGACCCTCCATAACTCCCCATGAAATAATTTTCCTGCCCCAACTTTCCCTGCTGAATTTTCATGCCCTGTCCATCTTACAACTCCAGATGCACCGGAGTGATTAAACCCCTTAAAAAATCAAACATTTCATAAAAATTCTTGTTATCAACAACAAAAACCTGAATTATTTTTCCTTCTGCTTAAAAACAAGACCACCACCGCCACATACTTAATCTCGAACAAGTTTGCAGATCTGAAACTGTGTATGTATGAATCTCTCTCTGTGCTAATAAATATGCATGCAACAACACCTCTCTCAACTTGTATCTCTCTCTCTCTCTTTCTTCGCAGTTGGGATGAAACGCAGTAAAATATGAGTTTACGTACACCGTGTATTCGAATATGTAATAGTTAGTGCAGCCTCTTGTTTTCACACAGATATATGCACTATGTGTAATTTTGCAAATGTAGTGGCGGTGGTGGCGGTGGCGGTGGTGATGATGATCATCATCATAATTTGCACACAACGTATCTCTCACATCCTCCTCCGATCGATGACCAGTGCAGAAAAAAGGAGGGGGTGGGTGCAAAAAGGTTCAATTTCCTTAAAAAACTAACCAAATCCTTGTAAAGAGATGCATGTATGCGAAAAGTTGTTTACATACGCAAAAAAATAATACTATGCAAAACGTAGAAAGGATTTAGTTTGCGAAAAAAGAAGTATTTATAATTTCCTTTTCATTCCTACTTTTCCCTGTACCATTTCCAGGAAAGGATTTTATCCCGAGAAAGCCGGAGTATTTATTTCGCGAGGTGTGATAAGCCCGGATTTGTCCCTATGCAATTTCTCGCTCTCTCTTTTTTCGCAGAGTTCATACGGCAGAAAGGATGCAATGCAGCTCGTTACGTTTTATAATGATTCCCAAACTTTTTTCTTTTTTTACCTTCGTTTGTAAAGTTTCCAAAAATTCTTCACAATAACAACTTTTCCCCAAATGAAGAATGTGATGATGAGAAATCCATTATTTTTCCGAGAAACTCAATAACAAAACTTGCACACTAAACACAGAAGAAGATGACGAGGAGGATAAAGTGGTGACGATGACTGCCTAAAAATATGTCCGTATTAGTTAAACACACGCTCTGTTTTTTGAGCCTGCTTGTTGATGACACGAGAATGAGTGGACTACTAACAACTCGTCATGCTGATCCCATAAAGCAGACACGACCACTGCGGTACTGGTACTGCTGCCGCTGGTGCTGGTGGTGGTGGTCTGTTTGTACCAAAGGTAAACTTGTGCTAGCACCAAGTTACGCAATCCTGTGTGCCAACAACTCCGAGAAAAAAGGAGGCTGAGAGTATTACGACACCGTGCAAAACACATAGATGATGACCAGCCAGACTCTGTTATTATTGTTGTTATCAGCAGCATTAAACCTCATCCTTGGTTAAAATGGGAACCGCATCGTTTATGAGATAACTCTGCATGCATACATCAGATTAGATTAGGGGCATCCGCGTGGTTTTGACGGATTTTAAGGTCACCACCACCACCACCACCGCAAAAGTCTACCCGGTGAGAAGAGTGACAACAACACGGCAATGTCACACAGCGTGAGTGAGTGAGGGTCTCTCTCTTTATGCGAAATAATGCCATTATTGTAATCGATTCGGGGAAAGGAAGCCTGCTTTCTCCGTTTTTTGCACACTCGTGTCGTGTTTATAAAAACAGCAGAGTTGCGAATTTGTCCCGAGCAGGGAATATTTCGGACAGAGTGGGTCTTAAGATAGCTCACACGAGCTGAACCATTCATGCCTTTTAGCCACGCTGGGCAGCCTACTCGTGGAGAAAGTGGCGTGGAGAAAGTAGGCACGCGTGCGCCCTGGCAGCAAAACCCGGGTGCCGGAGAGAAAGAGAGAGCGTGTAACAAGTCGTGAGTGGTGAGTGGTCACCTTTTCCAAGCGTCGTACGTAGGAAGGAACATAGAGCGGCCGAATACCCCCAGCCAGCGTAGGTCACCTTCAAATGTTACGTAAGCAGGCAGGCAGGCAGAGGAGCAGCAGGAGTACAATGCGGATGATATGTATTAAGTAAGGCTTGTCCAGCCCGAGAGAGAGCCGGCCCCCAATGAAACTTATAATGCAAAAATATGTATCCCATCCCATGGCACGTTTTTGCGAAAAAGTGCACCGAACTCCAGAGCAGAAAATCTGCACAAGTTCAACTACTCCAGAGCAGAGGAGAAGCAGGTGCAAACAAAAAATGGTCCCCAGCAGCATCTCACCCACGAACGACTCCTCTGTCTCCTCCTCCTCCTCGTCCTCCCATTAAATCCTAAACCTGGGTGGGATGCATGCATGGATGGATGGAAAGTTACATTGCAGACAAT